GTACGAATATTATATTGTTTATTATACAATTTTGTTAATGTCCCCTAAAACCAATTCATACATTATGGATCTATATCAAATAACGGTCTTGTTTTCCTTCATTTTTAAAAGGCAGGTAAAGAATTAATAATTCTCCAAAAGAGATAGGATACGATAGGGGTCTAATTTGGCCCAATGTTTGACCGTAATTTGTACTTGAATTCGATACCAAAGGGTTTATAACACCACAATGAAGTTATTACGTAATAGAAAGCATTTAAAAAAAACTTTGAAATATTTGTCTCTGAGCTCTTCAGGAGAAGATTAATGCAAACCTTTGTTGTTGTTTTTTTATTTAAGCGCGGTAAAATCACAAATTACAATGATTTGCTTCTATGACAGCTATCACCATCTCTCATGGAAATTGTTGTGAACAAAACAGTGGCATACCTTCTATAAGACAGTAATTTAACTGCCTCGCTGTTTTTTTAACAGGAGAGAGAAAAGGAGATCAAAATAACAAAGTGTATTCCGCAGTATAGGATGAAAATGGATACAAACAAATATATATTTCCATTTCGAAAATGAAAAATAACAGCTAAAATATCCGAGACTAAGAGTATTTATCATTGATTGATCAACAGCAATGTTCACCAATATGTATATGTACAACAGTAGCTGGAATTAAATTCCTGGTAGGATCTAAAGAATCATTGCTGAAATTAATAATCTTTTTGGATTTTAAACAACATTAGATCTAAACAAACTTGAGTAGATAACTGATCAACTTGCAAAGGTGTCAGAAATTGTGACAGACAGCAACCAACGACAACCACTGAATTCATGTTCATGACTTGGGACCTGCACTTACAGCTGGTTTATACATATTTGCAAGCACTCATCCCTCCCCTAACAATCAGAATACGCCGAATTCCTCACACTTTGATGTATAAGTATATAGGGAACGGACGTTGACGATATTTAGGTTTTGACTTTATTTCATGATAATAACATTTTTACCTCGAAATAGGTTTATCTTTTTCAGTTTTCCTTTATGATTAAAAACTTAACACTTGTCTTGCATAAATGTAACGAAAAGTTGTCAACCAAACAGTTCATTTTTTTCCCTAGCTCTAGTAATGTGACATCGGGATCTTTATGTAAAAAAGTATGGTACTGTCGCCGACGTCTATCAATGGTTTTTAGTCTGATGGGATAAAGATAGACATATCTTAACATAGCTTAAGAATAGCAAAGGTTTGGAGATACTTCTTTTAGGGACTCTACATGTGATATTGATGAGTTCAGATAAGGTCATAAAGCTGTTCCTTCAAGATAAGTAAAACTCGGGGGAGGGGGTTCTGTTTACAGTATTTGATGGTCGACAGTGTCAAAAGCTCTCTGTAGATTTATCGTTACCAATTCAATAAATATCCTTCTTGATGTTTGTAATTATATTTAATACATATTATGTAGATGTCTAAAAATACACTAGTAACCTGTGAAATCTATAAAGTTTAGTACACATGTAGTCATAATTTACAACTGCCAATAGTTCCCAATGCTTTTGGAATCGACGATAGATAAAAGGAGATTTGAGATATTTTTTTAAAGCTCTATTAGGAGTAAGTAACCTTTTAGTGATCGTTTGATAATGGCTCGTACAGGCAAGTGAAATAAGACGAATACAACTGTTTTTTAAAAGCAAGTGAAAATATCATTTAAATCCTATAGATTGTGTCATTTGAACACGGAATGTTATAAATTGCCGAGCATGTTACTTTAGCTACAGAAGAAACAAAGTAAATGTTATAGATAAATGTTAAGTTGGTTACATATTTATTTTAGTCACTAAAAGAACAAAACAATCTATATCTGATTCTAAAGATTAAATCTAAATATTTTAAATTCCAATTGGAAGTTAATACGATTCTTTTAAAAATTGCATAAGAAGCTAAACTTATATACTTTGACCTACTATGGCTAAATATTATTGACCAAATATTATTGCCCAATCTAGTTGGTAAAAATCAAACTAAAATTTGAAGAAAAAGGCAATATAAAAAATACACCCCCTTCTTAAAAAAAAAAAATTAAAGTCACAGAAGACGTTAGATCGACTTTAAATGAAATATTAAATTATAACAAGACTAATGATATGATTAAGTCGTTGTTATTTTTGGTATATATTTGGATCGAAGATTATAGATAAATTAATCTTGCTAAGTAATTGTATTGTTAAATTGCTAACTGCAAATAAATATAAAGAATTTCAATATCGATTAGTCAAAACTTTTACCAGTTTGACATATGTTGTATGGTAAATTTTATTTTTTTATAAAAATCGACTTTCGATTGCACTATTGAGAATGCTGCAAAATAAAATGTTTTGAGAAGTAAACTGGTAGTGTAGTGTAACAAAAAGGCAGTTTTTAGAATCCTTTTTATATCAATTGTAATTTTATTTTTGTTGTTTGTTATTACTCTGGAAATTCCCTTTAAGCTCATCTGTCCCAAAATGCGCTATTCTCATCATTTGGCGTCCGTCGTCCGTCGTTGTCGTCCGTTGTTGTCCTGTTACTTTTATAAAAATGTTCTCCTCTGAAACTATTGGATCAATGTAAACCCAACTTGGCCGACGTTAAGAGTGATTATCTTTTTTTGGACCTTGTTGATAGAAATCCTCATAATTATATCCATAATTAAAGTGGTATAGGGTCAGTTTCCCCTGAATGTATTTCATACCAGGGCCATTTTCGAAAAGTTATTCAGTCTTCACTTTAAATAAAAAATTCACAGTATTACAGGTTCTTGTGTGAACTTTGAGGTTGTATAAACGGATCGCTAAATTATAAGTTCCTGGGGTAGCCCAAAAGCGCAATTGACATATTTTAGCCAAGTTTTAGTTTAAATCCACAAAAATGTATAAGTAGAACATCCGTAACCAGAACCAAAATTATGTTGGAAGCATAAATATATATTGTCTTTCGGATAGAAATTAATAATTTTGATAACAGACATCCTTCGATGCTTACTTTTACAAAATCATGTTTTTTTGCCATTTTGTATCACAATGACTTCAAAAGTCATGCGTAGAGCTGAATGACATTTTGATTCATTGAAATATATAAAATTATATAAAATTGTTGAAACATGTTTTAATAACGTGATATATATATATATATACCATCTTTTCCGCATGTTTTTTGTTTTTTCTATTTGGTATTAGATTAAAATTAAGATCCATTTTGTTACATCTGTGATCCGTTTATTTGGCAATCGCCATGGCAGTCAGCAGGGTTTAAGAACATCCGTTGTTCGACCTGCTAGTCAAATGTGTTTTGTTAAAATATACTTTTTCACTTTTTGGTCTTTTGGAAAATGTTGTTGGTGCTGTATTTAGACCCCTCTACCAAGAAATTTGTTTTGCATGCACACGTATAAAAATTGCAGTTTTTATCCAACGCAATCATAGGTTTGAACGTTGATTTCAATTTAGACTTGTATATATATATATATATATATATATAGACTCTATAACATTCGATTTCCAATAGGATTTGGCAACTGTATTATTTTGACTGACAATTGGATTTATATGCCCTTGTTTGCAGACACGTCTCACATTCCAATTGAACACAATATATTCAACCATGACTTGAATCTTTTTCACAGGAATAATATCTAAACGTTATAGAATTTTTATCAGAATTCCATGGATTTATTTTGATTTCGATTCTTGGTATTTCATAAAGCAGTGACAAGACGTATCCTTCAAATATTTTTTGTTGATAAAGGGTAGAATTATCATGTTTTTTAAGAATTATTGTATCTTGTATTTCTTTTATAATTATCGATTCGTTTATATAATTAAAAACACCGCTTGAATTTTTCAATAATTTCTCCTTGGGAATGGCAAAAATTATTGGTCTTAACCATTTTTTTTCAGAACTCGGAAGTAAAATGGCTGATATTAAAAAGTGTTAGAAGGTTTTAATTTCATATCAGCAGACTTGAAGATTTCAGAAGATGTATTCCTTGGCTAGCGAAGATGAGAGCATTCTTTGAAACATTATCCAACTTGACACTGTTTTACCGCTATCGTTGTTTTGATCAAATGTAAAACATGTGAAAGGGGGGTAGGGCTTATTTTGAATGTGTCATATTATACGCTCTGCAATGTACCATTTTTTGCTGTTTGGGAAAAAAAGGGAGGGAGGGGGTGTATAAAATATAAATTTGAAATATAAATTTGGTGCGGCCGAAGCACTTTTCTGGATTTAACTTCATCCAGAACGCTGATACGCAAAAAAAAAATAAGAATGTATAAATACCTAAATACGAGAGGAGATATCTGACCAAAAGGGACATAAAAGACAATTGTTAAATCCATCTAAGGTCAACTTGTCCTGAGGGAGTTAGACCCTAAGTTTCTTAATAATTTCGAAATTTTTCGTAATAAAGTACTAATTCATCTCCGCCATATGTCAGTGTGCATAAGTCAGGCATATCACTAGAAGTTTATTTCTCTATAGCTTAGTATTTTCGTCCCCTAAAGAAGAAGTTGGTTTCTATATAAGATATGTCTTAGTCTTTGCTAGATCTATTGACTATTTGTTTAGAATCGGGACGATAATTAACTCTGAGCATTACCATTACAAAAAAATCATTATATTTCCGGTAAAACGAATCCGTACACTTATTACGTATACACTTGTAAAAAAATTATAAAATTCCCAAATGCGCGGTTTAAAATCGCCCAATGAACTAGACATGTGGTATCGACATTTATCTGTTGTTGAAGACTGCACGTTGACCTTTAAGTGTCTTTTCTAGATTTATCGTGCTTTTAGATTACTGTCTCAGTGACGCATACCACACATTTCGTTTGGTTCATAAAAATCGGGGGGAAAAATCTGCTTAAACGGGGGAAATAGTAATATACGAAATGAAATGGGTATATTTTTCTTAAAATTCAGCATATGATGTTTTATAACACTATAATTTTAAAAAAAACTTACCTGCCTAGACACTTCGGCTGCCGACATGTTGGTTTAATATCTAGTACGGCTGGTTATTCTTTTAAAAAATCACATTTTTCTACAGAAAATTAGTTCCTAACTTTAAAAGCAATGGTTTTAATCACAAGTTATACATGTACGTGTTGTTTATGTTCAGCAAAAATATTTAGGATTAAATTATTATAAATGATTAATATTCGGATTTATTAATTCCCCTGATATACAAACTTCAGTATGGCTTACGTTACTAGAGAGCTTAATGCTTTCTCTAATGAACCATTTTATTTCATTGTTCTACTAAACATAACTATAGAGGATCATTTAAATTTTCACGATTCATTCGGTTATTTTGTAATGCTTTATGATTTTTTAAACTACCTTCACTACAATTTATTTCATTTAAACAATTATTAATTATTTAAGATCACCTGACTATGTCGATCATTTCATTCATGAGCACCGAAGAACACTTTAGACATAAAAACTCAGATGATGTGTCTAGAATGACGTGACGCTAAACGTTCACCAATCAATCTATCAACCAATCAATCAATCTAAACTGGAGATATTAAGCAGACATATATCTGAAAGTTCAATCGCTAGTAGCCTAGTCAGTTACTATTTTGAAATCGTTTGACATTTTAAGGTTATGCCGGTAGTCAGTTTGATGCCTAAGACCGTTCAAACATACTCAACTAAAATTCAGATATTCTATTTTCATTAGAATTTTCTTGTACAATTCCTTTCTTTCACCATTACGAACTTTGATAATTATTTTCAGATTATTTAAGAGGTACCCTATTACATCAGTGTTAAATGGTTTTTAAATTTCAAAATGTCCTTTTCTCTTTTTTTGATGAGTAACATCAATGCTTTGCCCTCGGCAGCCATGATAACAAGACTAGGTAAATCCACACAAGAAGCCGACTGGAAACTTACTATATGTTGACCTTTAAGATTAAGTCCCAACTGGTTGTCATTATTGCAGCACGAACAGCAACAAAATAATAAAACTCAGTACTACGAGTAGCGTTCATGTTTGATACCCGATCAAAAGTAACAAGACTTATAACGCAAGCGTCTTAGTATGGAAAATTCTTCCAGATAGTGTCTTGTTTGTTTTATTGGTCTAGAAAAAATGTAGCTTACAAAATTTAAGAACGACGACAGACGAATAAACACTTTACGCTTTGAGGGAAAAGATAACAAAAAGACTTTTCAGAAAGGGTCTTCGAACAGGAAAAATCAAGCAAGCTATGTACAAAAGGTAAATCTCTAAATTGGCCCGTGTTCAGACACTCTATAAATGAATTCAATAGTGTCTATTGAATATCTGGTTAGTTAGTCCTCTATTCTGAAGAAAATATATATGTGTTATATCTTTTAAAGAATTGGCATTAAGCGTACCTTTTAACGGTTACTGGTCTTCTAAACACTTATAAATTGCATCAAAATTGTTATCGGTATTTATTACTGTTACTTGTAAATACTGTGGACTAGCAGCGTTTCGCCTTGTGAGTGTCGTCGCCTAGAAAACGGTGCTTCGCTATGATTAACTGATATTTTTATCTGCTTCAATTTGTTATCAGCATATATTTATCAATACCTAATTCTTAATTGTGCAAAATTTTAAAGAAAAATCAACAGGCAATGACGAGGTTCCTGACCTAATAGATATAGGAAGATGTGGTATGAGCCCCAATGAGACAACTTTCCATCCAAGTTACAATTTATAAAAGTAAACCATTATAGGTCAAAGTACGGCCTTCAACACGGAGCATTGGCTCACAACAGCTAACATATTAATTTTAGTAGATTTAACTAGGTAGCAGCTTCCTAAGATAATAAACTGCTGACAACGTTGTATGTCTCGCTTGTATGTAATTTTAATAGTAAACTGCAAATGGCAATACTAAACACGTAAACTATGAAAAACATTCAGAGTCAATGAACCATGTCTGAAAGTGAGGGTAAAATAATATAGTGGAAATAAGAAATGCCAGTACTAATACAACTGCATACCAAATACCATTAACTTATCATAAGTGGTTTCCTTTAAACTGCCTAAACACGAACTTTAACATGTCAACTATGAAAAGGGTTTTAAGAGTTAATGAACCATGACTGAGGGGCGGCGCATATCATCTCCATGGAAATGAGACGAGCAAATGCTTATAAATCTACATTCAATATATCAATGACATACAATAAGTGGTTCATCTTAAAATCGACCTAGTGATAAACTTTAACATGTAAACTGTGCAAAAATTTCAAAGTCAATAGACCATGACGGAGGGAAAGGGCATATTAATCTCCATAGATGATGATAATACAACTCCATACAAAATATCATTGATTTATCATAAATGGTTCCCAATTAATGGACATATTCACAAACTTTATTATATAAACTAAGCAACAAGTTAATACACCATGACTGAAAGGGGCGGGACAAATAATCTCTCTGGACTAGTGGTTCCAGTTAAACTGACTTAATCACAAACAAGCATATTGTTGACGCCTCTGCGACATCGCCGGGCGGGATAAAAAGGATATTGGAAGCCTTTTTTGTTCCGTTTAGCCTTTTTATGGTTGGATGCTCACAAATGTTCTTGTATTTGACTTCTCAAAATTTTTGGTCTCGAGTTTTATCTTAGAAAAAAATAGTACTAGTAATCAAAAGCGCGTGTATAGGCACCGCTGCTGTTGGACTAATGGTATCCGATGGTACCAGCCGACTTGTAATCTTTATAATATATACGTTCATCATTTATCCAAATGGGCAAAATATGTGAATATAAGGAGATATCGATTATACGTCAGTGAGACAATTCAAGGTCAAAATACGGCTTGGAACCAAAGAATGCACAAACAAACAAATTTTGATAAACATAATTTTAATTTTAAAGGAATGAGTTTTCCTTTCATGGGGTCGAGGAGCTACATACCTATATTACCTGTGTATTGTGATACATTAAATATCACAGTTGATCGTATGAAGAACTTCAGCCCACATTAAATCATGTTAGAGATCATATTGTCATATAAATTGCCTAGTCAGGGCTAATCGGATATCTGCACCATAAAGTTGTTTAAATTACTATTACAAATTGTTCTATCGTTATGGGCTAATTGAGTTGTGGTAAAAATGACTGAAGACAGACTTTAAGTCCTCCCCATTCTTTATCTAATTACATTTGTTCATCTATAAACATTGCCAACCTCCTTAGTACAGAGTATATATATACAGATGAACAATATAATTCTTACGTTTTTGCTCTACATTTACCCCATTCTCGGAATGCAAATATTCCAGAAAAATGAAAAAAAAAAAGAAGATTTTTTTTTCAACATTCAGGTCCGTGCGCTCCACAGAGAGTCATTAAGTAAACAATCATATCATTACCATATCTGACCTTAAGGTCTCTTCTGAGCATTTGAAGGTCCCTACTAAGTATTGTTTACACAAACTACACAAACAAAACGGAAAATATCATTTCATCTCGGCCTTTAGTAGGTGGTCTACAACTAATCGTTCAGAGCTTTAAACTTGTTCCTTAACTACTATCAGAGAACTAATCATTAACTTTTGTAATAAAACATATGAAAATAGTGGAATTAACTATTTTTGGAGTGTATTTTAATTTCATTTTTTTAGATAGATTACGTGCTTTTGATTGTCCTTTTAATTCGGTTGACAGTTTTAACTTTTTTTACTCTTTACACTTTACTTCCACACAATCTTATCAAATAAACGTTTTCCTATGCAATTAAATGCTCGTTCGAAAAATCTTATTGAAAATTCTTATTTGCTTTGCTGCAACTCATATAAATATATCTTCTCTAATGATAAAGGTTAATATACCAGATATACTTACTGGAGTTGTGATGAAATGATTTAAGCTGTAAATTTTCTTCTTTACAACATTTATGTAAGTTTCGGCAATAAAGTTTATCAACAGGTTGTAGGTTTTTCTATGGGTACCAATTGTGCCCCTTAAATAGCAGACTAAGCTTATAGTTTTGTTAACACATATATGTACTTTAACGGTACTACAATCTGTCGATTCTTTATTTCGGTATTGCACAAGGTCATGTTTTCTCTAACTGTTAATGACGTTTTTACACTAAATCCATTGGATGTTGGATGTGTACTGATTGATATTTTAGTCCGAAGTTAGATACATGATTTTTTTATTAGTTGTTATTGGCTTTGAACTACCTGTCAGTAACTGCGAGTACTCTCAGATCTGTACATAGTGTCCTTTTTGTTGTTAGGGATGAGGGATGATAAATACCCTGCCACGTCCGGTCTGTGTTTATGTTTTGATGTTTTTCTGCTTTGTATCGATCTGATGAGTTAAGCCTTTTTCAACTGATTTTTACATCGGATGACCGTGAGGGTATTCCGGTGTATTGTTGTCGCCTAGATTTCCATTACGTAAATTTCGTGTTGGGATTGTAACCGATCTATAAACATGATAAATACGCGGACATTATCGAGTGCAAAATAACATTCCTTATCGCTTGTTATAAATTCATTTTTTCAATGGATACTCCTAAAAATATTTTTTTTAGAACATAAATTAATAATATGAAAATGTTTTGTCGTTAGAAATATATATATAAGTAAAAATCTTTAATATCTATGCACACGTACAGAAAATGTGTGTTAACGCATGCGGAAGAATATCTCAAGAACGTTTGCAATCTCCCATGCAGAGTTATCGGTCCTCGGTCTCTCTCAAGGACCGATAACTCTGCATGGAAGATTGAAAGTTTGGCGGGAAAATATGAATGCCTACTCAAATCCAATCTATTAGAAAAATCGAATTATTACAGAAGAGTGTCCACCATGCGCTTGCACTGCACTATTATTAATATAGTAGAATAGAATGATATGCAAATGGATGAAAATTATATATACATGTAACTGTAATATACAAATATTAATATAATATATAACAACAAACCAGAGTATACTGATTTGTATCACTTCAATATCATATTTATTACGGTGAGGTTGAATTCCCTGTCATTCATTTATCATCCACGCACGAACTTGTCTAAGAAAAAAATTATATCTGTACATTAACCTCACTTTCAGGTATAGAGATGTGATTTTTTTTTCTGAGACAAGTGCTTGTGACCATCCACAATAACTTGCAGTCATCCGATGTTCAGTACTTCAGTACTTTGATTATAGTTTGTTCTTATGGTGTGCTGTTACACCACTGTCCCAGGTAAGGGGAAGGTTGAGCGCTCACAAACATGTTTAACCCCGCCACATTCTGTATGTGCCTGTCCCAAGTCAGGAGCCTGTAGTTCAGTGGTTGTCGTTGGTTCATGTCTGTCATATTTGTTTTTCGTTGATTGTTTTGTTATAAATTAGGCCGTTAGTTTTCTCAATTGAATTGTTTCATATTTTTCATGTTGGGGCCATTTATAGCCGACTATACGGTATGGGTTTTTCTCATTGTTTAATGCCGTACGGTTGCCTATAATTGCTTACATCCTGGCACTGTATTTGAACTTTGGTGGATAGTTGTCTCATTGGCAATCATACCTCATCTCCTTATTTTTATATAAGTTAAGGCCGGTCTAAATTCCCGATTTTAATCGATAAATTTGATAACACTTATGGAATAAACGTTATCTTGGTTATACGTTTTCTTTAAATAATCAAGAATTCTCTTAATATACCGCCGAAATCCACACAAAGGAATTAACATCAAATAAATCAAATATAAACAACAATAACGGTCCTTTCCTAGATTTTTAATCTTGATGATACTTTTTCGTTAATAATCAAGGATTCTCTAAATATACTGCCGAAATCCACACAAAGGAACTTACTTTAAATAAATCAAACGTAACCAACAATAGCAGTCCTTTCCTAGAATTAGATATTTCAGTTTTACGACTGAAACTCTACACAAAAATTTCCTATTGTTAATTTACCTTTTTTGGACGGTGATGCTCCTTTGGCACCATCTTACGGTGTTTACATATCTCAACTTTTTCGCTATGCCCGTGTCTATAGTGACGTATTGATTTCAATGTGCGTAATCTATGTATTACTGGTAAAGTATTTTTTCCACAATTTACTTAAAACCTTTACTAAATTCTTCCATAGATATAAAGATTTGGTTTGAAGTTTGAATGTATCTGTAAAAAAATTAATTGCAAACGAGATACCACATCTTAATTTTTTCTGTGATGTTGCTTACCGAGCCTGCCAGTCAATTTAGATACGATTCGAGTAAACTTATCGACCCTTTAAATAAACTTATTTTAAAAGGTTACCATTTCAACACTGTAATTAAATCTTTGAATATTGTTTTTATCGGTATCAATATTTATTTGTTATAAGAAAATTAAAACCAAACTTAATGTTATTGTTTACACATGTGTACATTTCTTATCCTACAATATGCCGATACCTATATTTTGGCGTTGCACAAGGTCATGTTATCTCTGACTGTTAATGACGTCTGAACACTAAATCCATTGGACGTTGGATGTGTACTGATTGATATCTTAGTCTTAAATACAAGAGTTTTTATTAGTTGTTATTGGCTTTGAACTAGCTTTTGGTAACTGCGATAACTCTCAGATCTGTACTTTGTGTCTTTTGTGTTTTTGTTAGGTATTTTGTGTGTGCTTTGTATCGATTTGATGAGTTGAGCCCTTTTCAACTGATTTTTATTGTTTGTTCTGATGTTGTACTGTTATACCACTGTCCCAGGTTAGTGGAGGGTTTGTCGCTATCAAACATGTTAACCCCGCCACATTCTGTATATGCCTGTCCGAAGTCAGGAGCCTATAATTCAGTGGTTGTCGTCTGTTGCTGTAAATCATATTTGTTTTTCTTTTATTGTTTTGTACATAAATCAGGCCGTTTCTCGTTTGAATTGTTTTACCTTTTTCATTTCGGGTCCTTTTATAGCATACTATGCGGTATATGTGTTTTGATCATTGTTGAAGGCCGTACAGTGACCTATAGTTTTTAACTTCTACGTCATTTGTTCTCTGGTGGAGAGTTGTCTCATTAGCAATCACACCACATCTTCTTATTTTCATATTTAGGAGCTTTGTGTAAAATTGATTTAAAATGTTGCTTTGCGAATATATTCCCCGAGTACCAAACTTCAATATGCATTTTACATTGAAAGTGCTCATGGCAACGAGCAGACTGGCGTGCTCGAAAACTCAGTTGTAGAAAATAGGTATATTTAGGGAAATTGTATCCTGCTAAGGACTATGTGGAACCGTCCAAATATTGATGACTGTAAAGAACTTTAGATTCTGTATGTACATGATTTTTAACAATTTTTGTTTTCAATATGCAACAAAGATTTTTTTTTAATTTCAGTGTCGCAAGCTATTGTTGCAATAGATATCATGCATGGTTCAATTTGATAACATAGTGTAACAGATACTTTCTTAAAAATGTACGATTATGGTTTAGAAATTATTTAACGAGTGTGTCTTAACCGGCGTAAATAATTTATTGACTGTGTTGCCTTTTATGAGAAGAGTCACTTTTCTATTGTTCTCTCGTCATCAATTTCCCACTGTGTAACATGTAGATGTGGTTTCATTTCGAAACGACTCTTGCAATTACATAAAACACAGCGATATCCGAGCTACGGTTGTAGTCGAAGTGTGGAATTCCCACTGCGACGTCATGCTTTTTAAACAATATTAATATTGACTAATACTGATATTCAATATTTGCACATTAAAAAAATAACGCAAATGAAATATAGTGAAGATTTGATTAGATACAGTACGTACGTTGTCTGTATTCAATCGGTTCGTTTGTTTTACTTTTTAAAATCAAATCAATATGAAGAATCTTTGGTGTAAAGTACAAAATGGTTGACGTGAGAGTCTTGGAAAGAAAAGATAAACCTAAGGTCAGTAGTATAGGTCATTAGATGGTTTGAAGGCCATTTTTTCCCAAAAAACAAAATACTTCTAGATGTTTTGTGGAATTCAATATGTCTCTTTCATGTATTGTCATTTGAATTTTGGATTTCAATTTTAATTTCGTTCTGAACATGTATGGAATATTTGCCACTAAACGTAAAGCAACCAACAATCAATCAATCCATCAATTTTAATTAGTATAATCATTTTCATAAAGTTATTTTCATAGTTATCAGTTTCGTTATCATTCATACCCCCGACAATATTCGTAAAAATAATTTAAGCAAGTTACAATAATAATAGTGCACACGCTGAAATGTCTCGATCGCATGCTTTACTGATCTGAATTTTATATTGATGGTCTTTAAAATAAAGGTGTTACTGTAGGCACCACATAAACGTAACATTAACAATGAGCATGAGATCAAGGTCAGACGAACCTTTTCAGACGGACATATACACCTTACAATCATTCAATACACCAAATATACTTTACCTTGATTACAGTATCTGGGGAAACTGACATGAACTATGAAAACTTAACTTTAATCACTCACTGATCCATGAAATGAGGTCAAAGTCAGATGAACCCGGTCAGACATAAATGTTCTATGTTCCTTTGGAATTTCAACCAAAGATGAAGAACTGGATCTTCCTTCACTGTATTGGATACCTTAACTACATAAGTGTCCTTACACACAACGTTATATTGCTGGGTCTTCCTAATGCTCCACAAAACCTCTTTCTAAATTATTAACATAAATTTTATCAGCAATCAAGCCGGGCTTCAAAGTTATTGTGAAACTAATTATTCGAGAGGTGGGGTGTATCAGATGTGGATACTTAAAAAAACCAAAGATCTTTTAGAGTACAAACAATCTAAGACTCTTTCATCTTGCAATGGTATTAAAAGATTTTACTTCTCTACACTTTACACAAGTATTCCCCATTCCAAACTAAAAGACAAATTGAAAGAGTTTGTAAAAAATCTCTCTTATTCAAACAAAAATTCTCTGAAACTGACATTATCGTGATGCTTGAGTTCTTGATTGACAACATATTTGTGATGTTTGGAGGACGTGTTTTTCAACAAACAATCGGCATTCCCATTGTAACCAACTGTGCCTCTTCTTGCCGACTTGTTCCTTTATTTATATGAGGCTGACTTCATGCAGGAACTTCTTAGGAAAAAAGAAAAGAAGTTAGCTGTATCCTTTAACTTCACTTTCCGCTATATAGATGATGTTCTCTCACTAAATAATTCAAATTTTGGTGACTATGTTGAGCGCATCTATCCAATCGAACTTGAGATAAATGATACAACAGATACAGTTAAGTCTGTCTCATTTATATGTAGCAACATTCTAGTAGCGCCTGCATACGGAGTGTATATCTCCCAGTTGATACGATGTTCCAGGGCTGTTGTTTCCTATCATGATTTCCTTGATAGCGGGTTGCTGCTCTCAAAGAAGCTATTAAAACAAGAGTTCCAAGTGGTGAAGTTAAAATCATCCCTTCGTAGATTTTACAGATGCCATCACGAGTTCGTTGACCGTTATGGAATATGTTTCACAGACAACGACGGAAATGCTCCACTTGTCGTAACTACAATCTCGTCCCCTTCAACCGAATGTGACCTACCAATTAGACATATCACCGGGTTTGTACTTACATGAGCAACACGACAGATGCCAAATGTGGAGCAGGATCTGCTTACACTTCCGGAGCACCTGAGATCACCCCAGGTTTTTAGTGGGGTTCGTGTTGCTCAAGTCTTTGGTTTTCTATGTTGTTTTGTGTTCTGTTGTTTGTCTTTTTCTTTTTTAGCCATGGCGTTGCAAGTTTATTTTCAACTTACGAGTTTGAATGTCCCTTTGGTATCCTTCGCCTATCTTTCACACTAAACACTAACCTAAACGCATACTTTGACTTGTAAACAATGTAAAAGTTTCAAAGTCAATGAACCTTGATAGGGGGTGGGGCCAAATAATCTCCATGGAAATGAAGACTTGCGAATGCTAATACTATCATTGACTTAACAATAGTGGTTCCTCTTAAACTGATCTAATTACAAACTTTAACATGTAAACTATTCAGAACATTCAAAGTCCATAGATCATGACTGAGGGGTGGAGTCAAATGATCTCCTTGGAAATGAGATGTGCCAATGCTTATGCATCCTCATACCAAATATCATTGAAGTACCACTAGTGGTTCCCCTTAAACTGACCTTATTACAAACTAATAGTCAAGACCATTACTAAGGGGGTGGGGCCAAATAATCTCCATGGAAATGAGATGTGCCAATGCTAATACAACTGCATACCATATCATTGACCTACAACTAGTGATTCAATTTAAACTGACCTAAATCACAAACTAATACATGTTAAGTAAGCAAAAGTTTCAAAGTCAATAGACCATGACTGAGGGGGCGTGGCAAATATCATTGACCTACCACTAGTGGTTCCCCATAAACTGACCTAATCACAAACTAATACATTGATGCTGCTGCTGCCGGAAACAGCATACCTAAGTCTCACTTTTTGACCCTGTCAAGGCAAGACAAATAAAAATGTATTTCAATCCATAAATTTCTTTTTTTATATATCTTCATTGGTTATTTCAAGAATAAGGTAAGATTTTTTAAAATTTCATAGCGACCTTTGTCATTAAATTATTGTGTACTAATTATCTGCTTAACTTATTAAACATATACAATAAACAAAGAAAGTCATAATTTATGATTTATTTGAATGACATGAAAACAAGCTCATTACAGCACAAACATAACAAGCTTTATACAGAGTTGGACAGAAAAATAGTGGCAAGTTTATCACATAAAATAATCAATTAGAAATATAATAGAATGTATTGTTGAAGATCAGATGAATGCTTACAGTGTAATGTAAAATATAAATATATATATAGATACATAGAATAAATTGTTATAGTAAATATTTCAGAATTCTGACCATTTAAAACATTTTAGGTTGACAGAAAGTTTGACGCCTAACAATCTTAAGTTATTTCTATGTAACTTTCCTTTTAACAAATTTAAATTTAAGTTAGCAGACTTGTGAGTAGTTCCTTCATCCAAGTCTCAACTGATTTCTGATAAATTGTTCACTTTTAAGACCCGCCCATTCTTCTCTATATAGTGAAACTGAATACATTTATTATATATTTAATGACAATACCATGCCATTTATATCATTAAAATATGAAGATAATTTTGTAACCTACAGCATCACACAAACTTTTAAATTTCCATAAAAGTACCGTAGTTACGTACCACAACCCAAATATAATATGGATTTTCAATAATTAGTGAAGGTTCAAGAATACAAATATCCCCAAAAGATAAAAAACAAGATATGCTTCAAACTTGATATGAGGCGGTCTCTGATATGTGAAATACAAAAAAAAACCTCACATCAATTCTCCCGTAGAAAATCCATTATAATCAAAATATTAATTCAAAATTAATTAAAAGAAATAAAGTTAAAGGACTTGTTTTCGATTAAAAATTAATAATCAGATAAAAAAAAAAATTTAAGTAAGTAAAATTCATGTCACACTTTGTTAAGTCATCCGAGATTCAAATTAATAACTTCTGAATATAAAAAATTAAAAAAAATGCCTGCAAACTGGAGTAATTGCTTTTCTTCTGAAACAACTTGGGTGAATAATGTAAAACAGTTCTTTTCATTGGTAATATTATTCTCTATCATATTAAAAAAAAAGATTGTAATTTAGAGTTAAAATGTTCAAATAAACTATCATTTTATAGAAAATTGTAAACACAACCAACAAGGCACATGATATTTATAATAATATAAAAAGTCTACACCGATTTAGAGGATGGAATAAGTTAAAACAATATATAATTTACCCATGTTTTTAAATACAAGACAACTGACTTGAGAATGACACAGTTAGATAACAGAATTACAGTTCCATATTTTAATGAAAAGCCCTTATTCATTGTAAGTTTTTTTAAAGTAAAATCAAATTTGGGTAAACATCAATAAGACGGAATCATTGCAATAAAAAACTTGGACACCATACTTTGTTTTGAGTGAAATGTTCAACTTTGTGTGCAGTTCATGTTTTTTTTTTCTAAATTTAAATTAAAAAAAAAAAATATATATATTGTCTAATAATTCTATATTCTTATGTCAATCTCAAGGGTCTATAAAATGCTTGGAATGGCTAGAAATAATTCACAACCTTTAAATAAGTCTTAATAAATAGCAACATCACAGAACTGTTCTTTAACCCTCTATCAGGAAAAGAACTTCAACCTAATGAACAGCTGACCTCATATTCTGATTTTCTTAAGCCCAAAATTCATTTGTCTCTCGAAAACTAAAGTGGCTTAAGTAACTTGTGATTTTGCCATTAAAGTCATCTCATTATTAAATAAACAATGTTTAAAACAGGAATGTGGGTAACTATCACTTCAGACTAGTACATGTATAATGAATTTATGTAAAAAAAAGCCCCTAAAAAAGTTACCTATTCAATGAAAAATATGGAATATTTTGTACCCTTTGATGAAAAAAGGAATAATAACATACCACAATTGTTATGTTTTAACTGTGCAGAAGTGATCAGACAGCTTATTGTAACTGTATACTGATGAATCATGACTTTAGCGTATTGTAAGCATGCTGAGAGATTTCAGATCAATGACAGCTTAATCTAAATACTGCACATAATTCTTATTTATATCTACAAGTACTTTATAAGGTTAACCATCAAAAACTTATAAGGACATTGTTTCATAAAAAAAAATCTTTAAAGAATACTTTTTAATTCACAAAAGCTGCTACTTTTCAATATATTCATAAACCAATGGTACATGTATATCCTCATTTTTCATGAATTCACAATGAATATTTTCCAAAATGTTTAGTTAAAATAATGAGCTTTATGCTACTGGTACATCTTGAAGTGATTTTTCAAATCAATAATCACAACAACAAAAACCTGCATATTGTGCACACTGAATTTTCATTAATTTGGAACTTAAAATGCCCATTACCTGTTGATTTCAATATATGACATGCTCAAGAGGGTAAAAAGACAATTTAAAATTTTATTTTACGAAAATTACCTTAATTTAGAAAATAAAAATAAAATTTTTGCATGCATCCAAAATATACAAAGCACTGTGCTAGTATCTACTAGATTATTTACAACACATTAAATAATTCTGATTATTTGTCTTGGACTAGAATAAAAATGTTTTAATTTGATGCGTAGCTGACAATGACTAGGCTTTTTAAAACATTTTTTGTGAGGTCCCTATAGATTGGTCCTTCGTTTAAAGAATTTTGAAATCATTGAAACAAATTTTCTATTAAAATAAATCTGATAGGCCTATCAATGTATTCAAGAGTAAAGTTAGAAAGATACAAATACAGCATCCATTTTTTTTTTTATCAAAACTAGAATGTGCAAACTGCCTAGCTGATATAATTGCTTGTTAATAGAAACATTTATATCAGACAATGACGAGATATGTGCATAAATACTACATGTATAATGCAATAATGAAGATAAAATGTAAATCAATACAAGCTTGTACCTTAAGTATGTCCTAAACATATATATATGATATGATGATAATATTCTAAACCTTAAATGAGTGATGTAATTTACAATGATTTTCACATGGACTTCCTTTTCAAGGTGATTAAATGATACTACAGCTAACAGCACATGGCTGATATGAAAATATATATTTTCTGCAATAGGCACAAGTATAGATGTCATTTTCAGAGGTGGATTAAGGACTTTTTGAAAAGGGGGCCCTAAATCCACCACTGCTTTTCATATTTTTATAACACTTCTTTATAGCACATATTTCAAATAAATATTTGAATAATGCCAGACCAAATGTTCTCCTGGATAATGATCTTGATATGTCTTTTTACTTATTATAAAAACAAAATACAGTAACTTAATGGTTTCCTTTATCGGAACTTACTTATACCAATCATAACATCATATTAAATAAAATGCTCCGCTGGGCGCAGCTTTATACGACCGCAGAGGTCGAACCCTGAACAGTTGGGGCAAGTATGGACACAACATTCAAGCTTAATACAGCACTGAATTTGGATTGTGATTAAATATTTGACACAGCATAGGTTTCTGACACAGAATGAATGTGGTCCAAGAACTTAAAAAATTTTAATTTACCTATTCAAACCATATCATTATTATTTGCTTTTATATATAAATCAGAAATAACCAATTTAAAATGGAAAATTTTAAAGAAAAAAAAAGGGAAAAAAGGAAAAAAAAATCCCTCCCCCAAATTTTTTGAACCCCCTTATGATTCATCAACCCCAAACTCAATCCCAGCCTTTCATAAAGATCCATACACTTACACACCAGTTATTGTCCTGAAACTAGAAAAATGCTTGTTTTTTGCCCCTTTTTGGCCCCCAATTCCTAAAATTTTGAGGCAATTACCCCCAAAATCAATCCCAGCCTTCCCTTTGTGGTATGGTACCTTTCAGTACAATTTCAGAGAGATCCATACACTTGAATACAAGTTATTGTCTGGAATCTAGAAAAATGCTTATTTTTGGCCCCTTTTTGGCCCCTTATTCCTAAACGTTTTGGGCAATTACCCCCAAACTCAATTCCAGCTTTCCCTTTGTGATATGGAACCTTGTAGTACAATTTCATAAAGATCCATACACTTACACACAAGTTATTATCCTGAAACTAGAAAAATGCTTATTTTTGGCCCCTTTTTGGCCCCTTATTCCTAAACGTTTTGGGCAATTACCCCCAAACTCAATTCCAGCTTTCCCTTTGTGATATAGAACCTTGTAGTACAATTTCAGAAAGATCCATACACTTACACACAAGTTATTGTCATGAAACTAGAAAAATGCTTGTTTTTTGCCCCTTTTTTGCCCCCTAATTCCTAAAATTTTGAGGCAATTACCCCCAAAATCAATCCCAGCATTCCCTTTGTGATATGGAACCTTGTGGTACAATATCAGAGAGATCCATACACTAACAAACAAGTTATGTCTGGAAGTTACAAAAATGCTTATTTTTGGCCCCTTTTTCCTTAACTGTTGGTACCATAACCCCCAAAATCAATCCCAACCTTCTTTTTGTGGTATTGAACTTTATGGTAATTTAAAGTTAGAGTGCGAAAACCAATGTGTCTTAGGACAACGACGACGACGCCAACGTCATACCAATATATGACCACAAAATTTGTTTGCAGTCGTATAAAAATGTGCCAATTTTTTAGACATCTACTAACTGGATCTGAGTCAGTGAGGTAGGCACTCTGAATATTATTCAATTATAAAACCAGACATAAATATTTTATCCTTGAGTAACAGGTAATTTTGATTTTCCTCACAAAGAAGGTGCACACATAAACCATTAAATTGTGTCATTTTGTTCTAAAAACATTTGTTCGATACAACAACAAAAGCTAAACAAGTTGTACCTATGTCACCTGAATCCTACACATACCTTAAATATAAAAATACAGAAAAGTACTAAAATACTGGATAAGAAATCAAATCATTGCACATTAAAAGTCACACAATTTCATCATCAAAAGTTTTAACAACCTCATTAAATTTATCAAAATAAAATAAAACTTTTAAAATAAAGCACTTAGTTTGCATAAGCAATAAAAACGATGAATTGAACTTGATATGTTTAAAAAAGATGTGATATGCTGTAGTAAAATAAACGTAACAATGAACCAGTAATAAAAAAAGTCGTATTCTACCAGAATATCATCAGTAAACAATCTACTTTTAGCTTCAAGCAATAAATATTATTAAAACTTAAAATAAATTTCCCCTACAATCTTTTAAAATATAGACTTTGGCTCATCAAAGGCTATACTGACTATATCCCTTGACCGTACTGTCAGCCTAGGCCCTCATCTGAGCATAGCCTTAGTTCAACCTTACCTTTAAATGATTCTCTGGAGTATTAGATCAACGATCCCTAAAGTGAATATAAGCTGTAGAATATCCTTTCCCATAGAGGACTTCGGACATTAAGTAAAAGAAGGCCCTAGATTTGACAAAGAAACAAATCTGATATTAAACACAACCATTAACATATACAGTAGTAAACAAAAATAACAATGTCAATATTTCACAATTCTGTTGTCAATGTAACTTTTCTTTCAATAGTTTTAGGTTCTTGTGGCGTCACATGCCATGGTGATAAATCATTTCCATTTATACTGGTACCATGGGAAGATTCTGATTTGTGTTTGACCACATTGGGTGTAAATGTTGTTCTAGAAGGTAAACTTTTGGAACTAGAAGTTGAAGGATTGCGGGATGAAGGCCTTGAACCAGTGAATGAAGACTCCTGAAAACATAAATACATAAAATTACACTAACTCATAAAAAATATCATGTGGCCTGGTACAATGAAGTCTACTGAAAACCATAATTATGGACATTTATAATTGATAATGTGTAACTTAATTAAATGTTACAAACTTTTTTTGATTCAATTGAGAAACAAACATGACTTTTCACAAAAATTTTACAACTAATAAGTTGACAACTTCTATGGAAATATCAATCACTCAAGTAATCAATGTTGACTTTTTTGTAAAAATTCTGCTTCAATTTGTTGACTTGTGTCAAATTAATATATTTTTTTAGTCAAAAGTTTTTGTTTTTTTTTGTATGCAATTACTTTAAAGAAGATTTTTTATGAGTTACTCTGATCCCTTTATAACATAGGTAATCTATGATTACACAGTAAGCTTTCTAATCTCAATGTAATCAATAAAACATAGAAGAAAAATTTAATCTTAATGTAAATGGAAAATGTGATTAAAGTGATTTATACCGACACCACCTACATTTGTACTGGATTCATCAAAATACTAGTACCTCAATACAAGATGAGGAATGAAATGTAGATAAGACATATATACTTATCACCAATATACTAATCTATACAGTATAGGTTACTTAGTACCTTAGAACTGAACTCTGTGTAAAATGAAGTACAGATTTGACCTACTATTTGTGGAAGGTTATAATAATGCACAGGATCCATTGAACAATTGTGTATGTTTGTAATAAAAGATGCTAAGAGGGCAATCAATCAAAAATCATAAGTATAACAGACGCACAAAAAAATGAATAAATGAAAAATAAAACAAACATCACTTCAGAACACTTTACAAAATTTTTTATGGAGCAACAGGAAACTCAACAACAAACAGGGGTAAAATTAAGTTTTCAGAAAGGTAAGAAGTTCCTGCTCTTCAAGTAGCACCCATCCTGTTGCATGTGACATTCTAATATGTCATGAATGAACAAAAACAGACAGGATTGTGGGTTTGGACAAATGGAAGATACACTTGGTTACTAAAAAATATCAAACTAGGTGATTAAAATTTAAAAATAAATTTTGAAAAGAGAAATCGATAATACCGATATACAGACCTAACTACATCTACAGTCATGCAATTAAAGTCCGGTATATTTTATATTTATATTTTAAATCAAGGATAGAGAATTGTTCTACAAACACCGTGGTCACTTACGAGTCAAGATATTAAATGTAAGGGTGTCATAATCCATTTTTTCATTTTCAAGATTAGCCTTTAAAATTTATTACACTGAATTCACTTACAGTGTAAGTACACTTTGGCGTCTAGTTTGTAGCTCTTCTAGAGCAATTTACTAAAATTTCTAGCATATAAAGTATTTAGCAGGATGATACAAGCAACAATTTGATAATTTTTATTAACTGAAAAACAGAGAATGATACATTTACAGTCAAATAACGTATTACCTATAACCTTTTACATATTAATACTGTAAGCTACATTATTTGATATATTGTATTAAAAAGATAGTGTTATTGGGGTAAATGCTTGTGTAATCAGAAAGATTATTATCTATAAATGAAAACAGATTATAGTTACAAAATGCTGCTTATAATTTAATTTAAGACTGAATTAAAATGTAATGATACAAATCTTTTCTCTTCAGCAATTTAATTTAAAACATAAGAGTTTTCTTACTGGTAGTATGCATTACAACATCATGATGACTAATATGGAAAATCATACAAACAGAAAGGGCACTGGTATTTTATTCATAATAAAAGAACAGAGTTCCAATATCCCTGTGTTGCAGATATTTTATCTATCCAAGGGTAATAGCTAAAAAAATTGTTAACACAAGAATATGTCTTGCCTTTTGTTATTTTAATAGTAAAATGCAAATGTTGATATTAAAATTGCAATACCTGAACATGTAAGTTATGCATAATTTTCATAACTGAAGGTACAGGGCCAAACAATCTCCTTGGAAATGAGATGTGCCAATGCTTATACAACTGCATACTAAATATCATTGATTTATCATAAGTGGTTCACCATAAATTGACCTAATCACAAACTAATACATGTAAAATAAGCAAAAGTTTCAAAGTCAATAGAACATGACTGAGGGGGGTGGGGCCAAATAATCTCCATAGAAATGAAATGAGCCAATGCTTATACAACTGCATGCCAAATATCATTGACCTACCACTAGTGATTCCCCATAAACTGACCTAATCACAAACTAATACATTGTTGACAGGGCCGCCTCCAATGTCACCAGAAACAGCATACCATACTCTGTTAAGGCGAGACAAAAACTTCTTTTTTTCTATTCTTTTAAAACTTTTTATAATTATCTTAGAAAAATGAAGGCTTGAGAGCAAATACAATGCAATTTCCAATATAAAAATATTTGATCAGCACTAATTTTCAAACTTGTCAGAGACATTGCTTATATAAACCTTTGATATAAATTTGATAAAAATCTGGCAAAAATTGTACACATAAGAGCACTTAACAACACAATTTTCCATAAAATTAATATTTCAAAGGGGCATAACTCCTTTAAAAGTATTAGATCGGCACTGATTTTCGGACATATCCGAGACATTGCTGATATAAACCTATGATATAAGTTTTATAAAAATCTGGCAAGACTTGTACATGTGAGAGTGCTAACAAGACCAGAAGGACAGACAGATGAACCCAAAGACGGACGCCAGGTATTTCTATGCCCCCCCCCCCCCCACAACGTGTTGCACAATAAATAAAAAGCTATGATTATGGATCCATGCAGAGAAAAGGATATCTAATTCTATTTTTTTTTCTCTTTTTCTAAATCTAGATTAGAGTATAGAATATATTGAAATATTTTGGAATGTTGCTTCATGGAGGAAATATACTCCTATGTAAATTAGACTGGAAACCTCTTTAAAAACATACAGAAGTTACTAGTAATACTACTCCCTTTTTTACAAGACCTCCCCCTAAAAAAAAAACCAAATAAAATAGAATAAAATAATATCTTATTAGACTTGCAGAATTATTGATATCCTAAAATATAAATTTATTATTCGTAGTAAAGTAAAATTACCACAACTCCAGTGATTCTAAAATTTCATCAACAAAACTCCTCAGCAGGAGCAGTCATAAAAGTCAAATTGTGTTTTAAACAAGTAAACTATAACTAAAAGCAATAGTGCTCAAAAAAAGAGATTAAGGGTCATAATACTTCTAACCACCTAAGTGGTCTGTCTTGTAATAGCACCATCACCTGAAAAGCCAGTTTTGTGTACACTCCCCTACCAGGTCAGATAAAAAAAAACGTATTTTTCCTTCTACTTATTTAGAAATTTTAGCAGACTTTTCTATTTAGTGATGATGACGATGATGATGGGATTGCAGTTTAATGTCCATTAGCAAATATTACATGAATATCAGGATGACTACACATCAATGAGATTCGATATGAACAAAACTTTGTACTAAGACTTACATGCTGAGCCAAATTTTGAATAAGATAGTTCAGTAGGTAACATTCTGTAGAAAAAAAAAAACATGTTACCCTACCTAAACACATAACTCTGATCGGAGCCTACCGGCCATTCCTCTTACTCTAAAATGCTGTGTGTTAAGCAGAGAAGCAGCAAATATAACAAGCATTCTGAGAGTATTGCATGGCAATACATAGTCCCCTACCAGTTAAAAATTCATTGTACTGGAACAAAATGCTAACTTGATCTATAGCTTGTCATGGTGTAAACTATATAACAAATATCAAGTCAATATCTTCAAGCATGACGAAATAAGTGTGGAAAACTGAATATTTGAGTGAATTTACTAAGTCCAAGGACCATAACTCTGCACAAAATCATCAGACCGGAACAAAATTCAAAATGATCTGCAACTTGTCATGGTAACTCTAGATACCAATTATCAAATCTCAATATCTTCAAGCATGACAAAAAAAAGTGTGGAAAACTGAATATTTGAGTGAATTTACTAAGTCCATGGACCATAACTCTGCACAAAATCATCAGACCAGAACAAAATTCAAAATTGATCTGTAACTTGTCATGGTAACTCTAGATACCAATTATCAAATCAATATCTTCAAGCATGACGAAAAAAAGTGTGGAAAACTGAATATTTGAGTGAATTTACTAAGTCCATGGACCATAACTCTGGACAAAATCATCAGACCAGATCAAAATTCGACCTTGATCTGTAACTTGTCATGATATAACTATATACCAAATATCAAATCAATATCTTTATGCACGAAGAGAAAAAGTGTGGAAAACTGATTTGCTGGACTGACGGATGGACAGACAGACAGACAGACAGACAGACAGACAGACAGACAGACAGACAGACAAACGGACAGAGTGCAAACCTAAAGTCCCCTACGACTTTGTCGGTAGGGGACTAAAAACAAGTCTTTATGTTTGACTCGGATAGGAATGAACGATAGGATGAACTCATGATCTCCGGCGAGCATACCTAATCACAGCAGTCTTTTCAATTTGGAGACAGAATAACATAACATGTCTGGTAGGATAACAAGGTTTCCCTGCAAACTAGTAGCTGTGAGCTAACAAGTAAAGCTCTATGGTCTGTTACAAACAATATTATATTCATTTGACATGTCATCATCCTGAATATGTGTTTTATACTTGCCTATTAGTATTAGCAAGCATCAATCAATCAATCAAAACAAATAAATTTATCATCCAAATTTTACGGTTTCCAGATAAAAGACAAAGCAGTAATTTTATGCTCCCCAAATATTTTCAGACTTTTTCTAATTACTACTGTATTAAAATCAAATTTTGTTTTGTTAAAAAAAAAAGATTATAAAAAGCTTTTTTTTGTTTTATGTCAATTTTATTCTATTTATAAAAGCATTAGTTAATTCTTTATAGAACAAAAATCAAGAGGTTTCCAGTATAGTATGTGATAACAATAATAAAAGCTTATACCAGCGCCAGATTACAACATCAAAATGTTTATACTGTACCAAAATTATATAGTAGTCTCTATAGATATATGTGGCCTGCATTTCTCCTGTAGGACCAAAAAAATGTAATAATGTTAAAAACGCAAATGAATTTTTTTATATAGTTTGTTGTTTGACTATGTATAGAAAGTGAAAATAAAAAATGTGTTCAACCACTCTCAATACCATGGAACTATACATAAAAATATGTAATATTCAGTGCACACTTAAAACAAATATTTCATTTGTTAATCATATCTTGAACAATCTGAAAAAAATAACCTGTAAACAACAAATACAAATAATGATTCAATAATAAACTGCTTTTTATAGCAAAGTTTACAAATATCATGAATGATTAATGATTTAAAGCTTTTAAAGAACTTAAAAAAAAAAAAAAAGATGAAAAGAAGGATGAAATATGAATTATGCAATGTATTTCAGACTTTTAAGTATAATATATTTCAAATTCACATTTACATTTACATCACAGTGTCAACCTATAACTAACATCATGCACAATCTTTTAAAATATTTTCAAGATGCAAAAACAGTGGATTATAAACTGTAACTATATTTCATTCAGTTTCAAGTTAATTCGTGCAAATTTTCTCATGCAAATTCCATTCAGGTCCAAGACAGTAGTTTTGTAAAAGACATGCAGAAAACAGTCTAGAATTAGTGGTTAGAATAACTCATGCAAATCTATAACTACAATTTATATACTAAAACAATGGTAGTTGTCTGTCTGCCAATATTGTTTGTGAACACTATACAAATTCATCTTGTAAAAAATAAACAAACATTTGATTCTTTTGAAAGTTTCTCTTTATCACTGGTCTGACCATAATTTTTATAAATTTTACTAATATAGTCTTAATGTTATATTTTGTGCTTTAACATCCACTGAAAAATTATTTCATATCTAAGTTCATAAGAAACAGTTCAAAAGTCCCTTAAATGTACACATGAGTTGTTGGTGGCTTAACATTGCTGATTTATACACTTATTTGCCTTTTTTCTGATTGTCCAGAGATCTTTCATAAAAAAAATTCTAGCAACAAAATTTGATCTCAAGCAATTGGGTTTTGTTTATAATTACTTCATACTACAAGTTTTGTTACAGGGTCTGGTTTGATAACAAAATACACATACATGTTTATATACATTTATTCAGACCTAGTGAACATTTCATTGATTGACAGTCATTAACCAGAGAAATATAACACATATTGTTGCCTGGTTAAAATTGATGAGGTAAGTTTGTCATACATTTTTTATGTAACTGCAGAATAGTATATGTGTATATATGAGTTATAAGGACTATACTTCATCCTGTAATTTCATATAAGGCATAAAAAAGTCAAATAGAATGTTATGTCATCAAATTCTAATTGTAAGTTTTAACCAGAAGTTAGAACAGACAAAATAAAATGGAACTCAAAATATGAATTAGGAATTTTTACTTTTTAAGATTGGCAAGAATATTTAGCATCAGGAAAACGGTTATTATGGTACCCCAATGCAGGATAGATTTTCTACTAATCTAAATGGAGAATAATATTAATCAAATCATAATTGCAATGTTAATAAAAAATTATAGTGATCAAAGTTATAATAAGAGAATGTTAATGTCTACAATGAAACCAATACTTGCAAATAGTTATGGCTTTTAAACTGTTATATCAAATTACTGGGTTTCTAACAATGTTCAATATTGTAATATGACCTTCTTCTTTCGCTTTGGCAACAAAGCCATTTTCTAAATCCAATAGAATATGGGCTGCATGTGATTGACTTCACAATTGAAATTGCAACGTCAGTTGTTTTTTTAACAACGCTGGAGATCAAAATGGACAATTTGGTTGGTGTTGCTTGCTAGGAAATTAAATTAAATCATTCTAAAAGAAAGTTTACATGTATCTGTTCATTTTTTATTGTGAAACGGTTGATTTTCCATATCGTTTTGGCTTCCTTAAATGAAAATGGCTTCCTTTCGAACATGTATTATAGGTCTGTGTCGAAGTACAGAAGTTCTAAATTTTCCTATCAGAATCAAAATAATTCTATCATGTCATGCTCTATGCTCATTTAACATGGGTAGGCATGCATTATATTTGTCAACATTTTACACCTTGCTAATGCTAGTTATAAAGATATTGACAAATATAATGCCTACCCACGTTAAAATAAGCACAGAGCATGGCATGAAAGAATTATTTCTGAATTAAAAACCATTAAGTTTAACAATGAACAGAACATCATACAATTATTCCACTAAAACAGTATTTTTTCCACATTTCTATGATCTCCGAAAATATTTTCTCTTTTAAAAGCAATAATCTTCTAAAATGCAGACTCCATGAATAGATGTTATTAAAATCATTGTCACCTTCTGAGAATTTTTAGTTACTATTTTAACAATGAATATTACTTTGTCAAAATCAAACAGCTGTGAAAAAAAAAAAAAAACAAACTTTTCAATATATTAGACAGGTGTACTGAAGACAGGGAACACTTCATTGTGGTTTATTGATGGTGAACAAACTGTCAAATTTACTAGGATTCACACTTACTTTTCACAATGTTGTTTCTCTTTTAATAGACCTGTTTCTTCGCTAAACATAGAAATAAAGCAAGGTGTATGGATAGTTTGGAAATGTTCTTATATCCATGAAATTATATAATAAACTGAACAAAAACAATTAGAGAGTATCACCAAGTCAAAAATTTGCTTAATGGTATTCACGAAGGATATAATTTTTTCAGAAATAATTCTTTTATCAAAATTCTGTTTTATCATAAAACAAGGCATACTCAGTCTAATATGCAATCTTTAAAGTTTATATGAAATAGGAGAACAATCTGTACAAAAGAATACATATTAAACTTTTATTGTTACTCTTACACTCACCAATTACTACTATGAACTAACTTGATGCATAACTAGTTATTACAAGCAAAAGCAATTATAATGTATCCATGCAAAGGTCAAGCAAAGCAAGTAGATCTAATGTATAAGTTTAAGTTTCTAAGTTGAATATGACTATGAAACTTGAACATGCTGTTTTTAAACCAATAGTTTTTAAGGCTCTCATTTTAATAGTCTTGCCAAAATAAAATCAATAGAATAACTAATATTTACTTTGACAGCTGTCTTGGCATCAGTATAACAGCTTTTACCAGGCACATATAGAAACCAAACTTTTTAAAATCAACTTAATTTGCTAATAATCATTTAATCCACTGTTCTGTTTGTAATTAAAAAACATTAAAAAATTGATATATTTGACCAAAAAATCTGAAAAAAAGTTACCAATTTTTTGAAAAGAGCAAACAGGCATAATTCAATTGAAAAAGAAGAAAAAATCGGTTTGAAACTCATTTGATGGATAATTTTAGGCAATATCCTGGTTTTCTTTTCTGATTTCAGTCCTATGATAAGACTCTTTATTAAAGAGTAATCAAGAACAAAACTGATAAGAACAGAAAATTAACATGTATTAAAGCATTGAAAGCTATCACACTTAAACTGTATCGACTTCTGATAAAATTATCTGTAAACTCTTAAACTACTTATGTGTTTGTAAATGCCTGAAGTTAATACTGAAAATGAGAGCATTAAAATCAATTATAAAAGCTAGAGCAAGCTATAGTATTTGGACCTGAACAGAAAAGAGAAAACTTACAATAGCAACTTTGGGAGGGTTTCCTTTCTCTGCCTTTTTGGTCACCGAAGGAGATTGACCTTTCCCAGCCTTAGGTGATGAAGGGGTCACTTTTTGATCAAAAGATGCTTCAGCAGTTTTATCTTCCTCTTTTACAGGGTCAGAAGTTATTTCAGTTTCAATAGCCCCAGATTTATCAAAAGAATTTACCAAAGATTTTTCTGTTTCATTTTGGTCCACATCATCATGGAATGGATTTTTAGGCTTTGGAGGAAGAACAGGTGCCCCTTCTTTTTCATTAGATGGGTTGTTTGGTAATTTTGTTCTGGGTGCAGGTTTAGGCTTTCCAGATGACTTGGCAGCTTCTTCATCAGTTTTATTTGAAAAATCTATAATTATCTCCCCTTCTTTGCTAGAATTTCGTTTTGGAAGAGTGCTGGCACGATTCGGGGGAGGTGGTCTTGGAGGGGGTTTAGGAGAATCAGGAGTGGTGATCTGTACAGCTGGGCTGGAAGGTCTCTGCAAGCTTTTCCCGGACTCAGATGTATGCTTGGTGGTTGAAGTGCTTGTGAAAGCTTCATCAGTGGTCTGTGGTAAAGCAAAGAAACAAATGATTTTTTATGACAAACAACATAAATGCTTCATATGTCTGATATATCATGTTGTCTTAAAAAAAACTTATCCTCTTTAATAAAATTGTAAAAGAAAACATTCTAGTACTAAACAATGCCATTTGTTTTCTCTTGAAGTCATATATTAAATTTTTTTATATATCTTCAACAGTTTCTATATCTATAAAAATTAATCTTCAAATATCTCGGTCCTAGGTACATGATAAATCAGACAATGTTTAAGTAGTACGATATGATGTATGACAATGAAAAATGACATCAATGACCAATACCTAAAACACTTTTAAGTGTAACCTCATAACAAATACATGACATTTGTAATAATTAGTCAGTCTTTTATCATGTTTGAGTATTGTTTCACTGCCAATTGACCCTGTTAAACAGATGTTTGTCAAAAGTGATTAAAAATTTTATTTAATGCTAGCAGGAACTGCAACATTATTTATTCTCATTCAACTGATAACACAAGTGTGATCTAAATATTCTTGAAATGTCACTTGAAAACTGTTTTTGGTGCTTGAAAGATTATGTAAATATTACTGACCTAATTAGACAATACATGTAATAAAATGGGATTTCTTCTACTTTCCATTTCATAAATATATTACAACGTTTGTATGTGTATGATGAGGTTCAACTTCATTTCAACACAACAAGCATCATAGATACTTTCAACAACACAAATATCTACATCAGCAATTTGTTATCTTGTTGATTTAAACAGATGCCATCACCAGTGAAAGATCCAATATATAATGTGTACACCAGTGTAGAATAAAATCAGTGACTATCAGACCAGATATCCAGCACTAATTTTGTTAAATGTTACACAAATTTTGTTTATATGCAGAATATTATTTTCATAGAATATATGTTTTGAAAAAATCTCTCTAATCTGGTTTTGTCTGAACTTTAAGTTTGTTTATAGGATCTAAGCTATGGCCTTAAATTATTCCAATATTAACCAGTCGAGCAATATCATTAATTCTGTATTCATAAAAAAAAGATCAGCATTTTACTAAGCTAAAGGTGCAGACCACAGAAATCACAAAACGGCAATTTAAGTGAGGTTGTAGAACCTATTTCTGATTAAATATAGAAAAGAAAGTATATATTGCAATTATTTAGAATATTGCTGTGGAGGTGATGGTATATATATTGTCTGTATACAACTTGTAACATTCTATGAATCTTCAGCAGAAAAAAAACAGTTTTAATCACTTTTAAATAGAAGTCAGATGCATTTAAAGATCAATTATAATTATAAAGGGGAATTAGATGAATTTTAAGATCAGTTATTATTTTTAAATTCAAAATAAGAATCAAATGAATTTTTAGATCAGACTCAATCTAAAATCAGAGACACTTATTTAAATGCAAACTTAACCTCAGTTATTAAACCATAATTTTAGGTCATAAAGTAATAAGAAAACTAATACTGTGGTTCATAGAGTCCTTTGAAAATTGATCTTAAAAAGCAAAATTTTGCAGCAGTAATTCAAATTTAAAATATAGTTTACAGTGACTAAAATATTCCAGTAAAGCCTATGTTTAATTAATCCTTTACTATATGCATAGGGGTAAACATAGGGGGTCACCTTCAGTTTCTGATGAATAGAACAAATGCAGACCTTAACAAGAGCATTGACATATTGACAGGGGGAGTGGGGGTAAATTCTGTAAATTCAGAAATTAGTGCGATTTTTGAAGAATGGACAAAAAGCGAGATTAATTATTGCGATTTCAGGAAAATCTGCACGCAACTATATGTAATGCGAGTTCTTATTATTGCGATACTCACACAGTCGCATAATTTGCATCAATAAAAACCTCGTAATAATTTCTGAATTTACAGTAATATGCCCCTTCCACTTTCATTGCGTGAATAAAAAGTTATCCACAAATTACTCTTTCACAAAGCGTAGTTTAGCATAGATTGTGCAAGGAAAATTAAGAAACTTTTCCAAAAAAATAAGCATAACTTACAATGTATGAAAATTGATGAAAATATTATTTCCCAAATACATTTCAAACTGAATGATAGACTTACCCCAAAAGGTGTTGATGTTGCTGTTGTTAGGAACACTTCATTGTGAGCTGTAGATGAACTCAGATTTCTCCTCCTATTTTGTTCAATGCTGAAACAAACAATCATTTCAATAGTATTTATTTTTATCTAAAACTATTTGGGTGAAATTGTGTGCGAGTTTGGGTTCAGGTATTTGTATGCATACAATTAAGAGATCCAGCATAATTTTACATTGTCCCTTAAATAATCATTGACATTTTTATCTTCATTGCCAAAGGCCTGACTTGCAGCCACTTCCTGTTTGCCGATAGTTTGTTTTAAATTTCATAACACTCATAGTACAAGGAAAATTTTCATCAGCTTGATAATGATGAGTTGTAGCCTATTAAAAGAAAGTAATTGTTACCCATTGTGTGTAACAGTAGAACCTCTTGGCAGTGAACTACTGTAAGAATTTCCTTCACTTTGTGAGATCCTTTTGCCTGTTACACTTCCATGAGAAATCCTTCTTTCTGTGTCCCCACTAGTAGATGCCCTCATGTTAATGTCACTACTATGAGAATTTCTAGAATCACTATGAGAATTTCTGGTATCACTTTGTGAATTTCTTGTGTTATTATGTGAACTTCTTATTTCTGATGACTGTGATGATCTTTTAGGGACTGGAGGTCTTTTAATAACAGTATTCTGCATAATTCTAAGAAAACAAATATCAATATTTTATGCACACTATACATTTAGTCTACAATTATAATAAGTTATGCAATGAATGAGTAATGACTGATAAAACAATACATGGAAATGTCAACGCTTGTCAAGAGCATATTGAAGTCCATTTCAACAAATGATGCAAAATTTTATTTCTAGCCACTATTAGCAGTGCTTTTATCCCAGATCTCATTTTCATCATTTGTCCATAACAAAGTGTTGAAAAGAAAAATGTACATGTTCCTCAAATAAAGATTGTAGAACCTACTTAAAATTTCATAGTAATGTGTGTTACTTGTCACTTCCTCAAGAACAGCTTACTGTGTTCATCAGTATTTAAGATTAGAAATTTCTATTCTGCAGTTTATATACATGTATACTTGATGTTAATTTTACAAAACAATCTTTAAAAAATAATTATGATAACTTTCACAAGTTATATAAAATTTTATTTACTTTCATCAATTAGTAACTCAAAGTCATAAAATCAATTACACATTCTACATAAAATAATTAAGAATAAATATGTGCATAAGCGTTCTGTTCCACCTTAATGTATGACCAACCCTTTGACAAATTCGCATTAAATGACCATACCACACAAAGGCATTATTTGTTTTCAAAATTATCAGGGGATTATTTTCTTTCATTGGACAGAAATGGTAAATTAGAATTTCAAACAAAAAAATTAAGACCATAATGAATTATTGCAACAAAAAATTCATACTAATTATGATTATTCAGGAGAATTTATCATAAAACAATAACTAGAGGCTCTCAAGAGCCTGTGTCGCTCACCTGATTCTACTTTGGTTTTGGAAATCATGTAAAAATAGATTAAAATCATAACAGATACCCTAATAATGAGTGAGGCCAAATTTGGTTTAATATTGGTCCTGTAATTTAATAAAAAATCCTGGTGGCCATCTTGAACAGTAAATCGGCAACAAAGTAGCAACACTTAATCAGCACCTCATAAGAAACATTTATGCCATGTTTTGGTTTCATTCCATTCAGTGCACCTCTAGAAGAAGCATTTGTTTGTATTTCCCATTGGGTCTTATGTTAAAGGAAGTCCCCCCAATGGCGGCCATCATGGATGAAGGATCAGCTTCAAAGTAACAAAACTTAGTCAGCACCTCATAAGGAACATTCATGCCATGTTTGGTTTCAATCCATTCAGTATGTGGTTCTCTAAAAGAAGACATTTGTATGTATTGTCCATAGGGTCCTTTGTTAAACATTGTCCCCATCTGGCAGCCATCATGGATGAAGGATCAGCTTCAAAGTAACAACACTTGGTCAGCACCTCAAAAGGAACATGCATGCCATGTTTGGTTTCATTCCATTCAATGGTTCTCTAAAAGAAAACATTTGTACGTATTTCTCATAGGGTCCTATGTTAAACTAAGTCCTCCGCTGGCGGCCATCTTAAATTATGGATCGGCTTCATAGTAACAACACTTGGTCAGCACCTCATAAGGAACATTCATGCCATGTTTGGTTTCATTGCATTCAGTGGTTCTCTAAAAGAAGACATTTGTATGTATTTCCCATAGTGTCCTATGTTAAACTAAGTCCCCCGCTGGCTGCCATCTTGGATGATGGATCAGCTTCAAAGTAACAACACTTGGTCAGCACCTCATAAGAAACATTCATGCTATGTTTGGTTTCATTCCATTCAGTGGTTCTCTAAAAGAAGACATTTGTATGTATTTCCCATAGGGTCCAATGTTAAACTAAGTCCCCTGCTGGCAGCCATCTTGGATTATGGATCAGCTTCATAGTAACAACACTTGGTCAGCACCTCATAAGGAACAGTCATGCCATGTTTGGTTTCATTCCATTCAGTGGTTCTCTAAAAGAAGACATTTGTATGTATTTCCCATAGGGTCCCATGTTAAACTAAGTCCCCCCCTGGCAGCCATCTTGGATTATGGATCAGCTTCAAAGTAACAACACTCGGTCAGCATCTCATAAGGAACATTCATACCATGTTTGGTTTCATTCCATTCAGTGGTTCTCTAAAAGAAGACATTTGTATGTATTTCCCATAGTGTCCTATGTTAAACTAAGTCCCCCGCTGGCGGCCATCTTGGATTATGGATCGGCTTCAAAGTAACAACACTCGGTCAGCACCTCATAAGAAACATTCATGCCATGTTTGGTTTCATTCCATTCAGTGGTTCTCTAAAACAAGACATTTGTATGTATTTCCCATAGGGTCCTATGTTAAACTAAGTCCCCCGCTGGCGGCCATCTTGGATGATGGATCCGCTACAAAGTAACAACACTTGGTCAGCACCTCATAAGGAACATTCATGCCATGTTTGGTTTCATTCCATTCAGTGGTTCTCTAGAAGTAGTTCAAAATGTAAAAAGTTAACGCTGACGACGGACCCAAGTGATGAGAAAAGCTCACTTGGCCCTTCGGGCCAGGTGAGCTAAAAATAAAAGAAATTTTTTATTACTTAATGGAAGCAATTTCTAGTTTTAACATTTTTTATCCCCAATTTCAATGCCAAACAAATGAACTAGATTTGATTTTACAACAGACCTTTACCATAATACATTTTTTGTACAACTACAAAATTTGCAATCATAGAAAAATGCCACAAATAAATATCAGCTGTTTTATTACTCGAGTATGAATAAGCAATCACTAGATGTTAGAATAAGTTATAATGTTAAAACTAATTGTAGACTGATCCAGCTTTTGATAATCCGTTTGGAATAAAAAGAATATAATTTATGTATTCTGCAAACAAACACTAAATGAGTCAGGGATCTAAAAATGTGTCAAATTGTACAGCTTGCCCAGTAGATGTATAAATCAGATATCAAGAAGCTATAATAAGAAGCTAATGGGGAAAATGTAACAAAACATTTACATATGTGCACTACATGTGAGGGATGTTCATTATTCAGCAAAAAGGAAGTAGATAAGCCGAGAGATATGAAAATCCAAAACACAGTACGGGAGGAAACTTAATCAGCAGTCCTGAAATCAGTCAGCTATATGTCAAGAGTTGCAGAGATACATGTCATTGTTAAACAGGAAGTTGATTTATCATGTTTATAGTGAAGAATCTGAAAATGTTTCAAAAGCAGCAGTCTTACTAGGATGAACATTGGCAACAAATAAAAAGCTGGTAATAGTAGTCGCTAAAATAATATGACAAAACTTTGTATGTGCACAATACTTGTAAAGGGAATATTTGTATTCAGGAAGCTGAAAATGCTCCACTCTGAACAAGTGGACCAAATAAAAGTTAGTGTCAAATTTTAAGAAGATGTGGTATGTACTTGCTAAGAAAAATGAGGCAAACAATTTGTTTTGATGCCTTACATGAAATGATCAATCATTTCGTCAACAAATGAGAAGTTAATATGTGAAAGATCTAAAACATCTCATACAGATTTATACTAAGTATGAAGAAGTTTTGACTTGTGTGAATAATGTGACAGAAATGGTTGACCAACAGAGTTATACCCCTTCTTTTAGGGGTTATAAAATAGATATTTTTTTAGAAGTGCAACAACTAGGTGATAATATCAAGCCTTTCAATCATAAATAATTTAGTAAATTGAGTAAACATCATGAAAATACCTGATTGAGTCATGGAATTTTTGTATTTACATTCTAAATAAATATTAAAATATTAAAGAACTTTTGTTGCAGTCTCAATAACCTAAAACTGTAGCAAATATTTATAATGAAAGGCTTTGAAGAACACTGTTAAAACTACAACATCCACCAAATGTTAGTTGTGTTAGTGTATATATTGTACCGACACAATATATACCTCTCATTTTCTCTATTTTCATTGGTTGTTTTAAGTTTAAGGTCATTCAGATGAACTGTTGTCTGTTTGACCTCTTGGTCATGTTCTTGATCACTGTCAGATTTTATACTGTAAGCAAGGCATTTCATATATATATTTACAGGTAAAGCAATGTATAAAAATAGATGATAAAATGTTTACATGAAAGAAGAAAATAGTAGTGAATTACTAGCTGCTTAAGCTAAGTTTATACATTGAATTCAACATTTACACTGGTTAATTGTCTTAAAATTCATTGAATTACAGTAACTTGTATGTTTTTAAGAAGCAATGAATCTTTCAAACTATTAATAAATAATCAGATCTCATTATATACAGCTACATGTATTACTTAAGCTTTTTTTTATAAATTAAATAAATATGTAGCTTACTTGAACTGCTGAAGGTTGACTGATAACTAAACTTTAATCATGCAAATATATCTATTTAGCATTGCTTTAAATTTGAAGGTATACGCAAGCTGTAAAGAAAGATAACTCTTTACCTTTCTCCATCCACATTATCACTGTGTTCTTCATCTTCTGATTCAGTTTCTTCGAGGAGTAAACCTACAGCAGTATAAATCAAAATAGTACAATTTTGTTCATTTTCATCCTTAGGTGTGGGTTCTACACAACATTGCAACAAGGGAACTAATCAATACAGTAATAAAACAAATGTTCTTAGCTATTGATCAATCGTGTTCTAGATAGATCATATCGCATATGTTATTCTAGAGGCCAGATTAGGCAGATGTAATGCACATGTTATCTCTAAATATGGCTACATTACAAGCTGTAATAACAGATGTTTAAAAGAAATTAAATACAGATTTCACACATTTTTCAAACTCTTTTAAATTATAAAATTGCTGCCAAATTAATTAAACAGTATTGTAGACTGAAAGCAATGTACATTAATCAATAGCCTTGTAATAACACGTATAAGTTCTATGGATCTTTAAAAAGTCAGTGAAATGATATATCAATGGACATTCTATTCATCTTTATGTTTTCCAGTGAACATTTTTTGTAATCTGTACATCTGTTGACAAACATTTCTTCAATTTTGAATGCATAAAACATATAAAACTTTGAGTAACTACTAATTTTAAGATATAATTGAACAAACCTTTGCGTTCCTCCTCCATTTTAGCAGCCTTTAGAATATTGCACTTCATTTGGTCAGCAGGAATGGAAACAGCTCCCCCTGGATATTTGACCTGGTTATTTTTACTGATATTCACATCATTCTTCCTTGCTGGAATGTTTGTACGATTATCTACTAATCCTTTTATTCTGGCTTGAGCCATCTCAGAGGCATCTGTAATATATATAATTTAATAATTTTTCTATAGGTTACAAATAACATGATTTCACATCTATAGAAAGGTCTGTTTAAATCAATATGTATACTGACCATGTCCTATACAAGTGTAAACTTTTGTTAATAACTGAATAGGCCTTGTTAGTTACTTAATGTTTGTATCATGTTACATTTTTGTACTTTTATCCTTGTTTTGCATCACATTATTGTTAAAAGATTATAACGAAAGTCCAAACCTTTAAGTGACATCTCTGAGCTATCCTGTGTTACACCAGATGCTGCATTTCCATCTCCCTTCACTAGCGTGTCTAGCCTGTCGACAGCACTAGCTCCTTCTATAGGAGCTATAGAAGGAGCTTTACCATTGGTAACAGGTGAGCTAGGTTTGGGTGCAGCTTGTTTTGTCCTTGGAGATGTGGGTGGAGTCTTGACAGTTGGGGAAGCAGGCAATGGAGCCACTGGCATCACAGGTACATTGACTTCCACAGCGAGCTTTCTATCCCTGGTAAAGACATTTTAAAGTTTAGTAATGACATATTTCCCAACATTTTTTAATGAAACATAATCAAAATTCAAATACAATTTTTTTTTCAAATCTGTATTGAAGAAAGTTTGTAAGTTTATAAAAACTGGTTGCAATTTCCCCAGGCAACAATTTATGAACAAAATTTACCATATTATGTTGATTCCCAACAATACTCCCTGCTATGAACATCCAAACAATATGTGATAGCTACCTAAAGGTTTTTCTGTTTAGACTCTTTCTGTTGTTCTCGAAGTGATTAACATGGGTACCGGCATACTGTGGATTCATTATTATTTATGGGATAACAATTTTTGTAGATTTTATGGGTAAAGGTTAACCACAAATTTAAATGTTCAGCAAAGTACAAATTTTAAATAGGCTTGTATGCAGACTTTGGCAAAGCCACGAATTCAAAAAACCATAAAATACATTTTATTCTTAATCCACCAAAGTTGGTATCCACAAAAATTAATGAATCCACAGTACTGAAAGGCAACAACCAACACATTAAATTTTACTTCCTTGTTGTTTAAGAAATAATTCATGGAAGCCATAGATTTGTTGGACATTTACACATGGCCTGGGCCGTGATAATCAAATTTTATCCTGAGCGTTAGCGAGGGATAAAATTAACAAATATCACGGCCCGGGCCATGTGTAAATGTCCAACAAATCTATGGCTTCCATGAATTATTTCGATTCTAATAGGACAAAAACGGTAATTTAAAAACTAAAGCGAACGTAAGATTGACGTGTGTATGGCTGTTCTATTTTACCCCCTGTAAGATAAAAGCTACAAATTTCATATAAATCTAAGTCTTACATGAATTATTTCTCAAATAAGCAGTAAAAAAAAGGTTTCAATTCTCATAATTCTTAACCCAAACATTTATTTTTCGTTGGCTACTATTTACTGTCAAATCAAGAGTTGACATGTCGTAACTAAGGAGTGAGCCGCCATGTTGACTTGCTGAAATCCACAAATGTGCGAATAATGTAATGGAATAAAAAATGAAATAACACCTACCTCAAAACTCAATTTTAATACAATATTATCCAAACTTAGGGCATATATGTAACGGAAAACATTCAGCTTTAGAGTTTTCATTTATATGACGTTAATGCTCCAAGATCATTCATGAAATTTGGCGGAATTTTAATTTATTTTGATTTTATACATTTTTTAAGCTCTTGTGCATTAATTATTTTTGTTATGCAACATAATAGGAATAACGGTTCTGTAGTTTCTTTTTCAATTTCAATTTGGACACAACGAAATTGACATAGTGCTTGTACATAGGTTACGATACATGTGGATTTGCGTGGGAGGTAAATAGTAACAGCCACCAATATGCACAGCTCTGAGTCTGCGCTAAGTATAGATATATCGAGAATGTTGTTTACAAAGCGAAAGAAGCATGTCATATTAGAATATGAATTTACAACTTTATCACTCTTCAGAGGAATGGAAGGTTGAATGTGTTCAACTGCTTATATTTTTTTTGATAATGTCATGTTTATGCCTTTACTTATTGTACCTACAAAGCTAATGTTTCAAAGTTTAAAACTTTTTTATTGATTATCTTTTCTTACTCTCTCTTCTTTTTTCGTTCAGAATCCCTCCTCATTTTTTCTTCCTTTTCTCTCCTTTCAAATGACTGCCTTCTGGAGTATCTTTGACTAGGTTTCCTTTCAAATCTCACACTCCTCCTTGCTCTACTCACAGAGGCAGCCTGGAATTCTGTTCTTCCACTGTAATAAAAAATGTAATTTGTGCAAGATTATCACTAAACAGAATCATTTTAGCTAAAAACACTCAATTCATATTTCCTTTTCAGTTTAAAATATTGAACATCTTTCTGACTAAATTACTATCTGCTCCAATGAAATGAAACTAGTTACTGTCTTGAAGTTTAAAACAAGACAGAATTTTCTAGTACACTTGAATATTTGTTAAAAAGCACTGAATTGCAAAATGCTAGTCAATTAGGTGTCATGCAATGTTGATGTTTAATTTTCATGTTAGCTAAGGTGGTCCTGATAAATATCTCTTTCAATTATTGATGAGAACAAATCTTTTCTAACATCAATTTTCTAAATAGATAAAATGGAGGTTAAGACCATGATACTTGTTTGCCCTAAGATGGTATTCATTCTACTAGTATTTAGTTTAATGTAGGTTTCACATAATTCGACCATTTTTTAGGACCAATCATTTCTCCTTTCTTCATCTGGCAGAATTAAAATTACAAATTCAAATTTGCTCCCTGATATTTGTTCCACTAACAACTGAAGTCTTTGAGCAATTTTGAAATAATGAGGAATTATTAGGAAAATGTTTTCCTTAACTTTTTTTTTATTGATATGAATAAAAAGAGTTGCTTGGTTTTGATGTAGTTTTTTCAGTATCATTATCAGTCTGCTCTACAAAATTTGCTTTGTATTTTGTTTTACCTGTATCTAAATCTTGAGCCCATTCTGAAGAAGTTCTGTCTAGCATTTTGACCTTTGACTGGACCCTTTAACCTGAAGAAAGCATGATGTTCTACAGCACACTTCCATAAATGTTTACAGGCCTTCTCATTCTGCAGTCTAAACAAAAATATATGTTCTTGCTCATGGCCCTAAAATAAGATACATACAGAAATATGATAATTTAAGTAAATAAAATGATGCCCCCGCTTGCATATCATATCAAGTTATAAAGGGACATAACTGAAGAACGGTAAAGGTGACACTACCCAAATTTGTTACTGATCTGAGTTTTGTAGTAACAAGTATTGTGTATAAGTTTCATAACATTTGGTTGAGGCAAACTTAAGTTTGAGAATGGAAATGAAAAATTCAGCAATTTTTCCTTTTGTAAAGGGCATTACTCTAGAACAGTAAAAGTGACACCACCAAAAATCAAACTCAATCTGTATTTTGAAGTAATAAGCATTGTGAATAAGTTTCATAAAATTTGGTTGAGGCAAACTTAAGTTAGAGAACGGAAACGAAAAAGTTCTGCAACTTTTCCTTTTGTAAAGGGGCATAACTCTAGAACGGTAAAAGTGACACCACCAAAATTCAAACTTGATCTGTGTTTTGTGGTAATAAGCATTGTGTATAAGTTTCATAACATTTGGTAGAGGCAAACTAAAGTTAGAGAACGGAAACCAACTTTGGGAAGTATGGACGGGGGCAAAAAATCATAAAAATATGAATGACCTTTTCATTATTAATCCTTCATAAATACGATATTTCTGCCAATCAATCCTTAACTATACCAATGATTGTTTTTATTTGGAAAAGTTATGAAAAAATTGCTAAACATTATTGAATTCATACATTTTCTATCCTAAACCAGTATATAAATTTGCATTTCCGTGTCTGAGAAAGACAAAATAAACTGACCTCATCATCATCTTCCACAACAATTAATGTCAGTTTCTTCCCTTTGAAATCTAACTTGGTCATTTTAGGCCTGAAATGAATAAAGAAAGTTGTAATGCATATATATATGTATGTTAATTTCTAATTATATTTAAGTTGCACTTTGTAAATACAGCTGTTTCACAAGCCACGCCTCTTTTGGGGAGATATATAATATTCATAGATATTTAATTTTGTTTCTGCACTGGTTCCCAGATATGATCTCTTATGTTTCGTCTCATGGACTAATATTTTGGGAATGTTATTAGTATAAAAAAAAAAAGATGGTAGCGGCAATAATTGAATTCTGAGGGACACCCAAAGTGGAGGTAGGGATAGTACAGAATTTTAGTATAAGTTTAAAATCTATGAAGTTCGGGGCATATAAATGTTGGAAATATGCCGCACAGCCCTATGTTTTGACCTTTGAATAAAAAGTAGTGCATATCAACTTTCCTTTCTAGGATATAATTTTTTATGAAACTTCATAGTAAAAGTGGCACAGCTTTAGCCGCAAAGGGAGTTCCTATGTGAAATTGCATTGTCTATATTTACAGAAGTGCAACCTTTAGGTTTTCCTTACAAAATGGAAAAATTTAATTGGGTAGATGCTGAGAACATTTTTGATCTGAAATATGAAGCACTATCTTCATGATCTTGATTGTTTTTAGCACTTAAGTTATTCCTCTTTTAAAACAAGTATACAGAATGCCACTTTCAACAAATCTAGTCCCTCATTTTAACATTATCATACTTTATTTTAATGTTATCCTTTGATTTTTCTTTGTTTTAACAATTACAGTGTTAAGTTTTTATCATATCTTGTTTTTATGATTCCAATAATTATCAGTGTTCTCCCCAGGAATTTTTTATAGAACTGTGATGTGTGTGGTATTAGACTGATTCACCTTTCACGTTATGACGTGATGTAACATTTGTACTACCATGTTGGTAGTTTTAAAATAAATAGAAAAAGAAATGTATTTTTATATGTATATATACATAAACAGAAATGGACAGAAGTTACATTTTAATTTCATTAAAAAGTATTGGAAATTATAATGCATATAAAATCGAGTGTTGTACAATTGAAATTATTTATTACCCCCCTTCCCAAACACCTTTTTTTAAAGTATAAGTTTGCAGCACAGTAGATTAAACATAAGAAAGAAAGAAGTCTTTTATGACAGTAAATGTAATGTCATGGACGACAATTTTTTTCTGTTAAACTGGTTCCTTCAATATAGTTGAAATTGTTAGGTAAAATACCCAATCTCAGACAATTCAACCAGGTGATTACCTAATGGAAATTAAACAGGTAAGCAAACAGGAAATTAGAAAATTGAAAAATATATACCGTAGTGATTTGTTTGGATAGTGCTGCAGCCAGTCCAACAGCACAGCAATGAAATGTGATAGCGCTGAATACTACAGCACTGAAACGGCCTGGGGAGAACACTGATTATTATAAGGATATAATTAAATATACATCAATGGATTATCAAAATAAAGTATCATACATTGACATCACTTTTAGATTATTTCTTATAATAAACAACAAACTATTATACTACTTTCAAAATCTTACCAGAAGAAAAGACCAATTTTCTGTGAGCCTTCAAATACTAACACCCCTGTTGGTGTCAACCCTAATCTATATTCCATACCATCTCTGCCCTGCAATTTTCAAAACAAAATCTTAACTTAAATATATATTTGCAGAAATTTACGAAAATACAAAAATACAACAACATATTTAAGTTGAAAATGGATAATCCACAAAATTAATAAATATATTTTTTTAAAGATAATATGCAATTGAAATACTCTATTTCCAAGATAAAGTGTTTTTCTTTGTTTGCCTGTGTTCCATAAAATACATGTTACATTTACAAAATGTCCATTACATAAATCTTTAAGTGAACTATAAAATGGATTTAATGAAATTGTTACATATTTTACCAATTTGTCTATAAATCTGCCAGAGATCTTATAAAATTAATGAGATGTTGTATGATTGCCAATGAGACATTATCTACCATAGAAAATAGAATGAGGATGTAAACAACTATTCGTCACTGAACAGCCTTCAATCATGAGCAAAACCAACACTTTATGGTATGCTTTAAAAGGCCCATGAAGAGTAAAAAGAGGTACAATTTAAAATGAAATCTTACAGCCTGATTTAAGTAAATATCTCTTAAATTAAAACAATTATTGCATTTGAATATTCGAATACTAACTTATGACATTTCTCTTGTATAGACATAAATCATATCAATGCTAAGTGATTCCTTAAAATGCATTTCATTTATCATCACACTTTGACAAAGCAGTCACAGATTTAATTCAACAAGTCAGCTACTTGGACCTTACACACAATTTGCCCTTAGCCTTCCTCATATGACAACAGTATAGGCTTCCCATCTGATACCCTCATGATAAGTCAATAATTGATCCACTTAATTATTATTTGAAAGGACATCAATTGTTGGCCATTCCAGTACCAGTCTTACCATAACAATGTGCATGTCAACACCATACATCTCTAACCATTTGGCTTTGTTCAGATAATTCAGTTCAGCCTGAGCAGGATTCTGGCCTCTGAAGAGTTATATAAAAGTATTAATATTTTGAAGATTTGAATTCAGTACACTTAAATTATATGTGATGAAGTGATTGACTTTTAAGAATAAAGTTCTGTTGCAAGAATTAAATACATATCATGGAAAAGATAATATCAGAAGAAATATGAATATACACATACATAGTGAGTCAGATTATTTTGAAATGTGCTAGAGAACAAATAAATAGTCCTTGGGTAGACATGTCATCCTACCTGGACTTAAAAATATTTTTTTTTCTCCCAACTGCTGCATTTCTTGCAGAGAAGCAACATTTATCAATTTCATTCCAGTCTTGGATCAAACCCACAACTTCATGCACTTTAGGTCAATGTGATACCAAAAGACCATCCAGATGATTACACATCACATTTTCTCTTCAATAACAAACCTTAGCAACTACTGTTTTAATATTAAAATTTTTCTTACTTGCAAGTTTGATATTTTTCATATATGGCTACCTCCATTTCTTCTGTTTGGTTGGGAACCAAATGGAATTCTGATATAAATCCTGGGGTGTGTACTTCAGGATCATAGTCTCCAAGTTCAGCTGAAATATCAATTTAATCTTTTTACTAAGACAGCTGTCTAACAAGATATCTTGGTTGTTCAAATATAATTTGAAAGATCATAAACTATATTCCACACAAAACTTTGCCACTATTCAGGATACTTTACTTATAATTCAGTATAAACCTGTCATATACCATATGAATTATCAATTAATGAATTATTGTGTTAGTAAATTTCAATAAGATCCTGCTCAAGACAATATCTAACCAGTTTTAAACTTTTTGTCAAAGCCCTTAATTGAACATACTTATTACAAATACGCATTCAATTACTGGCAAATATTGCATGAAATTTTTTTTTGCATTTTATAGAAAATATTTGCCTCTGTGCAATAAATCATACAGAGTTATTGCACTTGTACAAAAAAACATTGTCCAAAGCATAAACATCATATTGTACCACCTTGAAGTGCAGTCAAACATACTACGAGGGACAAGATGTCCTAATATTTGTGCAATAACTGTGATAAAAATACTGTGGATTCTTTACAATTCGTGGAATACTAATTTTCCAAGACTTCTTGGAGATAGGTGAACAAAGAATTTCCTAGATCCTTTTATGTAAAACATGATAAAACCAAGCATAAAATCTAGTTGACAATTTTCCCAATCCATAAAAATTTGTACCCGTAACAGTAAATGAAATCTTGCAATATAGTATCAAATATTTTAAAATACTATACTTTTACATTATGATATATTCATTTTAATTCTTCAAAATTGCTTTATATCAACAGCCTTTCATCATGTTTGCCTGTCATTTTTTTATACAAGTACAAAGTAGTTTCATATGCTCAGAACCTCTCTAGAGCCTACCATATGTTAAGGGTTCCATAAGCATTGTAATAATGTACGGCATTCACAACTGTTTTAAGCTAGTATGTTTAAAATATTGACAAATTTTTATTAAGTCCAGAATTCTACAAGAAATATTTGAAAATTCAGATAACTTAACAAATAAAATTAACCTATGGATATACATCACACAACAAATATTTGTTATGTCTCTTCACAACAACTCACATTGTAATGCATAAGCAGCCAGTTCAATTTGAAGATCATCAGGACAGGGTAACTTTCCTGTCAGGATATCCTGTTTTAACTGTAGAAAAAACTGGTATCTAAAAAAAAAAAAAAAAAAATCAATATTTATATTTTTAAAATTTCAGATAAAAGATTAAAGCATGCTTTCCATACAAATTGATTTTTCACTTTTCAACATTTCTTATCTTGCATCCCATGTATACTGTGATACTATTATATGACTATAAATTTTCTGTTTTCTCATTGGCTAAAAGCATATGAAATCCTCTGCGATAAAACATTATATTCACCACAGCAAAAACCACGAGAGGTTACTACAAGATTTGGAACAGCGTCCGTGTACCTAAATATAGATATTCCAAGGCAACGTCAATGATGTAGGTTTATGAGGTCATCCAAATTCCTGTTTTTTTTCTTTTTCTTCTTGTTTTCGGTGTATTTTTTTTAGTAAACTTTATTGAATATATCAACTTATGAAAATTAGCAACTGCAAAAGACGATGATATATTTAGTACAAAAAGAGGGAGCAGTTTTAAAAGAATCTTGAGCAAATACTAGAAAATTGGAGAAGGATAAAAAAGTCATATAATAAAACAATTGTTGACTTTTGATTTCAGTTGATACAATGATTTATCAACCTCATCAAAAGTCAATAATTGTATAATGTCTAATAAAGGTTTATAACTCATTATGAAATTGTTTACATTATCATATATTCTAATATTCAATTCTAAAAATTAGTTGTTTGTATATATAGACGTGTGTCTGTATCAATGTGCTTTAAGTATATAATTATGTTTTGTTTGTGAAGTTAAATCTGCAGAGTTCATGCTTTAATACTTAACTAATAATAAATATAATGGGTTAATATACAAATTTATTTCACTCTTCTTTATAGCCCTACAAGATATATCTTAAACATTTATCAATATATTTAACATATATCTTGATTTTAAAATTAAATGTATCCATATGACATGAATGCACTTGCCCAAAGCAAATTCTATTAGTCAAAAACCGCTGGCAAGACAAAAAACATGTTCTCTATTATTTTTATAAAATTTCCTGTCAATGTTTGTAATTGAGATAAGAGAAAGTCAACCGTCTTAATTAAACACAAACTACATGTTATACTACACAATTCATACATGTCGTAACCAACCGTCTAAATTAAACACAAACTACATGTTATACTAAACAATTCATACATGTCGTAACCAACCGGCTCAGTATTTGCATGCATGACAGAAACAACATATGTGGCAATATGATATCTTGTTGTGTTACACATGTGTACAATTAAAAATGTCATTAAATCCAATAACTATAATTCAGTCAAAGTATGTTAACAATAATATACAACCTCATACATGTATTTCCACACACATTAAGAGTGAGAGAAATTTTAATACAAGTGGGGAAAGTTGGTACATGTATGATGAGGAGAAGCAGAATTTTTCTTAGCAATTGGTCACTTTTACATGCATGGCGCTATACCAAAACAGCATAGAGGATTAACCATGCCTATTCTGACCACAAACAGCCTCTAGATGCCTCCTACACACAGGTCTTACTGCAAGAACATAGATACCTGAGCCAACCACATCAAAATAACTGAAAACAGACTAAGACAGATGAACAAACAAACTATCAAAACAACGTCCAAAACAAGGGATCAAAGCAAATAACCAACAACATTGAAACCTAAACAAGTGTTCTCCCCAATCCCTTAAAGCACCACAGCCCTGCCATCTAAGGCTTGGGCAAGAGAGCTCTCATGAAACAAAGGTCCTCATGAAGGTAAACATATCCCGCTCTACATGCAGCATCTATCTTTATATTGCCCATGATGCATGTAATGAAGTGTATTAGAAAATATGAAACATTTATTGAAAGATTTCAAAGAAATAAGCAGATTCCTTCAGATTAATAACCCCCTAATGTCTCAGTAATTGTGATGAGCTGATCAACTGATCAATGGTCCAAAATCGTTTTCATGCACTTGATTTTCATATTTCAAAATGTCCCTATCAGGTTTAATATATACATTTGTAATCAATATGTGCTAGAGTGTATTCTTTGTTTGTGATGAAATAGCTTTTTACTCTAAAATCATTTCTTTCTAATGAGAAAATAAATGTAATTCTACATTTTATATTTGTAAATGTATGCACTGATTTACAAAATCAGTATTGTAAGAACTAAAAAAGGTTTTCATCATGAGACCCCCAAAATGTCACTTTTGTTATCTGACAAGTATTTAAATGCTTATTGTCAATTCATGAAATGATGGAAACTAAAAACAAAATGAACAATCTTTAATTCATAATTCTATAAATGATAAAGAGTATTTTTCAGGGCTAGTTATGTTAAACATTCAGTCCAAAGTAGCAAATATTTCCAGATTTGTACAAAACATCAAATTATGTGTAAAATTATGATGTACAATAATCTTACAAGTAGTATAGGATGAACTAATACAAACATATGCAAAGGTCATATGTTGATATCTTTTGAACTGTTTTATCCTTCCTGAAGAGATAGGATGATTATTGCATTACATGTTTAATATTTTTACACTGGCATGTCACCTGTCACTTTCATTACCTGGTTAATTCTTCATGTAAGTTGTTAGGCTCTGATGAATAAAACTTTATTTTACATCTAAATGTGTAAGGTGGTCCAACTGTAAAATAGGAAGGATATAGCAAATGTACTTATGACAGAAGTAATCAAATTAGATTGTTATTGGGTATCTTGTTCTTATATAGTCTGCATATTACAAACTCTTGACTGTTTGAAGGGCTATTCATATTTTTCTAAAAGTCAGATATTTCTTCTTTAGTAAAAATAATAATCTGATATTCTATAATGAATTATTTATTTTCTCTCTAATTCAAAATTCTTCTGAAATTTTAATAAAATCTGCAGTCAGACTTCATATTGTATATTTAAAAAATAAATCTTTACATATGTCTTGTCATAAACAGCTGACACTGTATAATCTATATACTTATTCTTGGTATTCATGATGCAGAATAGATAATGATAGATTTGAACCTTACTTAGTTATTTTTCCATATGCATCATGGTAACTATATGATGTTCAGTTATCATACTTTACTAATAATTCATCTTTTCCATGCATCCACTAAAGCAATATAAACATGAATCTGATAGTCATGATAATCATACACTATATAACTTCATGTTATCTTTAAGATGGTTAAACATTAGTATGTCTAGTCTTATATAATGGATAAAAATTGAATATCGTATTGAAATTGTTTGCACCATTTACCAGATTTACTGGTCGATGATATTGATCCCCCATGTTGAGCCCTGGATTACATACACCAGATGATACTGTTCAGTGTCTCAGGTCAAATATAAACTATTTTAATAACATTTGTGTATTCACTTTAGGAAGATAAACACATACAATGTTCTACTCTAGGTTACAAATATTAGAGTACAGTGTCTGTACATTGAAACAGCATAATTTTCTGAAAATATGACCTCTGGTTTCAAATAGCCCTGGGCAAAGAGCTAGGACTGTTTTAAATGTATCTTATACGAGGCCTTTTTTAACTGATTAAATATATACTTACTTTTAACTTGTTTTTTTATAGGCTTTGTAATATCTAACCAATGCTAAAATAAATTAGAATAACAAAATATAAATTACTCAACATTTCAATAAATCAAGAAACAAGCAGTACATGTACAGGTTATAGAAAAGATAAATATATTTCTTACATAAAATTGTTCATTTGTTCATCAAAATTTATTTAAAATAACACAACTCAGTGGAAAGGTCAGGAGGAGGTATGATAACTTCTAAATATTTTGACTATTTCATTGCAGTGGGGTTGCTCTTTGCCCCATATAGATTTGTATAATGCTACATATAGAGCATCTTCACCAGCCAAGGGTTACGATCCAGTCCTCTCCTCTCCACCCTTGGCGGATTAAGATAGAATTTCGGATCCACGAGGTAATGATTTTCATTGGTCGGAGTTGTAATTGGCTGCATCCAATCAAAAAGCGCCTTTAATATGATCATGTGGAAATGTAGAAAATGTAAATAAACAATTGCCACTTGCTGATTGTGCAACAAGTCCCCAAGAACATAGGACAATATTCAGTGACAATTTTAAAGTTTACAATTATCTAATTGGAGTTCCTGGGTATGTTTCTTGCACAAATGTTGGAATGTAAATGTATACTTTTGGTTCTGACTTTGTAAACACTAGACACAACCATTTTTACACCTCCACACTAATTCAAGTGCTGTCATTGGTAAAAAATGATGCAGTCGGAATGGGTGTGACTCTTAAGCTTGCCTATCGGTAGATGGCGCAGCATTGATTTCACAAATGTTGGCTTAATCAGCCAAGGGTGGAAAGGAGAGGACTGGATAATCGTAACCCTTGGCTAGCGAAGATGCATATAGAGGGAATATGGGCTATTCATACACCCATGGCCTTATATCATACATTTTCCATTAACTTAATATGGATTTTGTTTGTATTTGGATTGAACATTTGTATATATTATATGGATGTTTCTACAGTCTTTATTAATAGTCTTGGTACAATTGATTACTGGATTTGTCAACACGACAATATATAATAGGTGTCACAAGTACAGCAGAATGTACTGTAAATTCAGAAATTACTGCATGCATTTATTATTGCAAATTTTGTAGAATGGACTAAAATGCGAGATTAACTATTGTTTTTCAAGGAAATCTGCATGCAGTTATATGTCTCAGATGTTTGAATGCGAGTTTTTACTATTGCAATACTTATTCAGTCAAATTATTTGCATTAATAAAAACCTCCCAATGATTTTTGAATTTACATGAATTTACAGTACTCTCATTTCTGGTCTTTCTTGGTGTTAGCAGTTGTCCTAGCTAGTATTGACTATCTTTCTCTTAACATTGTTTTATTTATTCAAGATTGTCTTCTGGATTTTCAGATTTTCTTTTCATCCCTTAGTCTCCTGGTACCCAAGGAAGCATTGGTGTTACTCTGTTTATGTCCTTGAGAGCAGTATTAGGTTTAACTTGTAAAACAATGATACCTTCTCCATGTAGTAAAATAGACACCATAATTTGAGAGGAATTCTACTTACATTAACATTATGATGATCTGTATACTGTAAACCAAAGTAATCTTTCTCTATGATATCTAAGTGATATAAAACTTGTTCTAGTAAGGCACTACCTAAAGATCTTTTCTGTAATGAAAGAAGGATAGCATTATTAAATAGTGATGAATTGAAAAAGATATGTCATTCAATCACTCAGATACATTTAAAATATTTAAAATAAACCACAAATTTTTAAAATCTCATATTAAAGTATTATAACCTTCCTATCCCATATTTATATTAAAATAAGGAGATATGGTATGATTGCCAATGAGACAACTATTATGCAGTGTTATGATGATATATAGTATGACAGTGTAAAAGAAAATAAAAGTATTTTACATGGCACATCATAAATAAAATGTAATCAGAAAATGTATATTATATATAGCAATTGATCAGGTATTTTGAAATTAGTTTGGCCCATAATTCTGACTTTAGGGCATATCGCGCGCAGTGCTTGAATTATTAAACTCATGGAGCTACATGTATCTAAAAGTTATGTAAGCATAATGATAATGCAATTTCACTCTCTATGTCTTTGAGTAACTGAGTTTAGCATAGACACAATCTGCATCAATTCATTTAGTACAAGATCTAGATCCTTTCGAGTAATAATTTCGAAATGCCATACAAAACATACTATTCAACTGAAATATTGGATAGACATATGTTAGTCCATTGTTGAAGACTATATGTTGACCTTTAGATGTCTTTTGTTTTTGGTTTTTAGTTGAGCTCATTTAGAGCGTGATATATTGTATACATTTAATCTTTTCTGAAAACCACGCAGAGGAGTGAATAAGAGGATACAGTGATCTTATAAACTAATTCCATTATTATATAAAAATCCAGTCTGGTTGTAGGCAGAAAATACATTGAAATTGATATGATAATACATTTCGACCTGGAATGTCAACAATGAAGACACAATTATCTGACCTAAATATGGCAGAATACACATTTATATTAACTGTTGAGCTAATTAAACCAATCTATGGTAAACAAACTGTCACTTTTATATTGGGATTGGCTTTTTTCAGTTTATTCTAACAACTAAAATGTCTTGGGCATGTTCTTTAATTACTTCTTAATGTAGTTTTTCATTTTACAAATATGCATGCTTGTTTATTCGAAACAATGTGCTGCATGCTACATATCTTGACATTGTCAAGCTTAACCAAAGGAAGGAAAATGAAAGAAGAAAAAATATCTTTTAGCCTAATTAAAACATCTGAAAGTATAAGAAATTTATCAAATAATATCCTCCTGGTCTTCACAAAACACAATGTTGTCAGAAATCAGTAATTATATATAAATTCTATCCTTTATGTTACTTGCTCTAGAGCAGCATTCAAACCTTTTGCAATGAAGATGCAACTGAAAAACCTGCCCATTTAAAATCTTCCCATTCATAATTTGATATGAGCAACAGCCAAAAGTAAAAGTGGGTCTCATTGGGGTCTAAGTGTGACCCGGGATTGCCGATTTTTTGTAAGCGTGACACGTGAAAGTCAAATTATTGTGCCGTGAAAACGGGAAATGAAGTCTAGCGGGACACGGGAAATTAAAAAAAATGAGAATTGCTTACATACATAGTGTAAGCGGGATACGGGAATCTGACAAAACAGTAAGCGGGATCCGGGATCAGAACCCCCCAATGAGACCCCCGTAAAATAACAAAAATACCAAACTCCAAGGAAAATTCAAATCGGAAAGTCCCTTATCAAATGGCAAAATCAAAAGATCAAACACATCAAACCAACGGAAAACAACTGTCATATTCCTGACTTGTCTTTCCCAAACAGATGTTTGCAACAAAGTGGATTAAACAATTTAACATAAATGTTGATGTCTGATTGAAATTTTTTTTGGGGGGTAAGGTACATGAAGCAACAGCTTCACAAAGTCTTTCTGCAATGTCCAAACTTATCAAAAATAGACAAGTTCATTGACAAACTGAAGGTCTAAATAGCCTAATGCCTTTTAATTTTGAAAAAAAAAAAAAACAATTTAGACTAAAAACATGTACTTAATTATAATATGGCCATTATTTTCATTTTCAATAAAAATGAATAATTCTCAGTTATTACTCAAATCATGAAGACTAAAGAAATTCTGTGTTTGAGAAAATCATATTAATTTTAAACCAACTAAAAGTTTAGTTCAAAAGGTATAATTTACTTTCGGATATCAAATAAAATTTTCAAATTTGATTTAAATTTCGACCTATCTATTTTTGAAGAAATATCACAATATATCAATAAACACTCTTTAAAAACCAATTACCATTAAGTGACCACATGATAAACATCCACTGACCATAAGTTATTTAATACTGTCTGTTATCTGAGGCCCAATTAGATCTCCCTTTGATCCATGTTGACTACACATTATTACATAGCATTGAGCAAGGCCTATGTAACCCTGAGATACAAGTTAATTTGGATATTGAAAGGCTGTCAATCAAAAATTATGTCAAAATAATAATCTTCTGATTCAAATTAACCTGTTACCTACGAAACAGTTAGAATTTCTGGCAATTGTGATGAAATAATTATAACCTTATCAGTACTGAAACAATCAACACAATGAGTATAAAAATTTCCCCGATTCACGTCTTTCTAGAATTTCCCAAAACAAATGATATTAGATGATGAATTTTAAACAAAATTGAAAATAAATTTTTAAATCTAAGCATCCTACATGTACATAGAAAATCCAGATTTGTTGATGTCTTTTGAAGACCAACTCCCTAGCTGACTGAATAAATTCAAACATGCAAAACATGATATACAGTCTACAGAGCTCTGCGTCTTCCATTTTGTCACCATGTTTTTTTAATATTTATCAGCACTTAAGTTTTTTTTTCCAATTTTAAGAATGATTTTTACTTATGTTTTCAGTCTTTGTAAAACAATACTTCTATAGGCACCCAAATTGGAAATAAAGAATTTGCTTGTTTGTTTTGTTTTAAATATGTCAATGTTTATGTGAATGCTGACTGTAGATGATAACACTGTAGATAATATAATTACCAGGAGCACAATTTACACATCTAATATTATATAAAACATTGAAAGTTGTCAACAACAACAATTTTACTGCTGTTGGCCATAAACAATGACATATATCAGATAAAAAATTGTTACCTACATGTACATGTATGGTCATTCTGTGTGAAAACTTAATATCAACATTATTGTCAAGGTACTTAATTATAAATGCACAATTCATTTAAAAACTTAAGTGCTAATTTTTGTCCAACTTTGGCTATACTTTTAGTCCTTTTTGATTTATAAACTCTTCATCTCTTTAATAAGTTTTGGATTTTCAATTATTTTGGCCTCCAGCATCACTGAAGAGACATTTTTTATTGTCAAATTGCGCACCTGGTACAGTAAAAATGTAATTCCAAGTGTGATCTATATTTAAAAAATTCAGTTTTTGCCTGTTTAAATATAGGTCAGAAGTAAACATTTATCTAAAGATCTCTTGAATACAAATCTGTCAACATTTTATTTGATTAATACTGATACTTTACAGAATGGTATATTTATCAATCAATATCTTAACGCCAGTGCCATAAGTACAGCATTAACTGATACATAAATATTTTTAAGTCCTGATTATTACACAAGTGTACATGTGTTTTGTTTTATTCCAGAAATCCAGCTATCAACACTTGAATTTTTCAAAATGTACACATGTACACCCATGGATAATGCTATCTATAAGAAAATTATTTCTCGGGAGAACACTGCACTCAATCAGGTTTTACATAAAAATGGCAGCCTCTTTCTAAAGCTAAATGACTTCTTATCTATTGTACTGCATTATAAATACATTTGTACTTATTATATTGACATGAAATACATAATGATGTTGAAAAAATAATTGTTGTTTTGAAATAAAAAGTTAAATCAACCACTTCAGATATAAAGGTGATAGATAAGTTGTAATAAATTGTAAAACATACTAATATATCTAGTCATAGATGGGATATTTTTCACAAATTTAGAACCATATTTTGTGTACAGTTCTATCTACTGCGAATAAATTGATGTTGGGACTAAGCAACATTAAGCCTAGATAACGTAATCATGTGTCTCCTACTTTCTAAATAAGGGTTTCGATATTGTCCCATAACTCAAAATTGAGAAAAAGTGAATTTGTAAATACAATAATGTCTTATATTCCCATGCATGCAATAAATTTTGCAATAAGGAATGAATATCTTTCACATTCATGTCAAGAGCAATCTATTTCATACTAGAATTCTAGTTTAACACTTGTCCATTCAATGATCAGTCTTGAACCTCATCCAAATGATAATGAGACAACACATGTTCACAATATTTTAGTGCACTGCTGTCAAACTTTGCTTTAGATAGTGTTTCCTGCAAGAGGTTTGGGAGTAGTATGGCGCCCTGCCCTTCTAAGGAAAAAAATTTGGCGCCATGCCCCTTTTCCGTTGTATTTTAGAACACCCCGCCGTAATTTAATATCAGTTCTGCATTTCATCTTTTAGCAAGACCATTTTAGAGTTAATTCCCTTGGAAAGAAATCAAAATTTTAATGGCAGACATTTTCTTATTGAATTTCGTAATTATGTTTGAAGTTGAACAGTATTGAAGCGCCAGAGTGCAAATACAATTCATGATTGAATCTTATAGGGACAACATCGATGTGTACCTCTACGAATTTAAAATGTAGACAATTTAAAACAGAACCAGGCAATCATTTGAGTTATAATTTTACGATGCATGGGATGAAAATTACCACTGATTACGTAGATAATCCAATGTTTGTTTATATTTTCTATTTATACTAATAGGTCAGTCGAGACGTCGGATTGGATGTGAATTTACGACGGCTTTCATACTGTTGTTATCTTAATAAAATTAAAGTTAAGGATATAGCTGATATAGTTTTGAATAGTACGAAAAATCAACAACGTTTCAATACAAAAAAAAACACAGTGGAAAAAATGATGTTTTCGCAAACTCCGTTTATATAACTTTATAAAAAAAATTTTGTGCAAACACAACCAAAGTTTTTAATTTTTCACCATAAGAAAATTTGGTAATGGGAATAACAATTATCAAGCATATCAGAGTATGTTCAGTAACAGATCTAACTTAAGTCAATTAAAAGTTTAATAAATCTAACGTAACAATAATGCTCATTAGGAAACATTATTGTAAACACTAATATTATTGTTACATCCGTAATCAGTCGGTTCATAACCAAACCTAGCATTCCGACAATTATTGTCCAACGTAACAATACTTTTTTTGTTAATGTTATGTTTCAACATATATTGTAGCCAGTGCCAAATTATATCATATGCATACCAGTCGGATATGATTTATTGTTCTACTATCTTAACTTACTGGTAGATCAATACTAAAGTCAGTCCCATCCAGAAGCATGACGATACAGGGCACAACATTTTTCTTCTTTGGGTGTCCAATTTCAGTTGTTTTAACTCCTCTACCCGTTCTACGACGAGAAAGAAATCTGAAAAACTTTGACATTTGTCTCGGTCAATGCCAACCACTGTTAAAAATTATCGTAAAATCATGTCAAACTAAAAGAAATAGTGTGTATGATTGAAATTTATCCATTGTTTTCACTAAAATGAGTCATTTTTGGGTTCGTGATAAATATTTGTCTCTGGAAACTGCAAGCGGAAGTGGATTTACAAAATTCGTCTCGTTTTCAATCCAACATGTCAGCCGCCATCAAAATGTGAAAATTGACTTTGCCACCAGTTCTCGAGTTGAAAAATTAATCAATATAAGCAAAGTAACGACATAAAATTTTTTAAGAAATTTGAACAATCTTTATCTTCATGCATGTCTAGAAAAAAACGTATAGACATGTTTAGATCCAATCAAACCATAAAAGAACCATGAATGGTTACACAGGTTGGGAACAACCCCCCCAAATGAGGGATATCCCTTAAATGAAGGACTGTCCCTCAGACAAGGGGTCATTTTACTGTTGTAGAAAAGAAAAAAAGAAAAACTTAGATTTTTTAACTTAAAAGGGGTAAAATTCATTTATTTGGAACAACTTTTCTAAAAGAGGAGTCCAATTATTTTTAATAATAAAGAAGATATAAGTCCAGGAATCTTACAAAATTCTTGGACATGTTTTGACCATATAATTCCAGATAGATGTATAGTTCTTTGAGAACATTTTCCTCAAATAATATAAATATGTGCTCATTTGTACTAAAAAGTGGTTTTTACAAAAAAATGTTTTTTATCACTTGAAATGTACCCCTCGTAAAAGGGATAGTCATTATATTGAGGGGTTGTTCCCAACCTGTTACATGTCAATTATGATAAAAGCAAGTCAAGCAAACCACTGACAATGTAGTGCCTAACAAGATTTTGGGTGAGGTAGACGAAATTGACCTTAAAACGATCGTATTGAATTTTGATGTCCACATATAGGCAGATCGGACATATTTTGACTTTATTTACTGACTACTCTTGTTTTGGATTACTGAAAAATGTTTTTTTTTGTGAAGATAAACAATAATTTTACCTGGCCTAGCTGTGCGTAAAATGTATTTCATCATTTCTATTCGAAAAATGACTTGTTTAATGGATTAAAACATCTGATTTGTAAACTTTCTCTTTTTTCTCCGGAATAGGCTATTAAAATAAAATTTATCTACCCTATATATGTGGAAAATTTTGTGAAAATATAAGAAGTGGCAATTCTTACTTTTAGTTTCATTGATAAAAAAATAATGTGGACTTGTCCAGTGTCCAGTTTGAAGGTCATTTAAGTTTCTGTACACATTCATGCATGTTCTAATTTAATCAAATTACGTGTATGAAAAAATAAACAGTTTGAAGGTAAACTAATAATAACCTAATTTAATCAAATTGCATAAGATTGAATAACAATGACTGGTCCACATCATAATAAGTAACAGGGGTAAACTGGGTAGGGAGAAAATGACAGATATTTTAAGTTCGTGTTTTGCAATAACGAATAAAAAATTGTCAACCAAAGTTTTGCTATAATTTCAAAAACATGTTCTATATTGGTATAGTTTTCGGATCTTTCATTTGCGTATTTAAGGCAATAGAAAGTTTGGGCTTCAAAAGTCTTCATAATTATTGACTTTATGCAGAAAATACGCCATTTTAAAACATTTACTGTTTCACAAATAATACATGGATACAAAGTAAAATTATTTCTTAAAACACTGCAAAAAAATTCATTCTGATTGGTATAGTGGTATTGTCATAAAGTGCATTGAAATGAACCATGTAGGTAAACATTGGATTCCCTCACAAAATGTTATCACACACTATAAGAGATGTGTGTAATGTACTTGATCCAACTAACAACTTACAGTTTACAAACCCACCTGTTTTACCAAATGTTCATTACCAAGACCAAATGATGAAGTTCTTTCAAACATAAGAAACTTGTGTAATGAATACTAAAATATTTAGTTGAGTGGGGCCTCAGGCTCAGTGGCCACGTGCCTTAGTGGTCTAAGTTGTTGAACTACTTATTCACTAGCCTGCCAACACTGAGGTTGTGAGTTCAGATCCTACATGTAGCAGGTGTGCTAGACTCCAATCTTGATGAGTAGGATTGTCAGTTTTCCTACCAAAGGCAAAGGTCATAGTTCTTTCAAGGCAGTCTGGCTTCCTCCACCAATAAAACTGACCGCCTCGAAATAGCACAGTAGTTCTGAAATGGCAATTAAATACCAATCAATCAATCAAAACTAAAACATTGAAGGGATTTGAAACTTCTAATAGTATTCAACAATAACTATATTTCAGTGTCCCAGAGTAACTAATTTACTTGTTACTTTTGATCTACTATACATAAAATTATTCTGTAAATTTAATAATATGTCTGATAGAAAAATTATTTTGGATTATTATGATGTAATTATGGAAGTAACTATGCTCCAAGGAAAATAAGAAAAAACCCAAACAACCAGTACCTTTTATAAATAAAGAACTTAGTAAAGCTTTATACAAGAAAGACAACTTTACAACATATACAATTATTTAAAAGCAAATCCACATTACTAAAAGTACTTGAAGACTGGAAAATAGCTCTTGACCAAAACACCTATATTGCTGCTGTATTAAGGCCATGCAAAAAAGATTGTTGGTTTCCCTAAACCCTGCCAGATTTATTTTCTACCCAATGAGTCAATTTTTTTTAACAGATGGAAAAAAAAAGCAAGAATTTCTTTTAAGACAATCAATGATGCTTTAATTGTCTATTATATGCACACAGTGACATAGAGCAAGTAGTTAGGATACTAGAAAATTGACAGAATGGCAGTATAGAATGGTTTTCTTGCAATCAAATGAAAGCTAATCTGCATAAATTTCTAGCTTTGGCTATTGGGCAAAAAACTAGTGATACAAATATCAGTTTTGATCTGGTTGAATATTTGTTCCTGAAATAATCAAATCTATGGTGTATGGGAGGTAACTCTTGATATTCATCAGAATCCTAGGAAAATCATTGGAATAAAGCTGTTGCACTGGAATGCACAGAAGGAAAAATAAAATAAAATTCCTATGTTATCACAACATTCATGATATATTTCATCATCATTTAAAACATAAAACAAAGATTACTTTGTTTTCGCTAACACTGCCTACAGAAAAGATTATTTGTCATTATTTTCGAACAAACAGTAACCTTCTTTTCCAACAAACTGCAAAAAGATGAGTTCTTTCTGTTAATGTCATCAGACATGGTCGCATTTTTTGAGACATCTTGGAAATTCAGAGAAAAGCAAGAAAATTTGACGTCATAATCATGATAATTGAATTTTGACCAATGAAGAACTGAGATCAAACAAACCACATGTTGATTAAATAAAAATAATCATGTGCTAACAAAGACAAACAATATTTCACATAGCTTAACTTGGTACAGGCTCAAATTGTGGCAAGCCTAAACCTAACGTCACAGTACCCAAATTGCACCCATTTAGCAAAATCTTACAAGTTTTCTTAGAGACTAAACAATTTGTATATTTATGATTTGATGTAATGTACTTCTTTCAACATAGCTAAATATATTTAAATATGCAAAAACATTCACAATATATGTCAACAGATGAAGTATTCACTGGAAAAAGTAAAATCTACGGAAACGTTGCCATGCGATGTCCACAAAAAGTAAACTTTTGAAAATGAGCAATTAAAATATGTTTCAGGCATCCATTTCTTAAAATTTGAATAGAAAGCATGGACAATTATCAAATTGTTCTAAATATTTGGAGAAATAAAATATAACATCAGTTGATTGATTTTCACTGATGTTAACTTAAGTAGGATGCAGTTTGGGTACTCCTCATTACAGAATCATGGATCATTTGGAGGTCAGTTCAAACTCATTTTTCTATGATTCAATATGGATTCAAAATTGAATTGGTGGAATTATGTAGTAAATAAGGATACATCTACAAAATAAACACAGAATGGCAACTATCACCTGGATCATAAATAAACGTAGGTGAAAAAACTGTCAAAATAATTGATATGTATTGAAAAAAAAAATTCTAATTAGAATGACCACTTGCTTTAACAAAGAAATAAAAGACAAAATTATAGAGTGAAACAGACGAGGAGCAAATAGTTACACATTATTTGAAATGAAGGCTGTTTTCTTGGATGAATTACTTCTGCATTGGTTGGTCTCGGGTGGAGAGTTGTCTCATTGGCAATCATAAAACATCTTCTGAATATCTTATATATGTCACAACCACAATACAATACAATATTTAAGAATATTTTTTTCGGCTTTCAGTAATGGGGTAGAAGTACACCAACTCATTGCAAGAATTGAGTTAATGTGATTTTTATTTCAAAATTCGTTCTTCAGAAAACCATTGAGATCTTTTATCATATTCCACTTCTGTAATTTGCAAGTTTGTCATAAAGGAGGGTCTGGAAGAGGGGTCCTTCATTTTTTTATTCTTTAGTTTTTTAGAAAATTATTCTCTATTCTTCATTTATTTTGGCCATTTTTCTCTATTCTTTATATTTCAGCACCCCATTACTCTCTATTCTGCATGTTGTATATATAAATAAGAAGACGTGGTATGAGTGCCAATGAGACAACTCTCCATCCAAGTCACAAAGTGTAAAAAGTAAACAATTATAGGTCAAAGTACAGCCTTCAACACAGAGCCTTGGTTCACACCGAACAGCAAGCTATAAAGGACCCCAAAATGACTAGTGTAAAACACATATGCCCATTATTCTCTTTCCAGACCCTCATAAAACAATAAGCTGTTAAATATGTCAGTGTTATATAGATTATAGCAACATATTGATACTCATTACACAAAATTTATTGATATTATTTTAAATTGTGGTACATGTACATGTACTACCAATTTTTGCATTAACATAAATGTACCATGTTTTCATTGTGATCATTATTAGTGATGCATGATACAATGATGGGGAGATTTACTGTGGCGATACAGTGATGAGTGTTTAAATGTATGCACAGCAACTTAAGGCTGTAAGATGGACAGAGTTATCAAATTAATATCAATTCTAACTTCAACTCTTAACTTAAATATAAGTATTAAATGGATCGAACTTGAAAGGAACTTTCAAACTCATAATTTGACTTGGTAGTACAAAAAGTCTATATGTGAAATGTTTTCTTTTTTCATTGTCTTTTAGGTAATATTAATTGGTTGTTAATTTGAGTTTATGAGTATTAATCATGTTAATTGTCATATTTATTTTTTTTTTCAGATTAAAAGAAAATGTCTGCTTTTCTAAGACTTTTTAGTCTACCATCATTTATTGGCTTGTCTGGATATGGATGTTATGTAATTGCCAGAAATACTATATTTCTTGGACGGGAGAACCTACAGCTGTGTGATAAACATGGTCAACCAGTAGAAATGTCAACTGAACTGCAGAATATAGAAAAAGAGGTAAAAGAAATATGTGTGCTGGTTCATATTCTGGACGCCAGTCTTTGCTCCTTTCTAATAAAATCCACATAACATCACTGAACTAGTATACATATTTGTTTAGGGGCCAGCTGAAGGACGCCTCCGGGTGCGGGAGTTTCTCGCCGCATTGAAGACCAATTGGTGGCCTTCAGCTGTTGTCTGCTCTATGGTCAGGTTGTTGTCTCTTTGACACATTCCCCATTTCCATTCTCAATTTTACTACTTTTTTTTTTGTAGTGTCATGTTTGAACACTTTTTGGCAGAACTGAAACTGTCAGTAGTCAGGAAAATATCTAGATCCTGGATCATGTAAAAATGAGGACAATACGAAACATTCATAATCAATCAAACCTGATGACAATTTTTGTCTTGCCTGCAAATATTGTCACTTAATTATATATGTATATAAATGCTAATCCAGCTTCTTTGTTATTAGAAACATTGACCATGCAGGTTCTGTCTTTTGATGACTTAGGTAACATTTTAGGTTTTTTACCTCTTGATGTTTCATACTTTTTATTGGGTTAAGTGTAGTTAGTTCATTATCATTTGGCAGAATAACCTTCTGGAACAACTTTTGGCTATTTTTCTATGTCGTTCATGCCTATTGAACTTAATTAAGTTTACTTCATAGTTCATGTCTTTGTACATGTTCCTTTGATTAAGGGAATCATTTTAATTTGTCTAAATTAGGATTAGGTCAGACAAAAGTAGGCCACACTTAATTTATATTTCATGCTTTTCGTCCCTAAATCATTTAAATGTTTCATTCAGAACAAGACAAACTTTGTTATCATAGATTTTTTTTGTAGTTTTGCTCCAATAAATTCCATATATATTGTGCTATGTACAAATGTTAAGGGTGTCATTGTGCATTCATCCACTAATGGTGAATGGAGATTTTGTAAAATTAGACCTAATATCTATATAGTGTGTAGTATGATTGCAAGGGCCCCTTGTTTATGTGATGCATGCTTTTTGACATAGATTTGGTGCCTTTTAGAATATTACTGAAGTTGTAATAATTAGTTATGCAGGCTAACTTTTCAGCATGTTGACTCTTAATAGTCTTATTAGATATACTGTTAAGGTGTAATACATGTACCACCAAATCATAGTACGTCACATCCGGTTTCATACGAAAAAGGCTCGGAAAAAAAATATTCCATTAAATTTGACAGCTGTAGAAAGTTAACCCTGCATTTCATTGCAGAAAAAAACTATGAGTCATCAACATATAGCTTGGGTGCTTCAAAGTACCGTTCTTTTTTGATTGGGTGTTTCTATAGAATATTTTGGAAACTTGAGGTTACATGGTTACTAAAGCTTGTACACAGGAAAAAAAGGGGTGAACATTTGATTGGTTAACTTCCAGTGATGGTTTTTTTCTTATATGCAATGAAATGTTATTGGAAATTTTGTCTGTAGTACTGGACAGGATAAACCCATGCCAAGTATTTCTTTATTTGGAACGAAGATAAATTCTGCACAATTTTTTGAAAAGTGCAAATTTAACAAAGACTAATAGGAGAAAATCAATGGTGGTAATAATCCTAAAGGGTCTATTTCTACACATAATTTGTATTATATATAAGAAGATTGTCCCACACCATAATAAATTATGATTAGTTATCTGAATAAAGACAATTAAGAGTGTCATTATTTCACAGTGTTTTTTTTGTTATCAAGGTTTACTTAAGAGTTTGTAGGTCCTGAATAATTTATACTTAAATGAGAAATATGTTCTTGCATAACAATATGGTAGATAATTGAATATGATTTTACTGTTTAATTGAATTTAAATGTAACCTAGTTGTTTTATTTTAACACTTAGTAAATATTTTAAATAGTAATCTAGACATTCTTTTCAATAAATTGATATACATATATTTGTTAATCATTTTAATTATGAATGATCTGTCTGTGTATTAACTACTTCTAAACATTGTTAAAATCTTTCATTGTAGATTATACTCAAATTGGATTGGGAAGTGAATTTGTTAGCAAATTTCCGATTATTAATGAGCCGAGAGATTGAGATGTGTCATAGAGGTTTGATAAATGGCAAAGGTGGTGCTATAATTGGAATACCACAGACATTTCTTTGTCATAAAGTCAGTGATATTTCATGTTGGGATGATATTTGTAAATGTTATGACATTACTGTTGAGAAATCGTCTGAGAGTGCCAAAGAACTTGGTGAAGCATTAATCCTTAGTAACAAAGCTAAAAAATTTGCTATTGCTCGAGAGATATTTTTGGCCAAAAGTTATCATAAGTTTATGCAGCCATTTTTTATGTTCTCGTCAGGATTCCTCACATATACTGTGTGGTACTATTTGGAAAAGCCATTGAAATCAAAAGCATTAATTAGAAATTCTGTGCATATGATTGGTATTCTGTTGATGGTAAAATTGTACTTAGAAATGATGATCATTTATACACGTAGACTAGAACGCAAAATTGATGTGCAAGCTTGTAAGCTGGAAGAAGATTATGCAGCAGGTGGAATTGAATTTTACAATAAACTAATTAAAATTCAACAAGTTGTAAGTCTCCTACAGAATGAAAAGGAACTAAGCACGATAGATCAAATGTTAAGTAAAATTTCAAGCTTTTCCAGAAGTCGTCATTTAACAATAGAGGACAGAAGAAAAACTGTTGAGGACTATATAAAAAAACTGACTGAAGATCAGAAATCAACACAAAGTTAGAATAGTATTTAATTTTAGAAATTCATGATTAATGTGTTTTGTTTTGAATGTTTTCCTTCTTTAGCCACTCAATATGCCTGTATGTGTATTGCAAAGAAATTACATTGTTACCTCTGAAATTTATGATTTTAATTTGAAATTACAAAATGTACTTACAAAATCTATGGAGTGTAGAGCTTATTTAATTTTTAGCAAACTTATTACACAAACATAGACACGCATAAATCACTACCTTAAAAGAATGGTACTTATTAATATTTCGAGCATGATACAAATACCTTGATTAATTTCAATCAAATATCAGCGTATGGGAGTGACACTGGATTTTGTAACTAGCTGAAGCGGAGAGAGGTTGTAAAATGCAAGCTGTCGTATATATCAATACAGAAGTTGCAATACGCTATCGAAACTTTGTCTTTGTGATTTACATTATTTTAAAGCCAAATTATGAAAATTCTGGTCTTATGTATTTGTAGTTGGTCGTAATTGAATAATATGAAGAAATATCCAATCATTAGATGCATTAAATCGGCAACTTTTCTTGATCTGAAGTAATCTATTTTTCTGGTACTTGACAGTAGTTTTTATCTCCAGATTTAGTTTACCCTGATATCTAACATTCTTAAATGATTTGAAGAACAAGTCAATTGCCAACATACCATTACACAAATCTTTGGACACATGCAATAATTATAAATGGATTAAGAAATTGGAATTCTTACAACCTCTCTCCGCTTCAGCTAGTACCAATATCCAGTGTCGCTCCCATATGATTAATATAGTAAGCACAGATATCACATATTAAATGATGATGATACCTTCTTTAGTTCACCTGGCCCAAAAGGCTAGTGTGAACACTTTTCATCACTTGCATGTCTGACAGTCTGTTATAAAATGTGTTAAAGTATCATTTCTATTAAAATCTGTGGGCAAAATGTAAATTGGAGATAAACTACATCTTATACATCCATATGGCTAAGAGAATATTATGAAGAAGGAATGTGGCATAGAATTTGACAAGTAATTATAATAACTAAGCTGTTTGTAAGTCTATGTCAATAGAATCATATGGACAAAAGGAATATGTCATAATTCTTGACACCATGAACAAATGATTAGTGCTTTTATTGCAGTTATTCATCTTAATTTTATTGTGAGACTTTGAAGAAAAAAAGATATGGGATAATATCGATAAATCACAAATGTTAACAGGTTGAAATATTGTATGAAAATCCATAACTTTCCAGACAGTCTCACCACAATATATATATATACAAAAACAAAAAGAACATTCAGACAACCACATCAGGGTATTTGTTAGATGACTTTGCAGGAAATAATGTATGAATAGGGCAAATGATTTGAAATCACTTGTGACAATTTCAATAAACAAACAGAACAAAAGAGAGGATGTGAAATAGAACACAAAAGAGAAGTTACCTTTCAGAATGAATACTCAACTGTAATAAACTGTTAACACAGAGATATGTCTCACCTATTTGTTATATTGATAATGCAAATGTTGAAATTAAAATAGCAATACTTTTAACATGTAAGTTATGCAAATATTCAAAGTGAATGAACCATGACTGAAGGTACAAGGCCAAACAATCTCCATGGAAATGTGATGTGCCAATGCAAATACAACTGCATACCAAATACCATTGACTTTTCACAAGTCGTTCCCTTTAAACAAACAGAAACACAAACATAAACTTGTGAACTATGTAAAAATTTCAAAGTCAATGAACCATGAAGAGGGAATGGTGCTATATAATCTCCATGGAAATGAAACTTGCAATTCCAATACATATCATTGACTTATCATTTAGTGGTTCCCTATAAACTGACCTAATCACAAACTAATACATGTAAACTAAGCAAAAGTTCCAAAGTTAATAGACCATGACTTGAGGGGTAAGGACCAAATATTCTCCAAGGAAATGAGATGTGCTAATGCTTACACAACTGCATACCAATCATCATTGACCAACCACTAACGGTTCCCATTAAACTAACCTAATCACAAAGTACTACATGTAAACTAAGCAAAAGTTTCAAAGTCAATAGACCATGACTGAGGGGGAGGGACCAAATATTCTCCAAGGAAATGAGATGTGCTAATGCTTACACAACTGCATACCAATCATCATTGACCAACCACTAACGGTTCCCCTCAAACTAACCTAATCACAAAGTAAAACATGTAAACTAAATAAAAGTTTCAAAGTCATTAGACCATGACTGAGGGGGCTCCAAACATGATTAAAGATAAACTCTTGTCAATGACATGGATATGAAAGTACACATATGTTGTATTATTCATGACACAAAATCACTTCTCCCACTTATTAAAAACAATAAAACGCTCTGCACGACCACAGAGGTTGAATCCTGAACAGTTGGGGGCAAGTATAGACACAACAATCAAGCTTGATACAGCTCTGAATTCTGTTGTGTGGGGTGAATATTTTTTTAAATAATTTAAATTTGTTTTGCACTTACTGTTACTTCTATCAAGTAACTGTTACATGTCATCTCTTCCTGCGAGTGTGTTTACTTTGGAATGTGTATGTCTAGTTGGTACAGGTAACCAAATAAAAACTTTTTGAGTTATAAACTTTTGTACATATTGAGCTATTATCTTTTCTGAAATGTTACAGTATACATTTCGTGTTTGTGTATTTTTTTTTTTTAATATATCTGCACTGTACGATCAAAATTGATACAATGCTGGCAATGGAGACTGTGAGTGCAAAAGTATAATACTGCGATATGAAACATTTTTATTCCATATAACTAAAATGATTTAAAGTCTTTTACATTTCATGGAAGTATCTTTATGACAAAATTGCAGCTTTTGTAAGGACAGTTCCAGATTTAAACACATGGGGGTATGGGAGGCATCTTTTATGCGACCCCAACATCCATAATACCCTATTAAATTTTCATTTTACTTATAATTCTTATAAAATTCTAAATGAAAATGCAACTACCAACAGTTAATTTATTTGAGTGACTCCCATCCCCCTCACCTTGATCAATTTTGGAACAACCATTATATACTTAGGACCAGACACTTCTTATTCTTACAGGTTTATTCAGTACTTATGGAAAGTCAAACACTAATAAAACATGTTGATCTTATGTGTTTATTGATTAAACATGATGATATCAGATGCATAATTAATAAATTACAAAATAAATATATCACAGTCACACTTTTTTGTTTACTGGAAACAAATGTAAGGGGGATAATTCAACCTTTCTTATTTTTTTAATAAGAAATATAAATAGATCTTTATAACACAAAGCTTCAAATTCTGCAGATAGTTGTATCGTTGACTTGGAAAGTACTTGTTCAAATATTTATATATTCTTCTAGACTAAATTTTAACATTGTTTCAGATTTTATAATATATGAAATACATTGTCTAAATACCTACATTTTTGTGACATGAGAAAGTTTCATGAATGAAATATATGACATTTGACGGACTACCAATACACCTTCATCATTTATGATCACCACAAAAATTGTTTCTAGAATACAATAATCAGTTACATATTAATTCACTTTTCGCAATAATCAGCAAAGGATATAAATATTTATTATCTTTTAACAATAATATGGCAAATATTTTCATACAAAAATCATGTAAACAATGGAAATAAAATGCTCCGCTGGGGCGCAGCTTGATACGACCGCAGAGGTCGAACCCTGAACAGTTGGGGCAAGTATGGACACAACATTCAAGCTTGATACAGCACTGAATTTGGATTGTAATTAAATATTTGACACAGCATAGGTTTCTGACACAGAATGAAAGTGGTCTAAGAACTTAAAAATTTTCAATTTACCTATTCATACATGTGATGGACTGTGAAACTCAGATCAGGAGATTGGGAAATTTTGGTCAGGAGATTAGGACTCAGATCAGGAGGTTTTTAATCGACATTAATTTTGTTGTAAATGTAACCGTGTGCTGTAAAAATGGTCTTTTAAAGTGTGTTTTCTTCAACTTTCCATCCAATTTATTATGTTTATAGTACCCTTGTACTTATAAAGTTTCTCCATCTTTATATTCTACATGTTCAATCTAACATTGTATTTTTCCAGTATGTTCTTTAAATTTTTTACTTCATATTCTATAAAACAATCATTGCAACAAGAACATTTGTTTAGCTATCTGCAAATAGTTTTTGTTTTTTTTTTTCTCTTGCAAATAGTTTATATTTGCAAACTCAGAAAATCATTTTGTCTGTAAAATTAGGGTCATAGTTATTATATAAATTTCAATTTAAGCCTTGAAAGGAAGTCTAGAATCCTCAAATAATTTTCAAATTATTATTTTTTTATTTGTCCTAAGACATTTAAAATCATTTAATAACCATCCTTTTATGATTATTTGTTCAATTTATATTTTATTTATATTCTTTTAAAAATTTTCATTATTAAAAGGAAAGTAACTTAAAACAGGATAAATCAAGGGAAGTAACCCAATAAATACACAGTTTTTGTTACACAACGGCAGTTAGCCTGAGGTAAAAATCGTTGATTACCTGTATGTTTGACACCCAAGCTGACAAGTGAAGCCATATAATTATGCATGTTAATTGATTTACAGGTAAAATATAACTTCAGGTAATGTCAGTTACACCAGATGCCTGAGATGATATGTTGGGCAGAAATTTTTCATTCATGAAAAATTTCATACACGGGATTTTTTCCTCTTCAACGGGAGGTCGGGAGGAGACCCCTGAAAACGGGATTATTGTACTCCCGTCGGGAGGTTCACATGTATGCCTATTCAAACCATATCATTATTATTTGCTTTTATATATAAATCAGAAATAACCAATTTAAAATGGAAAATGTTAAAGAAAAAAAAGGAAAAAAAAATCCCCCCCCAATTTTTTGAACCCCCTTATGATTCATCACCCCCAAACTCAATCCCAGCTTTCCCTTTGTGGTATGGTACCTTGCAGTACAATTTCAGAGAGATTCATACACTTGAACACAAGTTATTGTCTGGAAACTAGAAAAATGCTTGTTTTTTGGCCCCTTTTTGGCCCCAAATTCCTAAACGTTTAGGGCAATTACCCCCAAACTCAATTCCAGCTTTCCCTTTGTGATATGGAACCTTGCAGTACAATTTCATAAAGATCCATACACTAACACACAAGTTATTGTCCTGAAACTAGAAAAATGCATGTTTTTTTTGCCCTTTTATGGCCCCTAATTACTAAAATTTTGAGGGAAAACCCCCAAAATCAATCCCAGCCTTCCCTTTGTGATATGGAACCTTGTAGTACAATTTCATAAAGATCCATACACTTACAAACAAGTTATTGTCATGAAACTAGAAAAATGCTTGTTTTTTGCCCCTTTTTGGCCCCTAATTCCTAAAATTTGGAGGAAATTACCCCAAAAATCAATCCCAGTATTCCTTTTGTGATATGGAACCTTGTAGTACAATTTCATAAAGATCCATACACTTACAAACAAGATATTGTCATGGTCGTATAAAAATGCTTGTTTTTTGCCCCTTTTTGGCCCCCAATTCCTAAAATTTGGAGGCAATTACCCCCAAAATCAATCCCAGCATTCCCTTTGTGATATGGAACCTTGTGGTACAATGTCAGAGAGATCCATACACTTACACACAAGTTATGTCTGGAAGTTACAAAAATGCTTATTTTTGGCCCCTTTTGGCCCCTAATTCCTTAACTGTTAGTACCATAACCCCCAAAATCAATCCCCACCTTCCTTTTGTGGTATTGAACCTTATGGTAAAATTTCATTGAGATCCATTTACTTAAACTAAAGTTAGAGTGCGAAAACTAATGTGTATTCGGACGACGACGCCGGACGACGACGACGCCAACGTCATACCAATATACGACCACAAAAATTTTTTTGCGGTCGTATAAAAAAAAACCGGTATTGACTCTTTGTTTTATTTAATTTAATTTAAAATTTAGATTTTAAGATTACTAATCTCTTAGTATTTATGCAGGTTGTGAAAACATTTAAACACTATTTAAGATAAGAAGTACATTCACATAAAGTAATTGAATCTATTCCAGGAACGTAATCCAATTGTATAAACAATAAATTACAGAAAAAAAACATGTATATTCATCACATGATTTTTTACACATCATGCTAAAACATCCCACAGTCCCTGTAAAGTAAATCCATCTCGCAGTTTCTCTATTGCAAGTCCTAATTCTTCTGAATACACAGGGTCCCTGTCTTTGTCTTTATTACCATCAGCAAAATATGCCTGAAAAAATTACATTAAATTTTATAAACATATGTGAGAAGAAAACTGTTTCTTTTTCAAACTAGTAACAAATGAAATATACATGTAAAGCACACATTCAACCTTAATCATCACATATATATTTAAATTGGTAAGTAGAATCAACTTAAGGTAGCACAATACAAAAACAACAAAATTTTATTAAAATTTCATTTTCAGTTGCAGGAAACATGGAAGTCACAAATCTCTTCTTTCAAATTTAACTAAAAATAAACTCCGATCACTGTGAATAAATAATCAAATAAAAACAGTTGTATTAACCACAATATTATATAGAAAGACACAAATATGAGTCAGAATATACATTTCTTTTTTTCATTTGTTGATTTTAAAAAAAAAATTAATGCTACCTCTTGACCTCAAAATCTTGGGTATGTTCATAAATTATATTTGAAATTTCTCACAGTTTTATATTTTATATTTAAACATTGTAATGAAGATTGACTTTTACAGAAATTCACTACTTCTTTATCCCATGAACTTTGACTGGAATAATGATTAGCAATTCAAAATTTGAACAGTGATAGAATCTATTTTTCTAGAACCATGTTTCCCCAATATATATATAAATTTAATGTTCCTGAATATCAGGCTGATTGTTTGAATACCATTGATCAATCTATTAATATAGTCACTCACTAATGATATCAACAATTTAATAGCTGTATTCAATATTAATTCTTAAAAATACAATTGCCTCTGAAACAGTGAATATAAAGTCAGTGCAATGAAAAAAACATTGCCTTCTAAACAGTGAATACAAATACAAAGTGCAAATGAAGAAAACATTGCCTTCTAAAACAGTGAATATAAAGACAAAGTGCAATGAAGAAAACATTGCCTTCTAAAACAGTGAATATAAAGACAAAGTGCAATGAAGAAAACATTGCCTTCTAAAACAGTGAATATAAAGACAAAGTGCAATGAAGAAAACATTGCCTTCTAAACCAGTGAATATAAGGACAAAGTACAATGAAGAAAACATTGCCTTCTAAAACAGTGAATGCAAGGACAAAGTGCAATGAAGAAAACATTGCCTTCTAAAACAGTGAATATAATGACAAACTGCAATGAAGAAAACATTGCCTTCTAAACCAGTGAATATAAGGACAAAGTACAATGAAGAAAACATTGCCACCTAAAACAGTAAATATAAAGACAAAGTGCAATGACGAAAACATTGCCTTATAAACCAGTGAATATCAAGACAAAGTGCAATGAAGAAAACGTTGCCTTCTAACACAGTGAATATACAGACAAAGTGCAATGAAGAAAACATTGCCTTCTAAAACAGTGAATATAAAGACAAAGTGCAATGAAAACATTTCCTTCTAAACCAGTGAATGTAAGGACAAAGTGCAATGAAGAAAACGTTGCCTTCTAAAACAGTGAATATAAGGACAAAGAGCTATGAATAAAACATTTCCTTTTAAAACAGTGAATATAAGGACGAAGCGCTATGAATAAAACATTTCCTTTTAAAACAGTGAATATAAGGACAAAGTACAATGAAGAAAACGTTGCCTCCTAAAACAGTGAATATAAGGACAAAGAGCTATGAATAAAACATTTCCTTTTAAAACAGTGAATATAAGGACAAAGTGCAATGAAGAAAACATTGCCTTCTAAACAGTGAATAAAAAGACAAAGTGCAATGAAGAAAACATTGCCTTCTAAAACAGTGAATATAAGGTCAAAGTGCAATGAAGAGAACATTGCCTTCTAAAACACTGAATATAAAGACAAAGTGCAGAAAACTTACAGCAAAGGCATCTGAGGATCCCTCAGTTTCTATTTCAACATCATCTTGTATATTTTCTATTGTTAAATCTTCACCTTGTAGCTGTAAAAAAGTTAAATGAATAAAGTTCAAAATAAAGTTGAAGAAAGAAAGATGCTTACAGATAGTGAATACTAACTTATGTACAGGTTAGGTATTCAAATTTGATCTATTCTTAATTCTTATGTACATCAGTCACAAAGGTCTGCAATTACATTCTGTCATTTGAGAAATAATAATATATTCCCATGTTTCTTCTAAGTATAGCGGGAAATTATTGTAGTGATGGATATGGGAGGTATGAATATATAATAGGGTTACTTATAGTGACCAATGGGTGTACTTTCTGTTTATAAAGCAGGGTCACTTTCTAGCTTTCGTGCAACAAGTGAACACTCAACTTAAATTTTTTATGTATATACGATATGTTTTATGATTACATTTTGATTTACCAATACACACTTTTTTAGGGTGTAGGTCTTAGAATCTGACCCTGGAGACTGGATTTGGCAGTTGGCATAGTTTGACTCAGGTTTCTAAAGCTTTTAGATTGATTATATCGTTTTTTATCTCTACTTATTACTGGCCGGCCTTGACCTCTATTATTGGGTGTATTTAGTCAAAGTTGGTTTTGTTTTGTTTTGTTGTATTTAGGATTACAAAGGAATTGAATAATTTTCAATTATGTATGCATTGCAATAACAATATTTGTGAATATTCATATAATACAATCTGGCATCCATCGAGCATGACGGGCTGTCTGCAAACTTATTATGTTTATAGATTGCTTGCCTTTTTTATATTTGGCACTAGTATGCAGTTAATACCAATACTGTAATTGATTATATCATTTTATATTGAATTAGAATCAAATTATGCATACAGCTGTGGTACAAGATCTGAGACATGATGCTAGTTCCATTAAGCTAATGATTTACTGAATCTGTAAAGTAGCATAACATTTTCAATAATTTCAAACACATTTATTGTACAGTAGCTAACTATTTACAGATAATCAATTACCCTTTCCTCTGTTTCAAACTCCACACCAAAGATTGGACAGGAACTGTAGACTCTGTGTAAACTTTGTATCTCCTTCACTGTACCTTGTAGCTTTTCTACTGGATCTATTCTAAACCCTAACACATAACCACCACTCTAAAAATAAAACACAAGTAGAAAAAGTTAATACCAAAGTACAATGTAGCTTATATAAATGAGTATGTCTCACAAACATATCCTGCCCACCTAACATGTTTGATATCACAAACATAGTTGATTAAATTATGATATTAGCTAAAAGTTTTCTATACACCAGACACAATTGGGATTTTATCTTGATTATAAAAAACATGTTAAACTATTTGTGTAAGTGACTGCAGTTATTCATAAAGAATACATGTATGTAAGAAATTCATAAATAAAACTAAAAGTAAGTTCACTGAAGAAAACAACATGAATTGTTGTTACTGGAGAATAGGAAATTTAAGCGAGGGATTAGTTTTAGCAATTTTCATGATTACAATAAAATTCTTAAAACATCCTGCTTGCTTGATCCAAGCATTGTCCAGTACAGAGAGTGCATAGTCTGGACAAAACAATTTACAAGAAATGCTGCCATTGGAAAAATGGTTATATTCATGCACTACAGCAAAAGCAAATAACTTTAATTCAAGATAGAGTCCAACATTGGAATTATTGAGTATAAATTCATATTCAAAGCCTTATAACATACCAACACCTGTCTTACACAATGATTTTTAAAAATTAGTTCTACATTTTTGTCTAAAAATTAGTTCTGTTAACTTGGACTTCATTAAATTTCCAAAAACAAATTTGTGCACATCTACATCTTGTGAAGAACTGAATAAACAATAATGCATACTGATTAAAAAAAAACCTGCAAAACTGGAGAAAAATTCAGAAGACTTGGTAACTAATGGAGGGACCCATAAAAAAATACTCTAAACTTCATTCACAGTATGTTGAAAAAGTAGCTTTAACAGTATATCTTTATTGTGTACGTACATATTTCATATCTGAGCTGCAACATATCAGTATATATACAGATTTTAATGTATATCACATTTATATTGAGTCATCTATAATATATATTTATTCATTTTTCTGATAGCAAGCCATGTGAGCAATGACAAAGCCATCATCAACAAGCTGAACTAATACAGTACCATGTGTGTAAAGAAAAATATTTGAAAACTCTATTAACTCTTAGTTGTCATGACAAATTCAATTAACTGCAAACACTGATTCACAGTACACTTATAATGATATTTTCTTGTATAAACTTTGCTCTGGCAAAACACAACATTGTTAACTAATCAGACATTTTTGTCATTACATAATAATTGAATTTTTTAACATATCCATTGAACAAGACAATATTGAAATTCAGTATATATCTGTAAAACATATCAAATATCACATTTACTTCTAAACTTCATGAAAGATAAATATCACTTTTTAATTTTATATACTGAATTATAGTAATTATTGTTAAACTTGAAAATGTTTATATTATTTTTTTATATACTATACAGTACATGTAACTGCCAATATTGCAATATACTGAGGACAGATATTTGCTTACATTTGTCAATTAAAAGTCACCTTAAAAGATTTTTAATTGAAATTTATGATCTGTTTGCTCTTTTTCTTTAAGAAATAAATAGTATTTGTGACAAACTATGTAGTATATATGTCCAGTAAAATACATTAATAAATTGAAGAATAAGAATCGTTATCATCAACATCATATAATGTTTTACAAAGAACATATGTATTACAAGAAGCATGAGAAGTGAGTTACTGTAAGTTATAAATTTTTGCATGTATTTATTATTGTGATTGTTGAAAAATCTTCTAAATTTGAGATAAATTATTGCAATTTAAGGAAATGCTGCATACAAGTAACACTTCAAAATTTAAAATAAGTTTTTTTTATGCGACAACTATCCAGTTGCAATTTTTACAATAAAAACATTGCTAAAATTCTGAATTTACAGGAACAATTGACAATGTTACAACAAGACCTCTGATTTCGTGATCACATATGAGAATAAAATGCTTCGCTGAGTGCAGCTGGATATGACCGCAGAGGTCCAACCCTGAACAGTTGGGGCAAAAATGGACACTATATTCGTGCTTGATACAGGTCTGAATTTGGATTGTAATTAAATATTTGATACATAATAGGTTTCTGACACCGAATAACTGTAGTCAAAGAACTTAGAATTGGTTATATGATTTGAATTTATATTCAATTTTTTGCTTTTGTGCAACACACTATGCTGTTGTGGAATTGACCCCCCCCCCCCCCCAAAAAAAAAATTTTTTTTTTTACCCCCTCCCCCCTAAATTTCTTTTCAACCCCCCCCCCCCCCCCCCTTCCCCTCCTCCCCACTTTTTCCAAAAAAAAAAATGTTTTCCCTCAAGATAAGGTCATAATCTCAATTCAAATTTCTAATGGAGTTTGCAACCATATTTACCAATTTAAATATATCATAAAAGTCTCAAAATAGAAAATGACATACATAATCATGGCTAAAATTAATATTCCTTTAATAGTAACTTCTAATAGTAAATTGACAGCTTATCACCTCAAGACAATACAAAATTTCTTCATACATAGTTTAAAAGCAGTGTAAGGGAGGTAATCCCAACATACAAAACATTGTACTTTAAATGTGTTTGGATTACCTCCCTTACACTGCTTTTAAATTGTCCATTAACCAGGAAACCTTTGTTTTCCCCCCTTTTTTGCCCCTAATTTCTAAACGGTTTGAGCCATAACCCCCAAAGTCAATCCTAACCATCCCTTTGTGATATGGAAACTTGTGGTATAATTTCAGAGAGATTCATACACCGTTCCACAAGTTATTGTCTGGAAACTAGAAAAATGCTTATTTGGGCCCTTTTTTGGCCCCTTATTCCTAAACTGTTAAGACCATAACCCCCAAAATCAATCCCAACCTTCCTCTTGTGGTTATAAACCTTGTGTTTAAATTTCATAGATTTCTATTTACTTATACTCAAGTTATTGTTCGGAAACCATCTGTCTTCCGACGACGACGAAGACGACGTGATACCAATATACGACTGCAAAATTTTTTGCGGCCGTATAAAGACAGAGTAAGAGTGAGCACGGTATATAAAGCAAGAACACAGAACTACACATTTTCTATAATTATATAGGTCACTGTAACAAAATTGAATTAACAGCAAAACAATATTCATATAACAGCAAATTTAACTTTTTTTAACATATTTAAATATTCTGTCCTAAACTCTAATAGCAGGATTTGCGTTAGAATTTCAATTTTTCCTTTTTAATTTCTTTTTTTTTTAAGTCATTCATTTCTGCAAATGTGTGGTTATTTTTTTTGTCTATTTCTTTATATAACTTTTAGACAATTTCTTAAACTTTCTTATAAAAGAGAATGAAGATTATGATAGATAATGATAGATAGTACATTCTATTTAATATTAAGTGATTAAGTGTATTATTTTATAAAATGTACTATTATTGTACTCAGTTTATACCAAAAACTGTGCTTAACTTATCATTTTAACACTGTTTAAATATAAGGATTTTTCTTATTGAGTTAAAAAGGGGGCCTTGGTGGCAGAGTGTTCTAAGTAGTCGAACTACAATATCACCAGCCTGTCAACACTGGTTATGAGTTTGAACCCTACATGTGGCAGATGTGCTGGACTCTAATCTTAATTGACTAGGAATGTCAGTTTTCCTACCGACAGTTGATGGTTCTCTCCGGGCACTCCCGCTTCCTCCACCAATAAACACTGACCACCAAGAAATAGCATAATAGTGCTGAAAGTGGTGTTAAACACCAATCAATCAATCAATATTGAGTTAAAACTTTCAAGAGAGTATCTTCACTCAACGGATACAACAATTTCACAGTAGTTTTGTAACTAAGAACTTTATAATTGAACAAAAACAAAATTTCTCTTTCAAATGAACAAACTCCAAAAATTTACCTTTTTCTTTATAAATGTAAAAGGTCCAGTCTGAAAAGGCACGTTTTTAAGACATTTAGAAAAGATATTTTCATAATTTATATCATGTTACAATGTAGTATTAAAATAAAATTTTATTCACGTTGCAATTCAAAATATTGCAAAAAATCAACCTAATATGGTATATTTCAATTCTATTGTATGATATCGCTAACTTATTTATTGTGTGTCTTGCTTGCAAATGTATAATTATGTAATTGTTAATGTATATCAATATAATTGTTATCCTCTTTTAGCACCATACATGTGCCTAAGTTGTAATAAATTGTCTTGTCTTGTCCAATTTTTACTCTGTTGACAAAATTGTTTTATTTAAGCATTCCGATATTTTTTTCCAAATTTAATTTACTCATCAATAAATGTCTTGTTATTATTTGTCTAAATTCTGTAAATAAACAGACAATTTGATAAATTAACAAGACATAAGAATATATTGTATTTCCAATGTCACTAACATTCTTTTAGTTCAATTTCAAAATAAATTAATCTTATCACTCTTATATTAGTGTTATTGTCTGGTTGCAGTGAAATAAAATAGATTTTATAGATTTCTCTTTGAACTGAATTGGTGCTAGAAACACACACACTTGATTGATATTAAGATTATTCAATGTTTTTGACAATTAAATTTATTTTATAAAGTTTTCCACACATATTCAAATATCACTGACCTTCATTCCAAGATGCTGAAAATACGTTCAGAAAATTTAATTTCAAGAAGCTTTCATTTTTTTGAAAACATGACAATAATTTATATACTTGAATGTTATATCCTATTAAAAAGGATAATTGCTACTACATATTTATCAAGAAAGTTGTTTCTGTATCAAGAATGTCTTGTGAACGTTTTTCGTCTTTTTTTTCACAAGACATTATCAGTTAATGTGAATGAAATGAGACGGCAATTCAACCGCACAAAAAAAAAAAGATGTTTGGTGGATTTTTAAGACATCATAATGAAAAGAAATTATAAAACTTTAAAATAATTCTTACACAGAACAACAATTTATTACCAGTTCAGAATGTATCTTCAATGTAAAATATTCAAAATTTGGAGAAGATCCAATGATGCATTCAATGCAATTACTATTAAAATATTATTAAATTACCTATGACAGGGGAATGAAAATATCCAAAATTGATAGAGAGCTTGTCTTAGTGGAATCAAACATTATATAAACAAAATTGGTAGATATAATATAGGAAATCTGCATCTAAAAATTATCAAAAACGTGAAAGAGCTTATCTTCATAAAACCAACATTTATCAAAAAGATTCAGTTATTCATTATTTATGGAAAGAGAATAAGTATTCTGAGTGAAATTGTGAATAACTAGCATTTTCAAATCATTTAGTCCATGTCTTTCAAACAATATCTCATATATTTCTTTTATGTGAAGATACATTTTTATGGTACATTTTCCAAATATTTTTTTTCATGACATTCTTTAACACATGATACTGTAAGAGATCACTTCACCTGTACTTTTATCAACTTTATACTACCAATATGGAACTTTACTAAACTTTGAAAAAGGTATGTGAATGCTTGAGAAGAAGGTCAGTTATATATTTCTGCTTTATAACACTTGCCTTAATCTAAAGGGTTAATGCATGAGGCCAAAAATAAAATTGAAATTGTTTGATGTTGCCTACCTACTCACCTAAAAAGCAGGCTACCCCAAAAATGTTATGACTGGAACCATTTCAAATTTTTTTTTTTTTTTTTTTTCGTGCTCTAACATTGTTTTCTTGTCTAAAACATTTATTGAATGTTCCTTTGGTATCTTTCGCCTCTCTTTTATTTAACTTATGTTATTGACCAAAAAAAAAAAAATCCCTACCTACACAACAATACAAGGCATGGGTAGGCATTTGTTTAAGGTGGCCTGAATATTGTCTCAAGTAGATTTTTATTTTGCAGGAGCTTGCAAGTGCAATATATATTCTACAACAGAAAATATTCACAGTATTCATACAATAACCTTTTTATTGTATAGAAAAGCTTGAAACACTGTTCACATTCACATATTTTTATCACTGATGACGTCAATAATTTGAAACTATATTTGCACTAGTGCAATATTCAGAATATTGCACAAAAACTTTCTGTTAAGTTATATAGGAAATACCATGTTGCCATACAATAAAAGCATATATCTATGCAAGTTTAGATAATGCTATATCTTATTACTGCTGAGATACCAACTTTCTAGCAGTTTATTTTTTAACATAAATGAGGAATTTAAACACAAGTGAACCAACGTCTGGTAAATCTTCTGTCAGTAGATTCCATAAAGTGGATACCTCGGGTATGCAGGGTCGTTACGATAAAAACATAAAATGTAGAAGGTCCAGTAACAACAACACTTTAAATGAGGAATGTGTTCATGGGATACAGATGCCCCAGTTTGTAGATATACATTAAATTCAGCAATTTTTCAATTTACAAAGGGTATAACTCAAGAATGGTGAAAGTGACACCACCCAAATTCAAACTTGATCTGTGTTTGCATTGTATATATTAAGTTTCATAACATTTGGTTGAGGTAAACAAAAGTATGTTTGCAGAATTGGCAAATTTGCCAATTTTTCCATTTATAAAGGGAAATAACTCAAGAAGGGTGAAAGTGATGCCACCCAAATTCAAAACCAATCTGTATTTGGTGGTAATAAGCATTGTGTATAAAGTTTCATAACATTTGGTTGAGGGAAACTAAAGTTAGAGAACAGAACTAATTTTGGGACAGTGAATAAGAGGACTTGGTAAAGTCAATAAAAGTATATGAATCTTAAAATAAACTGTTGACACAGAGATATGTCTTGCTTGTATTTAATTTTGATAGTTATATGCAAATTCTGATATTTAAATGACAATACTTTAACATTAAAGTTAAGCAAATCATCCAAAGTCAATGAACCATGATTTAGGTATAGGCCAAATAATCTCAGTAGAAATAAAATATGCCAATGCTAATACAACTGCATACCAAATATCATTGACTTATCATAAGTGGTTCCCCTTAAACAGACCTTATCACAAACTTTAACATGTAAACTATACAAAAATTCAAATAAAAACCATGGCTCAAGAGTGGGGCCATATAATCTCATAGGAAATGAGATGTGCTAATACTAATACAACTTTGTTCCAAATATAACTGGTTCCCGTCAAATTGACCTAATCACAAACTTTAATATGTAAACCATGTTTAAGTTTCAAAGTCAATAGACCATGACAGAGGGGGAAAGCCTAAACAATCTCCATGGATAAGAGAAGTGCTGATACAACTTAACTTTCTAATTCTATACACAAAACATCATGGACTTACCATGAATCCTCTTACATTGAACTTATAAACTGTAAAGTCTCATTCCTAAACAGGATTCAGATCTTGATCATTAGATCATAACTAGTTGAAACTGTGAGAAACATTGAAACCAATGATCTCATAAACAACCTGTTACTAGGACTATTGTAGTGAATTAGTCTCTGATAAAAGGGCCTTATTACAAAACTTAACCAGTCTCTTTTTGCATTAAATAAAAAGCAAAGATGACCCAAATGTTGAACAAAACTGTTATGGTGAAGTATCATTGCTATATTACCAGAAAATTTCTGAGAAATTGGCATAAATGCAAAGCTTCTGCAGGTTATATAGCTCATATAAGTCAAAAGGAGTAGGTGCATGAAAAACCTTATTTGGCAACTAAAATAGAGAATTGAAAATCTTATAAATTTTGTGCTAAAATGTTTAAAAGATATGCATAATGTCTATAAAATGTAAGTTTTTTTTATTTATCATGAATATAGACTTACAACTAAAAGCTGAAATAAGGGACAAATTCATGTTTGTTCTTAGACTGCGTAAGCGATTAGTTTTGAAAAATATTTGTAATTGAGAAATATCCAGTTGGGAAATGCTTAACAGATAGACAGATGCTGTAGTAAATGAACCAGTTAGTTCTTGCATGCACTCTATATTTGCAAATAAAAATTGTCTGAAAACACATAAAATCCATAGTTTCTGAGGGCATATATATCTACATGTAATTTTTTCACAATCATGCTTAAATAAAGATTTTCTGTGATCTTTGATTTATTTTGTTGTGCCATAATGGTGAACCAAAAAAAGATAATTATCTTAACCAATAACATGCTATTGATTAATATTAAAAAATAGTGTGTTCTCTAGCCCATCTAAATTACACAGTGAAAATCAGCATTGTGTTACCACCACACCTAATATTGGGATATTTATCGAACCTTAAACCACACCTACATGTATTTTGCAAAATTATCTTTTACATCAGCATTGGATATCATCATTTTTATCACTAATTCTTGAAGATGTGCAGCAAAAGTGATAGTTAACATACCTGTTGTGAACTTTCAACAACTAATGCCAATCCAAACTTCGAGTCTCGGATCTTCACAGTTTTCTTAAAAAATAAAACACATATTACATGGAAAAAATAATACAATATTGTTTTCATATATTGTAAATATCATGGCTTTCTTTATCAATGTGTGCTAGTCTGGTGAAAGGTCAAATTGTTTTTTTATCAATCTTTTGAAAACATAAGGAACTTTGTCTGTAGTCTCTCAAACATAACATATACAAAAGTCAAAGAATAATTTTTCTCAGACTGACAACATCTGAAATTACAGGTTGGCAACACAACTAAATAATTCTTTTGTTATTTTGAAAAAAATATTGAAAAATACATTAATGTAAATTTCAGTAATTAATCATTTCCAACAACTTACTTGATTAATTGCTTCATTTTATGATATATAAACCTAGGTGCCATGACAAGACATATGTTTACTTACCATCTGTAGAAAAGGTATACTGACATTGAAAGATTCATTTATGTTGGCATGCCAAACCAGTCTTACATTGGTGATAAAAAATGTTCCAAGGTTACCCTGAAATATTCAAATGTAAATATAACCATGCCAAGCTATCCTGACCAACCTGAAGGCTGTCACTTATTTTTGTTTATAAACAATCCCATAATTTTACAGCAAAATGTTCACGATTAGTGTCTGACATTTGTATTTGTAGGATATTTTAAGAACATGATTTTTTATTTATGCTGCATTATACAAATACTAGTATTTAAGTGCTTTTTCTTAACTGACTTTTATACATGTTCTTCTGTATACATTTTGTCATTCCATTGAACATAAGTTAAACAGGGAGGGTTGAATGCTAAAAATTCTAGTCTTATTCTATCATGTTTATGAGATGTAAGTAGTTATATCTAAATGTCTGTAGGAAGTTTTGTGTTGATGTCAGATCTCTGATAGTCTCTGATACTTGACATGGGGTGATGTACAGCTTGGCATATATATGGTATTTGCATATGGGATTGATATTTGTTTGTTGAAGATATCATCTGAAATTTTGATGTCTTTTTTTGGTTAGTGCTGTTGGATTATATATTGCTGTCTCCATGTCATACACCCTATATCTCCTTTAATTCTTTTAGAAGATTTCATCAAGATTCTTTAGTCTTTGATATTGCCAAAGTAATTAATCTATGCAGTGTGTCTCCAAATTACACTTCTGTAAACAGTAGATTTATATTTATTCGTGCGATACTATTTTTTGTGGATTCCATTGGTATAGGAATGCAGCAACTTGAAATATTCAATAAAATACAAATTTCCTTTATGCTAGTATAGCAGCATGTAAAATATGTCTAAACTAGGAAATCAATTATCCATGGAAACACAATATTTCCACAATCCATGAAAATTGTTACCCACTAAAATAAATGAATCCACAATAGCAATAACAAGATTTAGTTTTATGACAAATAAAATCCAGATAGGATCTTGTAGCTCAGTTTTTCAGCTGACCAAATTGAAATGAATTATAGATTATCAATGGTTTTTCAAACGAGAATTTTTTTTTCAGCTACAATCTCATCCTGAGATGAGATTTGGCAGAGAAACATCCTTGAGTTTGAAAGACCACTGATAATCTGTTTATCGCTATTTTGTCTATGACATCGTTAATGCTCACATTGACAAAGGCACATGTGCTCTTAGTTTCTAGCTATAATTTTCTATCTCAAGCAAGTAGCATGATATGAAAAATTATCACAAAAAAAGATCACAAAAAAAGATCAAAGGAAAAACACACAAAACAGTGAAAAGCAATATTATCATAAAAGTCCTACTATATATGGTTGCAACTAATAGGTAAGACTGATACATTTGTTTTAGTAGAAATTATGAAAATGTGATGTTATAGTAGCTTACAGTATAACTCACTATTAGACAAGGATCTGATCACCATTTGAGAGTATCTGAGATCAACCTGGTTTTTTTAATGGGGTCTTTGTTGCTCAGTTTTTAGTTTTTTACCTGACCTGCCCAAATGGCCATGTGGACTGTAAGAGTATCTGTCAACATCTCATGTCTGTCCATCTGTTTTTGGTAATTTTTAAAAACTTTTATTATCTTCTCTGAAACTACTTCAATGGACTTTTGAACCAATTTTTTAATGAATAAGAAGGTGCAAAGGATACTTAGGTGACAATAAGAAATCACATGTTAAAAAAAAGGACAATATCATAGCTAAAAATAAAATTAAAAAAAAAGACAAACAGTTTACAAAATTAAGCCTTAAATGCTGATACTAAATTGTACATGTTAACTGATTCAGAGACTGTCCTACATAATTTTATGGTGCACCTGCATCTATATACTAGTACTGTGGATGTGTTTATTTTCATGGGGTGAAGACAAAAATTGCATTTAATGGATATCTGATTTTGTGGTTTTGCCAAAATCTGCATACAAGTTTATAGAAAATATATACCCTGTTGAGCATGTAAATTCTTGGTTTTCCTACACCCACAAAATAATGAAAATTGAATAATAATGAACTCACAGTATATCATCATGTAGAATATAGAAGTACCTGATCACTAGACAGATTCCATACACCGTTAACTTTGTCATAAACTTGTTCTTGTGGTAACAGTCTAAGCTGTTTGTTCTGTATTAATGCCCCTCGTAATTTTAGATCTCTGTATAACTTAGATGTTTCATATGCTCTATAAAGAATAACAAACAAAATAACAGGCTACATAAAACTATTGAAAATCTTTTGACCTATAAGTACAGTCTATCATCCATATATTACATCCATTATTTACATGTATAAAGAAGAGGCTGTAGGATACATAACTGATTGATTGTTGTTTGCTTAACATCAATGTAAAATATGATTATTTCTATGACACTGCATGCAAGCTATTCAACTTGTCCTTAAAATTTGTTTTGTTTCTTTAAAACATAACTTGGCCTTAAGTACAGGAGGTATATTAAATAAACATAATCTTAAAACATAACAAATGTTAAGGAAATGTTCAAATACAAACTGGAATGACAATTCAATTGATTCCATTGAAAATGGAAAAAGGAATCTATAAAGTTTTAGAAAAGAAGATGATTTCCATCACCCCTCCCTCATTCATTTGAATGAAAATATGTGAGTCATAAATGCCATATTGATCAGCAGGAAAACAAGATTTGTAGAGATGCTGATCATTTTCCAAATCATCAATCCAATTGTCAAAGATTTACGTCAAAGTTTTAAAGGAAAATGTCTATTAATGTAAGGATATGATATTCTCTACAAGCTATGTTCTATGTACATGGAAATATAGATACCACCACTGCAACAAGTGTGTTACAATATTTCTCCACTCGAGACAGTTAATTTTAATATTTAAAGAGAGTTATAGTGGTGGAATCTGTTTCGCTAATGATTTTTATCCTTCCTTTTCAAAGATTTGCAGAAAGTTGTGTTCTTTATATCATATATGTGACATCATCAGACATGGTCGCCTTTTTTCATGACATCTTAATAGGAAATTCAGAAGAAACCAAGAAAATCTGACATCATAATTAAATTTCCACCACTCATTAGCCAAGAACAGTTATATCACTAGTGAGGTGAACAATCGGTTGGGAAATTTATGTGAAAATAGTGAAAAATTAGAGAACCATATTTTCTCATTTATAAGACTTATACTTAACATCTATTTATATATAGACATTTCTTCAAAAACAAATTATGAATCTTTAAAAAAATTATCAGTAATAGATATATAATTCTATAAATAAAAAGTAATGGCATTTTGTGATTGTACATGAAAATCATTCCTTTGTTTCATGTTGTTTAAAGCCACTTTCTAAATAAACGAACAATTTCATGGTAGTTAGTTTCAATTGTGGAAGAAACCTAATGACCAATCATGAAATTGCAAAAAGAAAGGGGGAGCTCTAATAGATAAGTTTTGATTATAATATACAATTATGGCCGGTTGAAAAGGGGAATATCCAAAAGTGTCAACCCTAAAAGGTTATTTCCCTGAGTGCTCAGCCCAAAGTGAAATAACTTTTTAGGGTTGACAATTTTGGATATTCATAGATTCTTAGGGGCAACAATTGCTTTGTTGTACCAAATTAACAGTGGAAGGGTCTTTTGAACCATTTAAAAAATATTGCCTTACGGTAGTAATTTTAAGATTATCAAAATAATTACATTAGAAAATTATTTTATGTCTAAGAATTTCTGTTATGTACAACAAAGGTAGACTCTTTCTGTAAAATATTGATGGCCCTGAAAAGGAACATTTACAAGAGATATCCTCAGCACTAGATGAATTTCCAAGCCTTCTTTGAACTTTTCCCCTCATTACTTGATGGGCTTTTTACCTGGCCATTGCCATTTTGTTTACGTACGTCAATGACATCATTTTTTATAGGAGATAACTCGTACAAAAACCAAGGAGCTGAAAAGGTTATTCATCGCTGAGTGTCAATTTCTAGGATTATTCATCCTTCATTGCATTTAAATGAAAATTAACTAAATTATTACATGTCACATGATAATGTATTAACCAATAGGATTCTTTATAATTATGTATGGTATAATAATATATATTGTCGCTTTTGCATTCTCTTTTCATCTGATATTACCTGTGGACTGCTATAACTGTAGTAAACAGCCTTGGTGAGCCAGGTATCTGAAAAATATACACATGTTATACTTTAATATTGAAATACTTATAACATTAAAATAGCTAGGTAGGTTACTTAACAACTTGACATGTTATTTAAGCTAGATATTATTAAACTAATAATACAACTGACCAGAAGAAGATGATATCATATTGTTTTTAAATTGTGAACTTCAAGAGAATACAAGGAAATGCACTTCTTAACACCATTTATGCTTTTTTAAAATATTCATCTAAAAAGTATACATTTAATATAATCACTTGTGTATCTACAGGTATGAATCAAATAATCTGTGATATTGACAGGGGAGATAACTTTAACACAAATATGTTCAATATCAGTAGGAGACAAATAAATGGTATATTATTGCATGCAAACAAAATCAAGTGGTCAATAAAAAAAAACAGGTTGAACATAAAATTGCATAAAAATCTGGTTGGCTGTTCAAGGTTAAATTCATACGCCCCACCCATATTTGTGGAAAGGGGTTTAATTACCTACTGAAATTTCCTACTTTGTACACTCCAGTAAAATGTTCTCTTAACAATAATAGAAAAGGGTGTCTGAAGAAGGAATGACAAAAATAACTTCGGCAGATTGTACAATAAATAAACTAACCAAATTAGTAAATATAAACTCAAATCTCGTATTATTGCACTTTGTTAATACATATAAAGCTTCTGTAGTTCCTCTTAATTTCTGAAATTAGAAAACGTAAACATATTTAATTCTTAATGTACAACACAATAAGCTCAGTCATTCTTATCAGTAACGTTGAATTCTCAAATGTTTGGTAGTTTTTAATAATGTATGATGGTAAAATCAAATAAACATGAACAGCTGATTTTTTTTTTTATATATATCACAAATCATTACATTAATAGCAAGCAACCAGGGTAGAAAACTGCTTAAAATACAACCTAATAGTAATACCTCACAAGAGTCATGGTAATGAAAACCAATATAAAAATATATGGTCTAAAATAATTTATCGGTGAAAATATTCATTCTTGAGCGCAATTAAGTGAAAAGCACTATTTCACAGATCACCACAGATGTGTTCCAATTTTAGCAACCATAATCCTGTCCCCTTAAATGTGACTTACCAAATTAGACATACCACCTGGTTTGTACTCACATGAGCAACACAACCGGTCCCACATGTGGAGCAGGATATGCTTACCCTTTCGACTTATGAGTTTGACCCTTTGGTATCTTTTCCCACTCTTTTGGAAAAATAAATACCTACTAGATAATGTGTGATAAGAGCTGCTTGTACCAAACATCAAACTTAGATATGATCTTTGAGATTATTTCTGTCTGATTCAAGATAATAAAATTTATCGGTGTTCCCACTGTCTATATCACTCTGCTCAGCTCTTCATAAAATTGCATATCACGGCTTTGTTACATCAAATACATTGACCTGGCCTTAATAACTTTGACCTGGACATATCATCGATGTCATAATGAATAAACCAATGTTGATAAGTTTGACCTGGCCTTAATAACTTTCACCTGGACATATCATCGATGTCATAATGAATAAACCGATGTTGATAAGTTTGACCCCAACTTATCACGTCATCTTCCAGTTTGCTGGTGAAACACAATTATTTCTATCATGCAATTACACAAATACAATCCCATAAATCCATTATCAGGTTGTCTGCATTCTGATATTGTAAAATATCAGCTGCTCGACACAATAGGAAGGCTTTCTGAACTCGTTCGCTGCGCTTACTCGACAAAACACTTCATATTGTGACTCACAGCTGACATTTTACAATAACAATATGTGAACAACCTGATAATCGGTGTGTCAATTACTTTACTGTTTAGGTGTACTTACTGACTGTGCTGCCTTTGATGATATATTGATTACATTGTTAAAACCAATTGCTGAAAAAGAAAGGAAATCAGTCATGAACCTGACCTACAACATTATGTTCTTTTCAATCATACACAATGTTTAACTTTTAACTTCATCATAAATAGAAAATTTCTATATGTTTTGTATGAATCCTTTCACTTATACAGTGTTCTATAGTACAGAACAAGACATGATCTTAAAGAAAATATAAATTATAGGATGTTAAATTTTTCATGTGTTATTTAATGCCATATTTATATGGAACATTACATTCCACATTCTTTTATCGGTGTTCCCACTGTCTATATCACTCTGCTCAGCTCTTCATAAAATTGCATATCATGACTTTGTGACGTCAAATACCTTGACCTGGTCTTAATAACTTTGACCTGGACATATCATCCATGTCATAATGAATAAACCGATGTTGATAAGTTTGACCTTGCCTTAATAACTTTCACCTGGACATATCATCCATGTCATAATGAATAAACCGATGTTGATAAGCTTGGCCCGTTAAATCATTAGAGAAAAAGATTTTACCACTTTAGGACTACATTATTTATCCACTCTCAATATAAATAGGCTATAGCCTTTTAAATTTTGAAAATTTAACTATCTCGATTGAATAAATAGTGTGTGGTTTTGATAGAATTAGTTTATACATCCTTATGAAAAGATACTTACACAAGTTAACCTTAGGAAGTGCCATTGAATGCCATATTATTCTCAAGTTGGTTACAATTAGACGTCCTGAAATCAAATAAGCACACCTTACTTTAACCAGCAAATTAAAGTATACTGGACTGGTCTTCCATAAGACAAAACTAATTTAAATACATCTGTAGAAAATGGGGCGCAGCTTGATACGACCGCAGAGGTCGAACCCTGAACAGTTGGGGCAAGTATGGACACAACATTCAAGCTTGATACAGCACTGAATTTGGATTGTAATTAAATATTTGACACAGCATAGGTTTCTGACACAGAATGAATGTGGTCTAAGAACTTAATTTTTTTTAATTTACCTATTCAAACCATATCATTATTATTTGCTTTTATATATAAATCAGAAATAACCAATTTAAAATGGAAAATTTTAAGAAAAAAAAGGAAAAAAAAATCCCCCCCCAAATTTTTTGAACCCCCTTATAATTCATCACCCCCAAACTCAATCCCAGCCTTCCCTTTGTGGTATGGTACCTTGCAGTACAATTTCAGAAAGATCCATACACTTGAACACAAGTTATTGTCTGGAAACTAGAAAAATGCTTGTTTTAGGCCCCTTTTTGGCCCCAAATTCCTAAACGTTTAGGGCAATTACCCCCAAACTCAAACCCAGCTTTCCCTTTGTGATATGGAACCTTGTAATACAATTTCATAAAGATCCATACACTTACACACAAGTTATGGTCCTGAAACTAGAAAAATGCTTGTTTTTTTGCCCCCTTATGGCCCCTAATTCCTAAAATTTTAAGGCAATTACCCCCATAATCATCTCAGCCTTCCCTTTGTGGTATGGTACCTTGCAGTACAATTTCAGAGATATCCATACACTTGAACACAAGTTATTGTCTGGAAACTAGAAAAATGCTTATTTTTGGCCCCTTATTCCTAAACGTTTTGGGCAATAACCCCCAAACTCAATTCCAGCTTTCCCTTTGTGATATGGAACCTTGTAGTACAATTTCATAAAGATCCATACACTTACACACAAGTTATTGTCATGAAACTAGAAAACTGCTTGTTTTTTGCCCCTTTTTGGCCCCTAATTCCTAAAATTTGGAGGCAATTACCCCCAAAATCAATCCCAGCATTCCCTTTGAGATATGGAACCGTGTGGTACAATGTCAGAGAGATCCATACACTTACACACAAGTTATTGTCATGAAACTAGAAAAATGCTTGTTTTTTGGCCCTTTTTGGCCCCTAATTCCTAAAATTTGGAGGCAATTACCCCCAAAATCAATCCCAGCATTCCCTTTGTGATATGGAACCTTGTGGTACAATGTCAGAGAGATCCATACACTAACACACAAGTCATGTCTGGAAGTCACAAAAATGCTTATTTTTGTCCCCTTTTTGGCCCTTAATTCCTTAACTGTTGGTACCATAACCCCCAACATCAATCCCCACCTTCCTTTTGTGGTATTGAACCTTATGGTAAAATTTCATAGAGATCCGTTCACTTAAACTAAAGTTAGAGTGCGAAAACCAATGTGTCTTCGGACGACGACGACCCCAACGTCATACCAATATACGATTTTGCGGTCGTATAAAAACTGTTCCAATTTATCTTCATGATTTAAGAACAGAACTGTTTTATAGAATTTGTTCATGTAGATTTTTTGTGACTGGAGAATCAAATAAAAGAAACTTAGAGTTCCTCTGACAGAGCTAAATCATACCTCCTGCTATAATTCACCTTCACCAAGCAGGAAATTTATTACTTTGCTTAATGTATCTTCATATAGTTTTATCTTTACAGTATGAAGTTTCACTGAAATCCATCAAGTAATTAAGGTGGAATTACAAATGTAAAGCAAACATCAAACAATGCATCAGATAAATCTTGAAGTTCAGTTATCTCCCCTACATTTTGTAGATATCAGAGTCTTATCATCATATTTATATACTTTCACCTATATGATGCATTACCTTTGTGTGAAAATTCATCAAAATTCATCTTATATTACGATTTAGGAGATTTGCGTACAAGGTCAATTTCAAATGGCGAATCAAGTAATAACTTGTTATAAAATTCTCTCCCTTCAAAATGTCATTCCATAATTATTTTGCTTCATATATAATTTAATATGTATAAACTTAATAGTATTATTAGAACAGACAATTTATTCTGATCATCATATACATAAAAATTTCGTTGTTTTATAAAAGTTTAAGCATATTTAAGTTGCATTCTAACTTTTCCAGTTACTGAAGAGGGAAGAAAGCTAAAACTAAAAACAGGGATATAATTAACTTATCATTTTCTAATGTGTTTATACATTTCAGGTACCATTCATCCTTTTAATAAAGGATGAAAAGTAGGAATATATTGACTCTCATTTATGACTGTTACATCAAAACAGAAAATTATTCATTGTGGCTGTTTCTTGAAAATAAAAAAGTAATAAATGCATCCAAAACAGTTTTAACAGAAATATATTGAGTCAGATCAAATCCTACACATTAATCCATTGTTTTTATTAATAGTGAGGAGATTCACAAGATAGTTTCAAAATCGACATCATAGGAATGAATTATACCAAATTTGGTATTAATAGACCCAATATTAAAAGGGATTTTTTTTTTCATTTTAATTGTTCAATACCAATAGGCAAAATGTGAATACACTACATGTACATGGTAGGCTAAATAATTAAAAATATTCAAAAATTACCTCTGTCACCATTGTTTCCTTTTGTATCTTCTACTGCATTTAATGAATCTATCAACTTTTCCCCTGCCCTCATTTTCATTTGCCTAGAATATAAAATTAATATAAAAATAAGGAGATGTGGTACAATTGCCAATGAGACAACTATCCACCAAAGTTCAAATGAAATGGATGTAGTCCATTCTTAGGTTAATACATTAAAAAACAAATCTTTTTTTTAAATTAAATCATGATCAATCAAAGTAAACGTAACCGTGATTACTCAACTGACATTCAATACTCCCAGCTCACATGCGCAGAACATTTGTTGGACTTCAAAAACAAAAGCTTGTCAGGAATTAACACAATAAATTCAGGAAGGCCCACCAATTTCGAGTGTAGGGGTGGTCCTGATGTCTGACTCAAAGTTTGTGATGGCTTTATTCTTTTTTTTAGTCTTATTGGTATTTTATTTAGCTCCTGATTACAAAGTATATAAATATTTGATATGGAACCATATAAATTATTGTGCAAATTGGTCTTATCTTATTTAAACATGTGAAATAATTGATAATAAAAATTTACTACAAATACAGAACCACCAAATTTGTAGTCTTTGGGGTCCTAATTACCACCGGACTAAAAAAGATTTCTAGAACTCCACAAACTGGTCAGAACCAGTTTAAATTCATATAGAATTAGACAAATACTTGTAAAAGTGAAATTGTGAGATTTTAATTTTCTTTTATCTTCCCTTTAGCTTCTCTCAAAAATTTACTTTAAATGGAATTTATTTTTACAACCTCTGAAATCCTCTTGTTTTTGGAAGTCAAGGAAAATCATCAAGTGATTGGTACATGTAAATATGTCTTAAATATTTTTAAGGTCGACCTTTTATCTCAAGAACTGCACAAAAAATCTACTGTGCACAGATGTTGATAAATGTACAAGGTCATCAAAAATTTTTCCCTTGAGGTTCTAAATATGCAGTAATTTGAAAAAAAAACAAGAAAAATGAGTACAGACAACAACTAAGAGACAGACAATCAGACACTCCATGTATGTTAAAGCAATGTTGTCAAGAAAAATTCAAGATGTGAAGAAAATTGACTTTACTTATATAGGTAAATAAAAAAATCACACAACAAATGGGGATGGCATGCCTCAAAAATTAATTACCTGTACCAGTAAATAAATACTTGAATAGGTGTTAGACTACTCCTGACTGTATGACTATAAATATGTTTTCTATATAGGACTTTCAGAAACTAACTTCCAAAAGCCTGAATCTGATTTTGATGTTACAATTCTAAATGAATGTATTCCCTTGTTGGGAAGTACATTGTATACTGGTATAAATACTGGTTCACTGGTAGTGCAGAGCAATGGTAAGAAGTAAAATAGAAAACAATGTGTAACTTTAATTTACAAAAATTTCCATATTTATAATCAAGTTTAAAATTTGATTATGAATATGTTGGAACACAAAATACCATTAATAATTTTCATATTTATATTAACCAAATAATATGAGCCAGGTGTTACCTGTGAAATAGGACGAAGTATTATGAATTTTATTTTCATTGTATTGTTGTCATTATTGTTTTTGGTAATCATATATACAAATTTGCAGGAAATTGTATGACCTACAACATAGCAGTGTCCGTCAACAGAACATGAAGAGGGTAATGTGCAAGCGCAACTGTTAGAAAAAAAGATAACAATTTTGAGCTCATTAGTATAATTGATGTTTCTACTGTTGAGGATTTCATCCTCATATGATTTTAAATCAACAGGGATCAAAAAACACCAATCATGGTTTATTCTTCATTGAGCTTGCATGGTTGCCTTGAAACAATTCTTACTTCCTGAAAAGGAAGCTGACCAACTTTAAATTATTATTTACATGTTTTATAGTAAAATTGATGATTCTGGAAAGGGCTTATTGCATGCTTCTTTGAATAGACCTCGTCGCTATTTGGAAATCTGGGCCCTTTGACCTGAGAATCTGCGCCTCTTGAACTATTGACGTCATACACTAATCACTTTTTCATTGTGGCGTCAGATATTTTCTATTATGGGAACCTTTGTGATATCCAGTAATGGCGGACAAATAGCGATAAGGTGTATTGTTATGCCTCAGTGTTAGTCAATTATAAGGTCAGTATTTGTTTGGTATATATTCAGTTCATATATCATTTATCATATCATATCATATACATGATATATATGCAAAAGGGAGATTTCAGTTTATTCTAGGAAAATTTCAGGAATTTAAAAAGATACATGTAATGTTATTTTGTCTGCCATTACTGATATCATATCCAGAATTAACTATGGTCGAAATGGCACTGTAGCCAAAACGACCTGTGGCCGACTGGTTGTGTGGCCTCAACATCTCGAAAGCATTTGATCTATTGTTCACAACTAAGACTATTATAGGTTATATCAATTAACAACAAGGATTGGTATAGCCTATATAAAGACTATATACATTTGTAGATACAAATCCTTGATCACAATGATTGAATGAATATATCAAAATTTGGCAATTTACACAATTTTGCAAGAGTTTTTCAGCAGTACTCCTAATTCAAAAACAGTTAAAATATTCATTCAAGTGTTTATTTAATACACGTACGAAGGGTTAACGTCAAATCGGACATCTCTGTCTTCCCACAAATCAGCCATTTTGATGCCAAATATTTCTAAGGACGTGGTCATGCAAAAGTTTACAGGAGCAATACAAAACAATGATTTTGCTAAACACTTCTCCGATAAAGAAATAGTGTCGAAACTGGTTACTTTTTTTAGTTTAAAATTTGCTGTGCTCATTGATATAACAATAGGTACCAGATTGAAATATGTCTGCGCCCATGAACTGACCGACTATCGTTTTAAAAACGTCAATAAAAGTTTGATTTACAGACAGATATTTCAGGTATGGCACCATGGCAAATTTAGAAATAAGAATTAAAAATAATTAACATGCAGATGTTACTCATGAAAGAGGGTGATATCCGTAATCTGAGGACGAAATTTATGATTTTTTTGAAAAATCTTTTATAGAATGATTTGTATCAGAAAGTACTCCTTCGACCAATAGGCCAGTTCCGGGATAAGGTTTTCAGACGGTTCTGTCATGTGACTTCCATCACCACGTGACAAAAATGTATGCATCGTCATTTCCAACACATGTTGAGCAAACGGATGAAAAAGTTTGATTGTATACTGCACAAAATATTTGGGAAATTAAAATCTAATAAGAGGGTCACCCTCCCTCAGTCGTACAGGAATCAAGATTACTTACTTACGGAAAATAAATTATTTCTATACTACCTTACAGAATGACGATTATGGAAGTGCTCGAAACTTTTACTAGAGCAGGGAAACAGACGCGCCTTCTATCAGTCTATTTGGTAAATGACGTCATAAAGGCGCGCGAAATTGACGATCTTTTCCAGAGAAAGACATGATTCCAGAAATGACGTATTCAACAAAAAATCATTAAAAAATTAATTAGTTATACACGTTAGCGAAAGGTAATTAAGATCAAGATGCGATGATCTAAGCCTCAGACCACTACTGCATTGCCCGTCATGCCCCATAGGCTAGTCCATATAATTATGACGTCTTGATAACACTATTTTAATTTTTTGCTGTGACACCTATCGCATGGACTACCCATGGGCTCAACGGGGGCACAAGCAGACTAAGGGTTACTTTTTCATATCTAATTAAAGAATCAGAGGTGCATGGTCCTGCTGAAGTGTAACGTTTTTGGTTGAAGTGTGATGGTCCTTCGTAGATGTGCGATGGTCGATTTGAAAGCATGATGGCTAGTATAAAATCAACAGATGTGCAATTTTTATGAGAATTAGATTTTTTTTTATTATTTAGTTTATAAATTTGCATTCATTATCGTTTATAAAACATTTATGGTATTTCAATGATATGTAAATGTATGGGTAAGGGTGAAATAAAAGAAATGTTAAAAGAATGATTACTGTGGATTCATTTATTTTCGTGGGTATCAATTTTCGTGGATAGAGAAAAAAAGACGTTTCGTGGTATACATAAATTCGTGGATCGCTGATTACCAAAAAAAATAAATTCAGATACGTAATTCGTGGATTTCTTTTTGATTTAGGAGATCATATAACCTCCTTGGTTTGATAAATAATAAAACAAACAAAAAAGAAGGAATTCATTGAAAAAATTTTGAATTGTCAAAATCCTCGCTTGGTCATTCTAGGTTAAAGTGTTCATTGAAAACTATTACAATAATCATGATAATGGACAGAGACAACTAATTATTTGTTTGTTTTACAATTTATAAATTCTTGTCGGAATTTTATAAGGCATTCGAAACCCTATGATTGAAAGCTCATTCTCCTAATCACGATATAATGAACAGTCATATAAGTAAAAGGTGTGAAAATAAATGTTCCTGTCATAAACAATATTACCTACGGGCAATATCCCCGTACTTAATCCTATTGATTTTTAATCACCAGTAACCCAAACTATGACACGGTAATTAACAACTTGCAGTTATTTTCCATGAACAGTTTTGATCAATTTTTAAAAGTAAATTATCACTGATATTCGATATATTTCTTATTGATTTAATCAAAATACTTGTATGTTCTTTCAATAAAAAAACGTGTTATGTTACAATGTTTATCGCTAGTCAACACTATACTAGAACTGCATAACATAACCGGAAATAAACATCCGACTCCATACACATTTCTCGGGATTATTCTTTGTTGAATTCTTAAATTCGTGGTTCGCTGTGACCCACAAAACCCACGAAAATTGGTATACCACGAATAAAAATGAATCCACAGTATCCTACAATAAACATGTTACTATATATATATATACTTTAAACAGTGTTTGCAACATTCGAAATTCAAAAATATATTTCATTATATGAACATGATGAATGTGCTTAGTTACAGTTTCATCCTCTTTAATTTTGCTGCATGTAGACATAATTCTGTGTTTACAGTTTATCTTTACTTTGTTCCTCTCATGAGTCTCTTTTCATTGGAAATGCAATGACTATTTATCATAGCTGTTTTAAATTAAACAGATTTTCCTTGATGCTTTACTGACATGACTTAAAAACCTAAAAAAACTGCTTAAAAAAACAAATTGACTACTTAGACTACATCAGTATGTGATCATGAAAAACATGAAAAATAAAGTTGATCTAATCCATCCCACTTCAGCATTACCACCAACACATTTCAGCGTAGCTATCAACAAGATGGCGTAATAACACTTCCATAGCTATTTTGCGCGACCATCCCGGTTCAGAGTGCTACATATTCATATGACATTGGCCTTTTTTTAAAAAACCTAAATTGTATATAACCCTGTCCCTGTTACTAGACCATATTCTGTTTGGGAATCTGCAACACTTGACCTATTGACGGCATACAACAATCAGCTTTCTTTTGAGGCATCAGACATTTTCTCCTGTGTCGTCAAAATTTCATGGGGAAAGTTTGTGATGTCGTTTGCAAGTAATGGCTGACAAATAGCGTTGAGGTGTATTCTAGCTGATATTATCATCAGTTTTCATATTTGTTTAAAAAAGTGGGGGAAGATACCAAGTGGACATTCAAAACTCAGAAGTCGAAGAGAACTGACAAAGCTGTGGCAAAATGAGAAGATGACAAAAAGACAAACAAATCCAGAAAAAGTACACTGAAAGCTTCAGACTGAGCAACAGGAACCCCACTAAAAAAACCTGCATGATTGATACAGTGAGTTTTACCAGAGAGCTCATTTTGTTTGCTATAAAATCATATGTCAAATAAGCACTAGACTCATTCTTTTTGGTAATCAGATATGTACAGATTTTCAAGAAATCTTATGATTTAGAACATGGCAGCCTCTGTCAACAGGAACAGGGTAATGTGCAAATGCAACTGTTGCAAAAGAAAGTTAATGATATTGGATTATTTAAGTACAGGTTGTATATTGATTTTGAAAATGTACATCAATTTGATTTTTCTTTTTATTAACTTTGTTACTGTAATTAAGGACTTCATCCTCATATTAATAAAGAACAAAAAATTATTAAATTTGAAATTTAGAGTAGGTATTTCCAATAAGCTCTTCAGCAGTGTTTGGTTATCATATCGCAAATAGCTACGTGTATGTAGATTTATATATCCCAACCGTTTGAATAGATTATAAACAATTAGTTCCCAACATTTTTGTCCAAGGTGAGGTCTTTAGAAATGAGAATATTCCTGTTTGGTAGATTCTTATAGGTCGGGTACAACCCACAAAATTGAAAATACAATTGATTCCTTTTTATATCCCAAATTGCCCAGGCAAATGTCAGAAAATAATGTAATTAACAGGAATACAATGTAATCATTGAAAAAAAAAATTATTTTCATAACAATAGTATTTTCACCTTTTTTCGTAATGAATTGTATGTATATTAAGAAAAATACACCTTGCCTGAGACACATACATGTAAACATGTAAAAGGACCCTTAATGCCATCTAACAAAGCAAGAATACACTTAGTATTGTTATAAAGAAGCAACTTCTTGTCAACAAACTATTGAGCATATTTAGCCTGTTCTGATTTCTTTATGAATATTTATTGTTAAAAAAGGTACTGGTTGTTTTGTATTATTACTATTATCAATAACATGGTATAGGAGTCATTTTATGTGATAAAGTAATGAAAAAGTTACTATACTACCATTTTAATATTGAAGATGAACCTTTAGTTGGAAAACATTTTTCCATATGTTTTGTAAAACTAGGAACATGACCTTATTTATATATATACTATAAGTTTTGATATGAAATATCAATAAAAGGAAAACAAGGCGTAAATTTCTCATTTCAGTGTTAGAACATGGAAGTTGAGCATAGAAAGAACACAGAAGTCGAGCATAGAAAAGATGACAGGAAAAGACAACATTCACCAGAGTATGATGTGAAAAAAGAAGAAAAGAAAAGAGCTAGATCAAGGTCTCCAGAACGAAAACACAAGAAAAGAGATAGAGAAAGGTATATTTGTTCTAAGATGTATTGTAACTAGTTACACAAATTCTACCCTCAGCTGCACAATACTTATAGAAATAAGGAGATGTGGTATGATTGCCAATGAGACAACTATCCACAACAGTTCAAATGGAGTGGATGTAAGCAACTATAGGCAACTGATGGCCTTCAACAATGACAAAAAAGCCTAACCATATAGTTGGCTATAAAAGGCCAGACATGAAAAATGTGAAACAATGTAATTGAGGAAACTAATGGCCTAATTTATAACAAAACAATTTACGAAAAACAAATATGACAGATATGAACCAACGACAACCACTGAACTACACGCTCCTGACTTGGGACAGGCACATATAGAATGTGACAAGGTTAAGCATGTTTTAAGACGCTAACCCTGGTTAATGTACGTAAATCCTACACATGATGAAATGTCAATCAAACCATTAGCTTTATCATGATCATTTCTTAATTTTTCTTTAGCTGATGACATGATTTTTGAGGGTGTCAACTACAAACTTTGCTAAACATGTAAGCAAATACCATTTGGTTAATTATGATTAAGAATCATAAGTCAAATAAGGGCAGACAACACTGTTACCTTAAGAAATAAGGACAAAAACAGACTTCAAATTTGGATGATTTTAATAATCAGACAAATCTGAAATAGGGGTGACAGCTTGTTTTTTAGGGGTACTTGTAAAAAAAATGAATATTTTTCTTGTCATTGGGATAGTGCTTTAATTTTTTATCAGATCTTCTTCAAATTGGATAAGCTTTCCACTCATCTAATCTTCTTATGAATTAAATAATCTCTGAAATGGGAGACCTTTTTTTTTAAAGAGGTGGCTTTTAAAAAATATATCACTTTTAGTGCTAATTGTTTAAATGGAGCCATCATTCTTATGGTTTTTCTTCAAATGGCTTGGGGTATGTCAGTTTGCTCATTCAAGGTTCTTTCATTAACTATACTGGATTACCTCCCACCTATACTGGATTACCTCCCACATTGACAATGATAATAACAATAATAATAAAAATAGAAAACTTCTAAAATCTGTACAAGATTGAATAAATTTTGTTTTTTAATGGATTTTTTCAGACACAGATCTAGAAGTAGAGAACGTCCAAAGAGAAGTGGAAGTAAAGATAGGGATAGAAAGAGAAGTCGTAGCAGAGATAGACACAAGAAAAAGTCATCAAGAAAAGACAAGTATAACTAAATTTATTTACTTATTGTATTCTGGTTGTTAGTTGTCACAAATTCATTGAAAGTGTTCCTCTAATAAGAAATTTAACAACCTTCAGTTGTGAATACTAAACAACTTTAAAAGTATAATTTTAAAATTTATAATTTTTACCAAATGAAATCATTAAATATAAAGTAAAAAATATATTTCTTACCAAATGTGATACAATTCAAACAAGAAAACCAACAGCCTGATTACTAACAAAACAATAAATGTTAAAAAAAAAAATATGACAGACAGCAGCTAACAACAACCACTGAATTACAGGTATCTACCATCTTTTGGTGTGTATAAAACGTACCCATACATAGTACGCACCCCCCTTTTCACCCTTGAAACTTGAGAAAAAGTTTCTTATGCTTTACACGCAGGGACTTTATGGAAATATTTCAACTTGAAACTCAGTAAAATGCATCTATTGAAAATGATTTCTTTTTCGGGGACAAATTGAACTCCAGTCCTGGTTGATTACAGGATAATGAAAACGTTGTTGCAGAATAAATAACTTAACAAACAATGTTTGATTCTTTATTGTTTAACGGATATGTTTGATTGAGAACAACAGGAAGTGTTAAATCGGGAAGTTGTTTAAATGCAAATCGTAGTCAGTGAATCTTGTACAAAATACGAATTAATTACGAATATTCTTTAATACACAATAAATAAATAAATTGTAATATTTATGTTGATAAATTAGTTCTAAAATAAATATTAATCTCTGCTAATTTCATTTATTGTTTGTTGGTACTCATTGAATCCCTAAATCCTGATTATCACACTCTTATTGATAATCAATTAGGAAGTCTAATCGTTGTCAAAACAAATCAATTGACAGGTTCACTTTGTTCCTCAATCAGGTATTAAAATGGTATTTTAAAAACATGCTTACAATTTATGATTTGTATGAAGGTTTTTATAGAGGATTTTAAAATGTCACAAAGTAAAAACGTATAAAATCATCACTTTATTCAACTTCATAATATTAAAGTCACATGACATGTGATCACCTGATACTACGAAAGTGAAAAACAATGGCGGTCACTATCATCAAACGAGCGTGTTTCATTCAATTTTCATACATTCACCTTCTGTATTCCTTGTTAGAACATATCAAAAGTAAGTTATAAACTTGAGAATCACCTACACTTATTTGGCCATTGACAGAATCATCTCTAATTCGGATATGACCAAATACAACTTCCAGGCGGCAACATAGAACAGACACAAGAAAACGCAAAGAACATAACTACTAAAGCATTTACAATGTAAATGATTTTTATTTGCATATAACATTACAAATCATATACTAGAAGGTACAAATATACATTTAAAACATGACAACAATCAATTTGTTTTGCTACGAAAATATTTTCTTCCTGACCACCTGACCTGGTTTCATGGCCCAGTTTCGTACCTGAAGAAAAGTCTAAAAATCAATGTATGCATACATAATACGCACCCCCCTTCTCAGAAATCTCTTCCAGGGTTAAAATCTGTGTACTATACACACCTAAAAACGGTAACTTCAGACAGACACATCAAGAATATGGCAGGATTAAAACATGTTTGTTAGTGCTGACAACTCAATCCTCCCCAAACCTTTGACAGTGGTATAACAGCACACCATAAGACCAAGCTGTAAAAATCAGATCAAAATAGTTTGATTCATTAGATATGCCAGAAACACAAAAAACATCTAATATAGAGACAAGAGAGCATGTTCTTCCAAACATTGTTTGTTTTCTTTCAATGTAGTAAAACCTAAACATTTCCTTACAATATTATTTTATGAAACATGTTTGTTGAATATTCATTTCCAGTGTCTATGAATATAAATAGCGATTATTTAAAAGAACACTTAAACCATTTAAGTACCATAATTGCCCTGACTGATTTAATGGCAACATATTAATAAATGGTGGACTACAATAATTATTGAATATTACTTTATTGTGTTTAGGTCAACTGAAGAAGAAGAAAAAGTGCAGAAGAAAGTTCCTTTGTCACTAGAGGAATTACTGGCAAAAAAGAAAGCTGAGGAAGAAGCTCTCAGTAAAGTAGGTATTACAATATTGGTAAAGACTCTTTAATGTAATGTTTCTACCAAGGGTCCGAAAAAGGTCATATTTGCTAGTAATGACTGAAACTGAAAGCTATAAAGCTATTTGCCCTAAACGGCAGATTGGGATTAAGGTAAAATAAAAATTTACAGAAATAATTTCAGTCATTTCATTGAGATCGGGTTTCTAAATCGCCGTTTGAACGTGTTTTTGTTTTGTAATCCTTTTCTGGTAATAGAACTGCCTGAGGGCCTTCCTGATAACCATATTAATGCCTCGTGAAAATATTGGCTAATGATCATTAAACACTTTTTACCTGTGTTTTTAATTCACACCTGACAGTAATCACTAGCTCAGAACTAATATTATAAAGAAATCTAAATTCCATGACAACTTTCTTCATTATTTAATTACTTTTCATTAAAGACAATCGTCAATTCTGATTTTAAAATTCAAACTTGATTTAATTTATGTAGAAAAAAGTATTTTTTCGCAAGTCAAACATGTGCTTTATTTACTATGTAATACGCATGCATGAAATTGTCTTTACCAGATTAGACACTTTATTGTAAAATGCAAAATGATTTCATGCTAACTTAAACAAGTGCAACTATCATCTGTTATATTCAAACACTTTTAAAGGTAATAAAATTGAAAATCTGGTGATTACATGTCAATATGATAAACAGAAAGAATCCTGGAAATGAATCTGGAATCACTCATACTTTAGTATATTAACATGAAACTTCTAGTTTTTATTTCATCTTCAAATTCAAATAAAGTGTTGGCGTTTCCTGAGAAATTTACTGTTTTGAGTCATAAAAATCATTGCAATTTTAAACAGTTGCATTCCATATATTGTTCTTGTACGTTTGAGAAAAACAGTAAGAAAATTCATGAAGTAAATGTGATGAAATAGTCAATACAAATTCATTGATGCCATGAATCTAGTGTGAATTATTTCGACAGATTGAAAAAAGGGCCCCAACTTTTTAAGTCTTCTCAAAATGACCTAAATTGTGTGAAAAAAATTACCTGATCCTTGGTTCCTACACCATGTACACTCAGTGTATCCCTTGGTGTTTTTCCTTTGTTGTTTTTCCTTTTACAAAAAGATTTCTGGTTGCTTGATAATTATTTTCATTACTTAACTCTTATTATTATTTGTCTCACCATGACAAATTACAAAAAGGAAGACTTTTGTGTGCTGTTTCGGGGGCAGTAATCGTGACAGTGGAGTCAACAATCTATTATTTTGTGATAACGGTCAGTTAAAAGGGAACCACTAGTGGTAGGTCAATGATATTTGGTGTACAGTTGTATACAAATTTCTCATTTCCATGGATTTGACCTCTCTCCATCTGTTGTGGTCTAATGAATTTGAAACTTTTGCATAGCTTACATGTAAGTATGAAGTGAGATTTATTTTTCTGCAATTTTGCATACCCTGAAAAGCCCATTGTGATGCAGCTTCTCTTATAAAAAAAAAACCCAAAAGTTCTCTGAGAAATCAGTAATTTGCAAACATTAAGTAACTACATAGATTTTACACCTTTATTCTATGGTCCTCTGCTCTTCAAACTAGAAAAAAGGACCAGCTAAATCACTCGTTAAAAATAGAATTTTTTTAAGTTGAATTAACATATATTATATTTGAGTATCTCACTTTGAGGCACATTAGGGATTTTGATCCATATGTTAAAGATGTGCAAATAACATGGATAATGATTTTTATTAATTTTATGCAAATAACTATCAGCAGGGCATCAAAGGAGTCGGTTCATGAAGGGTTGAAATTGACCCTAAAATTTTTATGTTTTTTTAATCAGGCAAAAATATTACAAATTTCATATAGAAATAGTTGTGATATTACTATAAATACAAAATAACTTCATTTTGGCAAATCACATTAAAAATGACGAAGTTTTGAATCCTTAAGTGTTCATTATTTGTGTTGTAACGTCAGTTTTGCTCAAATTTTCAATAATTCTTAACATTATTTGCATAATTTACCTTGGCCGCCACTCATGATCCAGAAAGTTTTTGTGTCTAGGGATTCAATATGATCATTGGCAACTTTTGATAACAGAATATTTTGGACCCTAGGTTGCGGCCAAGGGTTTCATTAAGCTTTTAGGTCCACAAAATGCACCAAATCATCTTATTTTGACAATATATCCAAAATGTGCTGATTCTGAAGCCTCTTATGAAGGATTTATTTTAACAAAGAAGTAAGGCTTTTGAAATAGATCCATTTAAGAACCAAATTATAGTAATTTTGAAATTTTATGATGAAGTTTAAATTCAAGGCCACATTTGGCCTAAAGTGAACCTTGTCCTTTGTCTTTTACACACAACCATTTCAAGTCGTACTTTAACACCACTGTTGACTGATTCTAATGTTTACTGCTATATATTAAAGCCTACAGGGTGTAGCACATTTGTCTAGTTGTATTTTATCTACCTTATTAATGATGTGATGCTCTTTTGGCTTAATTTAGTGGAAAATGCTAATTATTTTAGCCCAAGTTTTTATCAAAAGAAGAAAGAGCAGCTGAAGCTCTAAAGAAAAGACAGGAACAGGTTGAAGAGCAAAGAAAAAAAACGGACGAAGAAAAGAAGAAACAACTGGAATTCCTAAGTGCTGGCAGAGAATGTAAGATAATTATTTTAATTGACAACATTGCACTGGACTTAAAGTCATATGAAATGAGTTTCTTGTAATTATAATGTTAAGGAAATTATTGAACCAATGCATGCATATAAACTAAACTTAATCCACTATGCACGTATTTTACATTTATTATGAATCTATTAGGTATTATCGACAAATAATATTTCATTTGATGATTGTTGATTGCAAGCTAATCAACTTTCAAGTTTGTTGCCGAGTTCTTTATATTTTCCATGCATTCCCATTTGTTTATTGAACGATTCCATAGCAGTTGTTGAATGATTTATTATATTTAATTTGTTCTTTAATAATCAATTATTACTATTGACCTCAAGTGCACCTTTGGTTACATTCTTTCATCTGGGTTTTCCCTCACACTTGCGCTGTGCGGTGATCAAAGTTCTAACGAGTGGTCTCGTATTTAAGGTCACTGGATACAGAAAAATATAGGTGAATTAAAGTACGAAAATACAATAGTTCCATAGCAGTACATCTCTGAAGATTTGATAAGATAAAGGATTTTCTTTTACAAGAAAGTCCATGTGCGCTTGTTTTATAGTAAAACATAGCCATTCAAGCATATAAAACATATTTAACTTTTTTTTAAATTAATGTAGCATATGACTTTAAGTATTTAACATGAAAAAAATTAGTTGGATAATAATATAGGTAGATTTTCCATAATGCTGTAATTTTCAATCCGTACTGTGACCGTTTCATAATTGACTAATGAATTATGATTTATTATGTTATTGTTTATTAGTTTATATTCCCTTTAAAATGCAGTGATGTTGATTCCTTAAGACATGGTATCTATTTCTATTTTCTCAAACTATATAACTGGTTGCTCTAAAAATACAAAAATGCATTGAAAATTGGAAATTCACTTAATAAACATGATTTGGAAGGGCTATAGTAATAGATTATCTATGGTTTTGAAAATGAGACGGAGTTACTTGGTTACAAATCTCATCAAGGGGTGATAACCCTGAGATGAGATGAACCTGAAAAACTTTGTCATGTTGAAAGACAATGGATTATCTGTTTATTGCTATTTTCCTAGGCAATGTCAGTGAATTGGCGCATGACGTCATAGTGTTCTCACTTGGCTTGACTGAAATACCATTTTCAGTTCATTATCTTGATTGGGAAAATTATCAAACAAAAAGATCAAAGCAGTTTAGGAAAATTTCAATTTTCTCAAACTATAAAACTGGTTGCTCTAAAAATACAAAAATGCATTGAAAATTGGAAATTCGCTTAATAAACATGATTTGGAAGGGCTATAGTAATAGATTATCTATGGTTTTGAAAATGAGACGGAGTTACTTGGTTACAAATCTCATCAAGGGGTGATAACCCTGAGATGAGATGAACCTGAAAAACTTTGTCATGTTGAAAGACAATGGATTATCTGTTTATTGCTATTTTCCTAGGCAATGTCAGTGAATTGGCGCATGACGTCATAGTGTTCTCACTTGGCTTGACTGAAATACCATTTTCAGTTCATTATCTTGATTGGGAAAATTATCAAACAAAAAGATCAAAGCAAGTTTAGGAAAATAGTGATAATGAGAACTTCTCAAATGAAATGACCAATTGTCAACACATATGACTTTGATGTAAGTGTAAGGTGTAAAAAAAAAAAGATAAATCACATCCTACACTCTAATATTTGTGGCTGTACTTCATTGAATGCCACACAAAAATTACAGAATTTCAATGCAGAAAAATAAAAGAAACATTTTGTCTTGCTTCAAACTATAAATAATAAAATTGATTCATTCTTCCTTCCTAAACTAGTCACATCAAAAATTTTCAAATATCAGGTAGTCACAACAATGATCAAATATTAGCTGGTCACAATGATCAATTATTAGCTAGTCACTACAATTATCAAATATCAGGTAGTCACAACAATGATCAAATATTAGCTAGTCACTACAATTATCAAATATCAGCTAGTCACAACAATGATCAATTCTAATGCAATTATTTTGTATCAATGGTTCTGATTGGATGACAGTAAGCGTAAAATTCTCTATGTCCTTGTCTGTAACTAAGGAAGCCGACATTTTGAATCCCGGAATGTATTGACATGCAATTTCTCCCAATAATAAGCAAAAAACTTACATTTTGCACCTACAAATTTTCTCTTTATCCAATTTTATTCCATTCTGAAGCGGACAAGAAGCCAGAAAACGCCCGGTGTTTACGTTTCATGCCGGAAGCTTACATATGACGTCACATAGTTTAGGCGCCAAAGAAGATAACATCATTTCGCGGAATTTTTGTTTGATGAAAATTTTACACTGAAATAATGACTTAAATTCAACGATTTGTTATTCTGCATTAGAATAGAGATAACTGTATTGTATTTGAAGCTTTGCGGACGTCCATAGGTAGTTTTACTGTCGCAAATACCCGTTTACCTGTCTCCGCTCCGCGTCGTCAGGTAAACTAAATTTGCAACAGTAAAACTACCGATGGACGTCCGCAAAGCTTCAAATACAATACAGTTATCTCTAAAATATCAGCTAGTCACAACAATGAACAGATATCAACTAGTCACAACATTGGTCAATTATCAGGTAGTCACAACATTGGTCAAATATCAGGTAGTCACAACAATGGTCAAATATCAGGTAGTCACAACAATGAACAGATATCAACTAGTCACAACAATGATCAAATATCAACTAGTCACAACATTGGTCATTTATCAGGTAGTCACAACAATGGTCAAATATCAGGTAGTCACAACAATGAACAGATAACAACTAGTCACAACAATGATCAAATATCAACTAGTCACAACAATGATTAACTATCAACTAGTCACAAATATGATTAAATATCAGGTAGTCACAACAATGATCAAATATCAGGTAGTCACAACAATGATCAAACATCATTTAGTCGCAACAATTATCAAATATCAACATGTCACAACAATGGTCAAATATCTTTTTCTTTCTGAATGAAATATTCACAGAAAAAAATTATCAAATTCCGTATTCTTCCTTTGTGAACTTACCTCACATACAATTATCTTTAAATCCCATACTTCCTAACTTTTATATTTTATATTTATAGGGGGAGTTGATGACAGGAGAGACAGGGGATACCAAAGTTACCGTGATAGAGATCGTGAAAGAGACAGAGAAAGAGAAAGAAGAGAACGGGAGAGAGAAAGAAATAAAGATGCAGACGATAAAGATAAAGTCATGGAAGAAAAAGAAAAGGATAAAGTTGTTGAAGCCATTAAGGTAAAACTAATCTATACAGTTTATCAAGATGACCAAAAAAGGTGATTGTCAGCAGAAAAAGCACAAAATATATATTTTAAGGTAGATGGCAAAAATAAACTGAGTATCAAACTGAAAGTCTATTTTCAAATACAAGCATAAAGATTAAACTGAAAATTTTATTTTTATTGTGTTAGAAATACAATTGCTCAATACATTTTATTATATTCCCAAAGATCTGTTTTAGAAATAATCAGAAACATAGACCGATTCATATGAATAAAAGGAGATGTGGGGTATATGTCAATGACACAGCAACCCAACAACAAATATATCCTAAAGATATTAAGATGGTGACATTTTCTTTTTTCAATAATGGACAGTTGTCTTTACAATAGGTCAAGCTTTAAATCATCTATAAAGTCATATAATGAGTCTTTAAAATTTGTGAATGAATTAAACAGAAACAATCATGTACTGTTTAGAGAGTGATAATCAAAATAGATATAAAATCAAATCTGGCATATTTGACACTATTTTTTAGAAATATCAAGAAAACAAGAACATACTAATCTTCCATTTATACTGATTACCTTTTGTTTTATTTACCGATTTCCTTGTGTTATATATTAAATGTAATTTGCCTCCCCATATTCCTCAAAATAAGGACAGTTTTCTTTATTTTAAATTAAATCTTGGACGTGAATGCAGGGAACTCTTTTAAGAATAATTTAAGATAAAAAAAAATATGTCTATATCACAATAAGAGAAATATCAATGAAAATCTAATCATCTTAGAAGATGGAGCTTTTATAAGTTTCAAATGTAAAGCTAGTAAGACTTTAAGGATAATTAAATTGAAAGGTTATTTATGTACATTGACCTATAATGGTTTACTTTTACAAATTGTGACTTGGATGGAGAGTTGTCTCATTGGCACTCATAACACATCTTTTTATATCTAGTGAAATAACAAGACAAGACAAATACTTTATTATGTCCCGAAAATTTGACAATACCATGTAAAAAAAGAACAAATGACAAACAATACACAGTCCTAAAAACATTACTAATTATTTATTTTTATCTTCTTTTATTATTTGTTTGTATAGAACTGGTAAATGATAAATGCTGCTTTACTTTAAGCCAACAGTTATGCTTTAGTCTTTCCTTTAGGTAATACATTTAATATGTTACTTACTGTAGGATAGATACTTAGGGATGGCGAAAAAGAAGAGAAGAATTCGTCGATTGAATGACAGAAAGTTTGTATTTGATTGGGATGCTGGTGATGATACATCAACAGATTACAATCCATTATATAAAGAGAAACATCAAGTTCAGTTCTTTGGTAGAGGCTATGTAGCTGGTATTGATTTAAAAGTGAGTTACCTAAAATGAATAATGACCAGTGATTTTGCTAGCGCTCGTCATTTTCGTCATTTACGAAACGGTTTTCAAAATGACGAAAGTATTTCAAATCAATTTCGTCACTTAAATTTGTAAAGTGTAAAAATGTTTTCACATGAAAATATTATAATTCTACCTGTCTTCATGTTTCTGACAAGTTTATGACCCTCAGCTAATTAAAGTTTACAACAGGTGTTATAATTGTGATTACAGGTAATCCACTTATCGTCATCAGATGGGTCACTACTCCGTTAATTATTAATAAACCTCATAATTGACCATCATAATTATTTTTCCCAGTAAAATCAGTCAGTCGTCATTTCAATTTTAACATTTCTCAAACAACCATTTCTCAAACAACCACAATTTGCAGTTTGTTTATCGTAGTTTTGTCATTTGAACAAAATTGTTTTCCACCGGACAGTTCGCATTTAAATATTCAGAAATATTTTGACGAGTCAAACAGGTGCTTTCTTTGCTTAAGTACTGCGCATGCATTAAAGTATTCTTATAAATTTATAGACACTAAAACGTAAAATTACAAAATCATTTAGAACAAATTAAACGAGAGACAAACATATTTCTTACTAAGCAACTTAATTTAAAAAATGGTAATTTCCTGCCTTTTGTTAAACACAAACCAATCCATAGATGAATCTGGAGTCATTCTGAATTTATTATCCACTTGTCACTTCCCGTTTTCATTTTGTTTAAAGAATCGAAAGTAATCGTGATCTATTCTTGATTAATTTACAATTTACAGTCATTAGAATCGTTCCAATAAGGATTTGTACAAATCCTTGTTTCCAACTTTATAGAAATGAATTCAACATATAGATTTATACGTTTTTACAAGGATAATGATTATGCTGTGAAATAGTCGTTACAAGTTCATTTATGCTGTGATTCCTGGTTTTAAAAAAATGGAACCCATCTTCATCAGGAATTTCCCCTGAAAATAACTGAAGAGAAATTGTGAAATAGATTTCCGGATCCTAAATCCTTATCTTCATATTTTAAGAGCCACATCAGTCAAATCATGCAGTAACTGCCTAGCATGACTAAGTCCTTCAAAGATGTATAGCTAGTCATATACGTCCTTGGTCTCTTGCTGTTACCCAAAATAAGGTTGATTTTCTTCTCGCACAAAAGTGACTAAAGCCCTCAATATCCTAGCTTAAACCCTGATAATGGCCGTATTGGAATAATTTAAGTTATTAGATTTCACAAACCCTCTTATTAAGATTTTGTAATCACTTTCCTCTAAAAACATATGAATAAAACAAGATTTGGGGTAAATGTCAATAAGATGGCAACCAAACAACACCCCTCAATAAAAGACATCTAGATGTGATATGTTTATTACTATGCAAAGTATTGTAAATATATTACTTTACTTTACAAAACATTATGGTTTATTTGTGGGGTGCTAATTTTCTTAGGTATAGATCTGCCATAATTAACATACTGTATGTTACAACTAATACAAATTCCCTATTGGCTTGAATGCAGAATATGTGCCAACCAGAATTTTCCCTCAAGCCCCACAGTATTTTAAAGGCTCTTATGGTATATGTTAAGTCCACTAGATAAAGAAGTGAAACTGCTTCAATATACTAACATATCATCTTGACAAGAAGTGTACCAATCCAACTATTCAGTTTCGAATAATGAAGTAAAATTTATAAGTTCTTCATCTACTAATAAGATAGGATAATATTAAAGATCAGATATGTCATGTATAAAGAACTATTACTACATAGCAAAGCTCCATTCAATGAATTTTACCTGTATCAACCATTTTACAGGATGAATTACATGAAATTTTATAGCAGTTTTACAAAAAACATTCAATAACTTTTTTGTGGAATGCAACAGTTCAAATTGTTTAATGACTTATAATTGCAAAAATTTACAATACCAAGTTTCTTCTGACTATCAAGTGGTAGTAAATCATTGTATTCTATTGTTTTGATCCCCCTTCCCCCACGATGTTATCTTTTGAACCATATGTCCAATGCCCACCAAACTTGGTTTTATAATGTCTCATGCAATGAAAAAAATACCCTTACTGATTTTGGGGTCATTAGGTCAAAGTGCAAGGTCACAACAATTGATAAACTGAAAATTGGGCAATATTTTGGTATCCCAATCATATATCATCTTTTGACCCATATGCCCAACCTTCAACAAAGAAAGCTTGATAGTGCCTATTGGTAGTGTTGTTCCGATGATCGGAATAAGTCGGAAATCGGTTGGGTGTGGCGATGTCAATAATCGATTGGAATTTTGTTCAATTGATTGTCGTTATAGTTTCCAGATTTTAAGCATATCAACTTCCTGTCCGTTTCCAGTTTGCATTTTACATGCGCAGTCAAACAAATTGTAACGAAAAAATATCAGTAGATGACAATAACAATGTCAAACATCCTATAATCAAAGACATGAGCAATTTCTTTCTTTATAAACATGGCAAAAACATTGACTTTACAGATTGATCAGATGTTATTTGAAATAAATAACTTGTTTTTAAATACTTTTTCACTTCCAGTACTTGTTACTCGAGAGCGTACATCAAACCATTCTAATTTTCGCCAAAATAAATTTGTAGCTTAATTAGAAAGTGGTGCAAATTGCCTTTTATTAATGTTTCATCCATTTGTTGCTTTAAAAAGTCATACTTTTTTCCATATTGTTTATGTTTGTAAATTTTCATGGTTTGTCTGCCATTTAAATATATACGAATCGCAGATTGGTTACAGACCAACTATGAAAGAATTCCGTATTCTTTTACGATTATAAATACAGACGCATGAATGTCACAGCTGACAAGAATAATGATCTCAAAAGTGAAAAATACGCATTCCACACGAATTAAAAGACATTGGTTGGATCCCCTTAGTTAAATGTATATACATGTATTTCAATGCAAATGCATTGGTTTCATTTATTGGTTAATTTTAAATTGCTTAAAGTGAAATAATTTATATATATTTTTTTAATGAGAAGCATTTAAATTTTGATACAGCTATGTATATTTGAAATTATAATGTGAGTGATACCATTGAAATTTAGAAATTTTAGTGTCATTGTTGGTAACAAATGTTGTAATTATAAGACAAAATATGTTCAATCTGAATCTGGATTCTTATTGATTCACTGTTTAAATTGCTAAATAAGATATGAAAAGGTAAGAAAAGCTCAAACATGAACCTATAAAACTCTGCAATGGTATGGAATATATGCATTAGACATGTACAAGGTGGCTGAATGCACGATTTCATATAAAAAAGAGCAAGGTATTATGATGCCGCTGTCAACCGATACTAATGGATAATCGATTGGTAATTTCAACCAATTATCCAACACTACCTATTGGAATGAACAGGACCTTATTGAGTTATTATTGAGTCAGTAGGCTAAAGTTCAAGGTCACAGTACCTATAACTAGACTAAAATTTTGGTCCAGGCAATTATTTTTTGAGACATAAATCGGGGTTTATGACCTTTTCCAAACCATTGTATATGAGTATGAAATATATTTTTTTCTTGATATTTTTATCTTTAGAGTCAGAAAAAAGAACAGTCCATGTTTTATGGAGATTTATTAGAAAAAAGAAGATCAGAAACTGAAAAAGAGCAGGAAAAGTTAGTATTATTATCTCTGTTGCTTCTGGAACAACTAATTAGGGCTTAATGAAATATCTTGGTTCAAGTTGTATTCAAACCTTGTGTGTTATTCAGTTTGTCTGTTCAACAGTCTGTCCTTCATGCTTATGGTTTCCAGATGATATCTTAAGTACTGATTGACCAAATATCATGAATGTTAACACCATTTCATGAACATATCGTAACATACAGGTCATGTTTAAATATAAAGTGTCACTTAACTTAAGATAAACTTCACAAAATCTTTTAACATTTTAACACAATTTGATAAACTATAAAATACAGATTAAGTTCAAATACATGTATGATGGTATTGGTATTAATCATTCAAAATTGTGCCCCTTAATTATCGTAAAATATACTTTTCTTTGAATTTTAAGTTGATAACTAAAGTATTTAAAAAATCTTTTTCAATTGAACATGTCGCTGACCATAAACTATTGCATGTATAAGGGAAGTTTGATTGACAGATTTGAAAAAATTCCTGATTTAAAATTATGCCTCTAAATTTTCTTTTAAAATGTTGCCAATACTTTAAACATAAGTTGAATGAACTTAAATGGATTTGTCACACATTTCTCTAATACTACTAAACAGAATGACTCCATATTATATGGCAAGCAGCTCAACGACATGTAACATTTTTTTGCTTTTCCCATCTGTAGGACATTCCTACACTTACTGTTAGTTGATAGTTAAAATTTTCAACACATTGAATGAAAACAAATATCTTCGTCACACTTTTTTTCTTCAAAAACTATAGAATAGAATGACTTTTGACAGTGATGAGTTATAATGTGTGCATGCTTTTTGGATCTGTCAGACACTAACTTACCATTTTCCTGTGCTTTGAATTACGAGTGGGGGTATGCTTAGCAAGACAAGGCATGCATTCGTGTTTTTATTTTATTTTTATTTATTTTTGTAACAGTTTGTAAGAGTTATTTTAGTGATACGGTTGTTTATGGCTGTCTACATAGTTTTTATACGACCGCAAAAAAATTTTGCGGTCGTATATTGGTATGACATTGGCGTCGGCGTCGTCGTCGTCCGAAGACACATTGGTTTTCGCACTCTAACTTTTTAAGTGAATGGAATTCTATGAAATTTTACCATAAGGTTCAATACCACAAAAGGGAGGTTGGGATTGATTTTGGGGGTTATGGTACCAACAGTTAAGGAATTAGGGACCAAAAATAAGCATTTTTGTTACTTCCAGACATAACTTGTGTGTTAGTGTATGGATCTCTCTGACATTGTACCACAAGGTTCCATATCACAAAGGGAATGCTGGGATTGATTTTGGGGCTAATTGCCTCCAAATTTTAGGAATTAGGGGCAAAAAAAGGGGCAAAAAACAAGCATTTTTATAGTTTCATGACAATAACTTGAGTATGAGTATGGATCTTTATGAAATTGTACTACAAGGTTCCATATCACAAAGGGAAAGCTGGAATTGAGTTTGGGGGAAATAGCCCAAAACGTTTAGGAATTAGGGGCCAAAAATAAGCATTTTTCTAGTTTCCAGACAATAACTTGTGTTTAAGTGTATGGATCTCTCTGAAATTGTACTGCAAGGTACCATACCACAAAGGGAAGGCTGGGATTGATTTTGGGGGTAATTGCCTCAAAATTTTAGGAATTAGGGGCCAAAAAGGGGCAAAAAAACCAAGCATTTTTTAGTTTCAGGACAATAACTTGTGTGTTAGTGTATGGATCTTTATGAAATTGTACTACAAGGTTCCATATCACAAAGGGAAAGCTGGGTTTGAGTTTGGGGGTAATTGCCCTAAACGTTTAGGAATTTGGGGCCAAAAAAGGGCCAAAAAACAAGCATTTTTTAGTTTCCAGACAATAACTTGTGTTCAAGTGTATGGATCTCTCTGAAATTGTACTGCAAGGTACCATACCACAAAGGGAAGGATGGGATTGAGTTTGGGGGTGATAAATCATAAGGGGGTTCAAAAAATTGGGGGGGGGATTTTTTTTTCCTTTTTTTATTCTTTAAAATTTTCCATTTTAAATTGGTTATTTCTGATTTATATATGAAAGCAAATAATAATAATATGGTTTGAATAGGTAAATTAAAATTTTTTAAGTTCTTAGACCACATTCATTCTGTGTCAGAAACCTATTCTGTGTCAAATATTTAATCACAATCCAAATTCAGTGCTGTATCAAGCTTGAATGTTGTGTCCATACTTGCCCCAACTGTTCAGGGTTTGACCTCTGCGGTCGTATCAAGCTGCGCCCAGCGGAGCATTTTATTATAATTCTTCTCATTTTCTAAATACTTGTTTTGTACCATGAAAGATAAGTTTCAACCTTCATTGACCCTATCTATAGGAACATTTTTTACTGAGCTGCTGATTTCCATTGATAGGAAGAGGTTGAAGAATGTAGCAAAGAGGGATGCCAAACAGAAATGGGATGATCGTCACTGGAAAGACAAGCCCCTTAGTGAAATGGCTGAGAGAGACTGGCGTATTTTCAAGGAAGATTTCAATATCATGTGTAAGGGAGGAAGAATTCCAAATCCTTTCCGTAATTGGAATGAATCTGATTTACCAAGTGATCTCAAAGAGATCATTGATAGAGTGGGTTACAAGGTTAGTTGTGTAATTAGGAATCAGGCCAGCCTATCTGGCTGTCATTTTTTTTTTTACTATTTAATGCAGTAGTACTCTATACATGTTAAAATTATACTTTTTGCATTTGTATAAATAAAAAGTTAAACTTGATTCAAAAGTTTTTCAATTTTCAAAAATACAACTGTTTCAGTTGATACATAAATTTTGTTAATTTAATTTAGAAACTTATTAAATCATCTGAGTTGGCAATTCTAATGGTTTTGGATAGAAGAAAAGTTGTCATGATTTTATTTGTCATTTTTACTGATATTCCTTACCTTGAATATTATTGGAAAATGAAAGAATTATGAAATCTTCAAACACAGGATCTGCATGTTTTGTTTTTTTTATCAAATGGAAATAAAACAAAAAAACTTTGTTGCATTTGAAACTCTATTCTAGATTGACCTTTATCAAGATCACTTATCATTTTCTACCAACGATTGAGACATCCATCCATTTATTAAAAAGTTTTAACCAACATAGAAAAGTAAAAGCACTGAAAGCTACAATTAATAATAGAGCTTAAAATGGTTAGGCCAGCTTTACTATAGGAGTTGAACTCTTTAACTCTTGTTTTAGTAAAACATTCAAAATTAAACCATGGTTCTTCATACTGTATGACTGATTTTGACTAAAATCATTCATTGGTTCCGATCAGAGAAATTTTACATCGTAGGAAATTCACATTTAGTTACATTATGAAATGCTTGGTTCATATTTTGCACTGTGCATCCTTAGAATAATAGTTTTGTGTTTATAGGAACCTACACCTATTCAAAGACAGGCCATACCTATTGGTTTACAGAACAGAGATATTATAGGTGTAGCCCAGACTGGTAGTGGAAAAACAGCTGCTTTCTTGCTACCACTGCTCAAATGGATTCAGGGATTACCAAAAATTGAAAGGTAAAAAGACAAAGTTATTTTACATCAGTGTTGTATTGACTTTGTGGTTTCATTTTATTGAAGAAGCATAATATCATGTATTTAGTAATTTTTGCATCAAGTTTTTTTGTGGTTTGGGCCTCAGAAGGGACACTTTAATCTTCACTGTGTTAAATGTTCCTGGATCAAGACTTTGAACAATACATTTAAATTGACAATGAAATGTTTGCACAGGGTAAATTTCCCAGTTAAATGCCAAAAGTAAACAAAGAAATATATATGTAAGTTATTTGTATGGCATAAAGAAGATATTTGTTGATAATTTTGGAAACATATCAAGTGTAAATAGGAAGTTACAGCCCACCACTCTTTAAAAATTTAGGGCACAATGTGGAATTCTGGTAGTGTATAAACTATAAATCTAAAAACCAAAAGCGAACTATAAAGGAACTGTTAACTTACAAAATGAATCATTGTTTTACATTCAATATATAATAACAAAGTAAGATAACTAACTGCATTAAAAGTTGATTTATTGAAAATATTTTAGAATGGAAGATGCAGATCAGGGACCATATGCTATAATTTTATCACCCACTCGTGAACTGGCACAGCAGATTGAGGAAGAAACTGTCAAATTTGCTCTAAGTCTGAATATAAGGACTGTAGCAGTTATTGGTGGTCTATCTAGAGAAGAACAGGGATTTAAATTAAGACAAGGATGTGAGGTATGATGTACTTAATGTCAGACAAGGATGTGAGGTATGATGTACTTAATGTCAGACAAGGATGTGAGGTATGATGTACTTAATGTCAAACAAGGATGTGAGGTATGATGTACTTAATGTCAGACAAGGATGTGAGGTATGATGTACTTAATGTCAGACAAGGATGTGAGGTATGATGTACTTAATGTCAGACAAGGATGTGAGGTATGATGTACTTAATGTCAGACAAGGATGTGAGGTATGATGTACTTAATGTCAGACAAGGATGTGAGGTATGATGTACTTAATGTCAGACAAGGATGTGAGGTATGATGTACTTAATGTCAGACAAGCAGAATATTTCTTTGATTGTCTTCCTGTGACGGCAGAAGTCAAATGGACAAGAATGAAGAGATTATATGGTCCTTTACCCACAGTCATGGTTGACTGACTTGTTTTGAAAGTTTACATGTTCAAAGTGTTGTTATTTTAATTTCAGCATTTGCATTAAACTATCAAAACTACATACAGCGACATATCTCTGTATCAATAGTTTATTTTTTTGTTGATAACAACAGATCAAGTTATTTAATCTAAATATGTTTGAATAAAAATATAGTCTGAAAAATTTATCAACTTTTATTGGATGCACTCAAAATGGTACGCTAAGCTATTTTTATTACTGAAATACTTTTTAATTAAGCAGTTTGTTGTAAAACTAAGTATATTTTGCCATATGAAGCATACATTTTTTTCAGATTGTTATTGCAACACCAGGACGTTTGATTGATGTTTTAGAGAACAGATATTTAGTACTGGCTCAATGTACCTATGTTGTTATGGATGAAGCAGATAAAATGTTAAATATGGGTTTTGAACCTGATGTACAAAAGATACTGTCATATCTCCCAGCCTCTAACCTTAAACCAGACAATGAAGATGCTGAAGACAGTGAAGTATTGATGAAAAATTACAGTACAAAGAAAAAGTACAGACAGGTTGGTTTATAAGATTGGGTTCACTAATTATATCTACAAATTAAAAGTAATTTCTATGGTAGAATTATCAGCTTTATGTTATTACTTGATACACGTCTTTAAGTGGTTGAAGTACTTAACCTACATGTTTACTCAGAAATAGTACTTAAATGTTCTGCTGTCTGTTTAGTTTACTGTTAATTATTTCATTTTTGATGATATACAAGACAAAAAAGAAAAACTTAGCACCAAATAAGTAGTATCAATGGCGTAGTATTGTCGAGCCTGCGACTTTAGTCTCAGAAAGCTCAACATAGGGATAGTGATCTGGCGGCGGTGGCGTCAGCTAACTTCTTAAAAGCTTTATATTTTGGAAGGTGAAAGACCTAGATGCTTCATACTTTGTATATAGCTGCCTCATGTTACGAAGTTTCCGTCAGTCACATGTCCAATATCCTTGACCTTATTTTCATGGTTCAGTGACTACTTGAAAAAAAAGTTAAGATTTTTTGTAATGTTAAATTCTCTCTTATTATAAGTAATAGGATAACTATATTTGATATGTGCGTACCTTGCAAGGTCCTCATGCCCGTCAGACAGTTTTCACTTGACCTCGACCTCATTTCATGGATCAGTGAACAAGGTTAAGTTTTGGTGGTCAAGTCCATATCTCAGATACTATAAGCAATAGGTCTAGTATATTCGGTGTATGGAAGGACTGTAAGGTGTACATGTCCAACTGGCAGGTGTCATCTGACCTTGACCTCATTTTCATGGTTCAGTGGTTATAGTTAAGTTTTTGTGTTTTGGTCGGTTTTTCTTATACTGTATGCAATAGGTCTACTATATTTGGTGTATGGAATGATTGTAAGGTGTACATGTCTAGCTGGCAGGTGTCATCTGACCTTGACCTCATTTTCATGGTTCAGTGGTCAAAGTTAAGTTTTTGAGTTTTGGTCTTTTTTTCTAATACTATATGCAATAGGTCAACTATATTTGGTGTTTGGAAATATTTTATGATCTATATGTCAGTCGCTTAGGTTTTATTTGACCTTGACCTCATTTTCACGGTTCATTGCTCAGTGTTAAGATTTTGTGTTTTGGTCTGTCTTTCTTAAACTATAAGCAATAGGTCAACTATTTTTGTTGTATGGAAGAATTGTTAGCTGTACATGTCTGCCTGGCATGGTTCATCTGTCCTTGACCTCATTTTCATGGTTCATTGGTCAATGTTTAGTTTTCTTGGTTAATGTTAAGTTTATGTGACAGTTGTAATAAAGCTTTATATTTAGGACTATCAACATAATATCAATGATTAGTAAAGAAGGCGAGACATTTCAGTGTGTGCACTCTTGTATTTCTTTTTGCTCAATGTGTTATCTTTAGTGTCTGTATACAATAAAAGAGTAAAAAAATAGGATTATTATTGAGTGTCATCCTTGTTTTTACTTTAAATACAAAAATATCTACATGTATGAAGCCTATTTGACTTTAACAGAGAAGTTTTTATATGATCGCAAAAAAATTTTGTGGTCGTATATTGGTATGACGTAGGCGGCGTTGTCGTAGTCCGAAGACACATTGGTTTTCGCACTCTAACTTTAGTTTAAGTGAATGGATCTCTATGAAATTTTACCATAAGGTTCAATACCACAAAAGGAAGCTTGGGATTGATTTTGGGGGTTATGGTACCTACAGTTAAGGAATTAGGTCAAAAAGGGGCCAAAAATAAGCATTTTTGTAACTTCCAGACATAACTTGTGTAATAGAGTATGGATCTCTCTGACATTGTACCACAAGGTTTCATATCACAAATGGAATGCTGGGATTGATTTTGGGGCTAATTGCCTCAAAATTTTAGGAATAAGGGGCCAAAAAAGGGGCAAAAAACAAGCATTTTTCTAGTTTCATGACAATAACTTGTGTGTAAGTGTATGGATCTTTCTGAAATTGTACTACATTGTGCAAGGTTCCATATCACAAAGGGAAAGCTGGAATTGAGTTTGGGGGTAATTGCCCAAAACGTTTAGGAATAAGGGGCCAAAAATAAGCATTTTTGTCGAGCCTTCGACTTTTGTCGAAAAAGCGAGACATAGCGATCCTACATTCCGTCGGCGTCGTCGTCGTCGTCGGCGGCGTCGTCGGCGGCGTCCACAAATATTCACTCTGTGGTTAAAGTTTTTGAAATTTTAATAACTTTCTTAAACTATCCTGGATTTCTACCAAACTTGGACAGAAGCTTGTTTATGATCATAAGATTATATTCAAAAGTAAATTTTGTAAAAAAAAAATTCCATTTTTTCCGTATTTTACTTGTAAGTGGACTTAGTTTTTCTGCCAGTTAACATTACATTCACTCTGTGGTTAAAGTTTTTAAAATTTCAATAACTTTCTTAAACTATCCTAGATTTCTACCAAACTTGGAAAGAAGCTTGTTTATGATCATAAGATAGTATCCAGAAGGAAATTTTGTAAAAAAAAAAATCCATTTTTCCGTATTTTACTTATAAATGGACTTAGTTTTTCTGCCAGTTAACATTACATTCACTCTGTAGTTAAAGTTTTTAAAATTTTAACAACTTTCTTAAACTATCCTGGATTTGTACCACACTTGGACAGAAGCTTGTTTATGATCAAAAGCTAGTATCTAGAAGGAAATTTTGATAAAATTTTGTTCCATTTTTTCTGTATTTTACTTATAAATGGACTTAGTTTTTCTTCCAGTCAACATTACATACATTCTGCAGTTTAAGTTTTTAAAACATTTATTAGATTCATAAATTATCCTGGATTTTTACCAAACTTGGACAGAAGCTACTTACAATCAAAACATAGTATAGAGGGGAATATTTTTATTAATTTTTTTCCTCATTTTTGTTGAGCCTGCGATTAACACCAAAAGTAGGCGAGACACTGGGTTCCGCGGAACCCTTACGAATTTTTCTAGTTTCCAGACAATAACTTGTGTTCAAGTGTATGGATCTCTCTGAAATTGTACTGCAAGGTAGCATACCTCAAAGGGAAGGCTGGGATTGATTTTGGGGGTAATTGCCCAAAAATATTAGGAATTAGGGGTCAAAAAGGGGAAAAAACAAGCATTTTTCTAGTTTCAGGACAATAACTTGTGTGTAAGTGTATGGCTCTTTCTGAAATTGTACTACAGGGTTCCATATCACAAAGGGAAAGCTGGGTTTGAGTTTGGGGGTAGTTGCCCTAAACGTTAGGAATTTGGGGCCATAAAGGGGCCTAAAAACAAGCATTTTTATACAACCGCAAAAATTAAAAAATTTTTGGTCGTATATTGGTATCATGTTGTCGTCGTCGTCGTCAGCATTGTCCGAAGACAGATGGTTTCCGGATAATAACTTTAGTATAAGTAAATAGAAATCATTAAAATTTTTACACAAGGTTTATAACCACTAAAGGAAGGTTGGGATTGTTTTTGGAGGTTATGGTCCCAACTGTTTAGGAATTAGGGGCCAAAAAAGGGGCCTAAATAAGCATTTTTGTAGTTTCCAGACAATAACTTGTGTTAAAGTGTATGAATCTCTCTGAAGTTATACCACAAACTTTTGGGCGGTTATGGCTCAAACCATTGAGTAATTAGGGTCAAAAAAAGGGGAAAAACAAGGGTTTTTCTGGTTAAAGGACAATTGAGTCAATTTAAAAGCAGTGTAAGGGAGGTAATCCAATTCAAATTAAAGAACACTGTTTGATTACCTCCCTTACACTTCTTGTAAATTATGTATTAAGAAATGATGATTGTCTTGAGGTGATTAGCTGTCAATTTATTTTATTAATTTTAGCCATGACTATGTATGTCATTTTATATTTTAAAACTTTTATGATGTATTTAAATGGGTAATTTTGGTTGCAAACTGCATTAGAAATTTGAATTGAGATACTGACCATATCTTGAGGGAAAGAATTTTTTTGGGGAATAAGGGAAAGGGGGGAGGTGAAAAAAATTGGAGGAGGGGACAATTTTTCTCATTTCAGATTTCAGAAATTAAAAGAAAATTTCTTCAAATATTTTTTTTGGGGGGTTAATACTCAACAGCATAGTGTATTGCACAAAAGCAAAAAACCGGGGTAAAATAATTTGTTTTTGGTAGGGGGGGGGGGTCAATTTGCAACAGCATAGTGTATTGCACAAAAGCAATAAATTGAATATAAATTTAAATCATATAACCAATTTGAAGTTCTTTGACTACAATTATTCTGTGTCAGAAACCTATTATGTGTCAAAAATTTAGTTACAATCCAAATTCAGACCTGTATCAAGCGTGAATATTGTGTCCATTTTGTCCCAACTTTTCAAGGTTGGACATCTGCGGTCGTATCCAGCTGCGCTCAGCGAAGCAATTTATTCTAGTTTCCAGACAATAACTTGTGTTCAAGTGTATGGATCTCTCTGAAATTGTACTGCAAGGTATTATACCACAAAGGGAAGACTGGGATTGAGTTTGGGGGTGACGAATCATAAGGGGGTTCAAAAAATTTGGGAGAGGGATTTTTTTATACCTTTTTTTCCTTTTTTTTTCTTTAAAATTTTCCATTTTAAATTGGTTATTTCTGATTTATATATAAAAGCAAATAATAATGATATGGTTTGAATAGGTAAATTGAAAATTTTTAAGTTCTTAGACCACATTCATTCTGTGTCAGAAACCTATGCTGTGTCAAATATTTAATCACAATCCAAATTCAGTGCTGTATCAAGCTTGAATGTTGTGTCCATACTTGCCCCAACTGTTCAAGGTTCGACCTCTGTGGTCGTATCAAGCTGAGCCCAGCGGAGCATTTTATTAAAGTTTGTATTTCTTGTTTGGTGCCAAAGAAGTAGGTTCACGAAGGATCTAATTATCCTTATAATTCCGTGAATTTTAAATTCAGTAACAATAGTAAACATCTGATGACAAAACAAGAAAAAATATCTGACAAATACAAAATCAACAAGTTCTGATGCTTTAGAACACTTATGATGACATTTTTATGCACTCTTTTGACAAAAATCATATTTTTTTCTAATTTTTAGGCTATTTTTTTTATAGTTTTTGTTTCAAACCACATTGGCCACATGAAAAGTTAACCAAGATTTTTTGTTAGGATGTGTATCTGATCCATACACATCTTTGTATAACAAATTTAATTTGGTCAAAGGTGTGGCCAATTATTTTCAGAAGGAAATAGACCTAACAAATGCATAAAACAGGCAATCTTGCTAAAATGCTGTAAAATATCAGCTTCATACTTTTGAAGCTATAAAAATTGTTAAAACTAATAGCAGACAGAAAAGTGTCTGGTTTACCTAAATTTTCGTATTTAAGATCATAATTATAGTTTTTTGCATAGGATATTACAAATTTCAAATTTTAGGGATAAATTTGTTAAGGACTTTATGGCCCTACTCCTTTAAAAAACGACTGTGACTGATCATTTTTATGCACCTGCCTAAAGTGATGGGGTATATAGTTTTACTCATGTACATACGGCTTGAAATTGGTTTCCATATGATAACTTGAAATTGGAAATGTTGTTAGGTACCACTAAAAAGGATCTAGTTGGAATTTTACAGATTACACTTATAATATTTCCAGAGTTATTTCCTTTGATCAAATGCAAATTAACCTATTTTTTTCTTCGATAAGTTGAGTAAGCTTATGCCAAACCATTTGCAATTTGAAAATATAGTTAGGGACCACTAAATACAGATTCAGTTTAAATTTGATTGATTTCCTTTTTTGTCTTTCCAGAGTTATGCCCAATGAAAAATTGCCATTTTTTGGGGTTTACTGAAGTTCAAATTTGACTGATTTTATATAAAAATAAGGAGATGTGGTATTATCGCCAATGTTACAACTATCTACAAAGTTCAAATGATGTGGATGTAAGCAATTATAAGCAATAATACGGCCTTCAACAAAGAGAAAAACCCATACCATATACCGGTAGTCGGCTATAAAAGGCCCCCACATGAAATGTGAAGTAGTTCAATTAAGAAAATTAACAGCCTAATTTATAACATAAAAGAATTTACGAAAAATAGATATGATAGACATGAAACAATGACAACCACTGAACTACATGCTCCTGACTTGGGACAGGCACATAAAGAATGTGGTGGGGTTAAACATGTTTGTAATCACTCAATCCTCCCTTAACCTATGTATTGTTTGTCATGCTGGAGTAATGCCTAGATAACTGATGTTATTCATGTCTACATGTACATTATATATATTTCTCTAATTCTTCGTCAATTTATCCCTTTCTGCACCCATTGTATAAAAATAATTTAATCAATGTGTGGTTCGTGTGATCTCGGTTCTTCATTGGTTAAAATCCGATTATGACGTCGAATTTTCTTGCTTTCCTCTGAATTTCCTATTGTGACGGCATGAAAAAAGGCGACCATGCCTGATGACGTCACATAGAATATCACATCTTTTTGCAGATCATTCAAAAAGAAGGAATAAGTTTGCCTGCATATTGTTTGAAAATCATTAGAGAAACAGATTCCACCAACAAATCTTGTGTAATACGATATTTATCCACTCTTGACAGTTAAATTTTAAATATTTAAAACGCTCGGCAAGCCTCGCGTTTTAAATTTGAAAATTTCGTATCACACTCGATTCAGTGGTAGAATCTATATATACGAACCTCTGTATCCTATGGATAAATTCTGTTTTTATATGACCGCGGTCGTATATTGGTATGACGTTGGCCGAAGACACATTGGTTTTCGCACTCTAACTTTAGTTTAAGTGAATGGATCTCTATGAAATTTTACCATAAGGTTCAATACCACAAAAGGAAGCTTGGGATTGATTTTGGGGGTTATGGTACCAACAGTTAAGGAATTAGGGGCCAAAAATAAGCATTTTTGTAACTTCCAGATATAACTTGTGTGTTAGTGTATGGATCTCTCTGACATTGTACCACAAGGTTCCATATCACAAAAGGAATGCTGGGATTGATTTTGGGGGTAATTGCTTCAAAATTTTATGAATTAGGGGCCAAAAAAGAGGCAAAAAAACAAGCATTTTGATAGTTTCATGACAATAACTTGTGTGTAAGTGTATAGATCTTTCTGAAATTGTACTACAAGGTTCCATATCTCAAAGGAAAAGCTGGAATTGAGTTTGGGGGTAATTGCCCAAAACGTTTAGGAATAAGGGGCCAAAAATAAGCATTTTTCTAGTTTCCAGACAATAACTTGTGTTCAAGTGTATGGATCTCTCTGAAATTGTACTGCAAGGTAGCATACCACAAAGGGAAGGCTGGGATTGATTTGGGGGTAATTGCCTCAAAATTTTAGTAATTAGGGGCCAAAAAGAGGCAAAAAACAAGCATTTTTCTAGTTTCAGGACAATAACTTGTGTGTAAGTGTATGGCTCTTTATGAAATTGTACTACAAGGTTCCATATCACAAAGGGAAAGCTGGGTTTGAGTTTGGGGGTAATTGCCCTAATGGAAAATTGGTTATTTCTGATTTATATATAAAAGCAAATAATAATGATATGGTTTGAATAGGTAAATAATTTTTTTTTAAGTTCTTAGACCACATTCATTCTGTGCAGAAACCTATGCTGTGTCAAATATTTAATCACAATCCAAATTCAGTGCTGTATCAAGCTTGAATGTTGTGTCCATGCTTGCCCCAACTGTTCAGGGTTCGACCTCTGCGGTCGTATCAAGCTGCGCCCAGCGGAGCATTTTATTATATCTCATTATCATTTAAGCTTATAAAACAGTTGAAGGTATTTTTCAATGTTTACCATTCAACATGTCAAAGTTGTAGGCAAAATCTGAATTTGTTTCATTATGCATTGGCCATAAGAGGATATAAAGTGAAGCAGATGTAAAATCAAATTTAACTTCATTGAAAAATGTATTAAAATATATACTCTACAATAATGTTATAGAATGAAGGGCCTTAAATTAGGATTTATTCATTTTAGGCAAGTTGTTAATTAAAGAGTTATTTTATGATTGATTGATATGAATATGATGCCATATCAATATCATCAAGAATGATTTGGGTAGGGTTTCACAAAATATTGATGGGTCCTACAGGTTGCAATTCTGTAAATATAGACAATGCAATTTCCCATAGGAACTCCCCTTGCGGCTAAAACTGTGACACTTTTACTATGAAGTTTGATGAAAAATAATATCCCAGAACGGAAATTGTATATGCACTACTATTTTATTCAAAGGTCAAAATATAGGGCTGTGCGGCATATTTTCAACATTTATATGCCCTGAACTTCTATGAGTTTAAACTTATACTAAAATGCTATACAACCCTTACCTTTATATTTGGACCTCCTAAGAATAAAAATTTAGGCGCTACCATGTTTTTCTGTACTGGTTACATTCCCAAGTGATGTCTCTATGAGATGAAACACAGAGATCATAAATGGGAACCAGTTCATTATCAAATTAACATATCTATGAATATTATATATCTCCCCAAAAGAGGCCTGGTTTGAGAAACAGCTGTATTTACAAAGTGCAACCTACAGACAGATAATTCTGTTTCAGATTGGGATTTCTTCTTACAACAATTGAACTATCACATTTGATTTCAGACTGTGATGTTTACAGCCACTATGCCCCCAGCAGTAGAGAGATTAGCAAAGAATTACCTTAGAAGACCTGCAGTTGTATACATAGGATCTGCTGGTAAACCAGCAGAGAAAACAGAACAAATTGTGTACATGGTTTCAGATAATGAGAAGAGGTATACAATGTTTACTACATGATTAATGTAATTTTAAAAGAAAATTTGAAAATTAAGGCTTTTGTATGGCTAAGTTTTACTATAAAACATGTGTACAAAGACTTTCTTTTAAAAGAAAATCTTTTATTTTTATCAAATTCTTCAGAAATGTACTGCTCTTTAATTATTGTCTTAACGTACTCTAATTTGCCGATAGCTTTTCTGCATGCAATGACCTTAACCATGACACCTTTCATTAGAAATTCAACAATCACAGGTGAAGAGCGAAGGGAAAAACCTTGAAGAAAAAAAGTAAACAATCCTGGAAGAAATTTTGTATTAACTGATTCAGAAAGAAATTTTTAAAATACACCAAATCAATTAACAACTGTTATGACAAAGTTTAATAAACAAATGGAAACGCTTGGAATATATAAAAAAAACAAACTTATCAACACCCTGTTGTCTCACTTATATCTCACATGCTTCATGCTTCTGTGTTTATTGTTTATCAAGGTCATGAATCGGTAAACTTCTGCATCTAAATTCTAAAGTTAATTAGTAGCTAAACTTTTCGATCAACAATCGCAGAATGAAATATTTTTCAACATTGTACGTTATGGATTTGAGGTAAATGTAAAATGAAGTGCACACATGACTTGATTTAGTATATAAATATGGATTGGTTCAATAATTTCCTTAACACAAAACATATCAGAACTCATTTCATATGACTTTCAGATAGTTATTTATTGTTTAAAAGAAAAATATTTTTTTCCTTGGATTTCCATAATTATTGCTTTTATAAAAGTTTCATGCAGACAATTTTGTGTAAACAAACAACATGTTTTAACTCAGTGGTGAAAAATAAAACTTCCAACATTGCCTGTTTGGCACAGCCGTTTTGAAAAGAAAATGACTTGCTATTCATTCTTAAGAAAAAATATGATAATATACAGATATAAACAGTCCTCTCATCAGAACCCCTTGAATAGTACGACTAACATTGGTATGTAATGTTTTATGCCCAAATAATTATCAAATCTTTTCCAACAAAATTCTTTTTGAAAACCATAGTTATTTTGGTTATACCCATAAGAAATTTAAATGTGGTATTCATGCGAACTTTTGTTTGCCAAGCTTTACAATAATTTGATAGTACAAATGAATTCTAATTGTATTGTAGGAAGAAATTGGTTGGAATCCTACAGAGTCGTTTGGAACCACCAATTATTATCTTTGTCAATCAGAAGAAAGGAGTTGATGTGTTGGCTAAATCGCTGGAAAAGATGGGTGTAAGTGATGTTGTAAAACTACTGATCAAAAATAGATATCATTTTTGTCTTACTTGCTTTGGAGCAGATTAAAGACAGATTAGGGATGCTTATCCAGCCCTTATGGTGTAAACTATTTGTGTAAAGCTTTATATTTGTAAAGGTAGAAGAGATGGATAATCTATATCTTGTATAAAGATGCCTTTATGTCTGAAGTATTCGTCTTGATATGTCCGTGGTCCTTGACCTCTTTTCATGGTTGAGTTTTTCATGATTTTTTCAGTTATTATTAGTATTATTGTGTTGTTGGGTTGCTGTCCTATACCCCACATCCCCTATTTTTCATATTTAGGTAGTATATTTTGAACTTTAAATTTCAGTCTATGTTTTGAATTCAAAACGGAACTATGTTAAACTCTTTCTTTGTCCTTGGTCAGTGCTAATTGTTTCTATAGAAGTTGCGGGATGCAAAGTATAGGTTTTACTTTTTTGGTGCCACAATGTGTACAATTGGAAATGGCATTATAATAACCGAAATTTGTATCCAGGTTGATTTTGTAGAGATTATGACACCAATCATTTTACTTATATTGTTTTCATTTCCATGTTATACTAAACTGGTCAGGCTAAGCTTTCAGGATTTTTTATTACCTTGCCAACTGTGCATGACAGATAAAAAATATAGGGTATGTTGATTAGTTGTAAGGTTAGTATATCAAAGAGAAGTATGACATATGGTCTTTATTCATTTTCACTCCCATCTCATCAGGTTTACTGATCACAATAAAGTCCCTTCCTTACTAGAAAACTATGCATTGCTGGTCAATAATATTTGATATGAGGATTTTTTGTTGAAAGTGACATTAAACACCTAAAATCAATCAATGTATATGTGAAACATATATATGGCATATGGAGTATATGTGTGTCAGGTGTATGTCATATGGTCTTAATGACATAGGACAAGTTTTATATATGAAACTAGAGTTTTGAATTGAGTTCCAACAGAACAACAAACTCTACCATCAAGTAACCTCAATTTGTGGGTCTATCCTAGCATATATATATAAATTACTGATTTAGATTGATTTGCCATCATTTTAGATTTACCAAAGTTTAACCTGGCTATACACAGGGTTTGAAAAATGTGAAAGCTGTGGTCAATTTCACATTTCATTTGTACTCGGATGTATGTTAATTTTACAGATGACACATTCACCTCAGTTTCAGAGTTAACCATTAAAATAATTCAAATATTTCACTGAAGAGAGTGTGATTTGAATTGATGACGAGAAAAATATGTTTATTTGTTGGACTATCTTGCAATGTGTTACGAAATTGTGACATTTGTTGGCTATTTGTTAGGTCAATGGTGATTTTCACAGGTCACAACAGACTACTTTCCTCCATGGCTACAGAGATTTGTAATTTCTAAAACAATGTTAAAAACACTCAGATATTTCACATGGAGATATTCTTCCATTCTGCAGCTTACATAAAGCTTGAAAATGTATGATGTTAACATTTGACACCATAGAGGAATTATAACACCAAACTGTTTAGGTGCAAAAGACAAAAACAATATTTCACACCATTTTCTTTTTTACAGAAAGGAATTTTTTAAACATTAGATTATACATAAATAAGTCCAAGTGAACCAACACCTTCTATTGGAACAAGCTTGTAAAGAAATCAAGATGGATACCAAAGTATGCTGCGGTTGTCTTAAAACCTCATAAATCCAATATATAAACATTAGATTACAGGTTTAACAACTTTTGAGAATTGGATATTGCTTGATATCGACTCTTAATTTCAATAAAAGTATTGAACTCAACAAAAGCTTATTTATTAATATTTTGAAAGTTAAATACTGAATTCTCACTCATTATTTAACAGATAATATCAAAGTGAATATACCAAATTTCCAACATTCAATGCACATATTCCTGATTTACTTACACTATTAAACCTCATGGGCCAACATGTAATAAGCCATATATATACATAGAGATGTATATAATAGATTTGAACTGAAAAATATAGGTGCAACCATCTAAGGTTAATTTTACATAAGGAAGTTGCAATATGCAGTAAATCTGGAAACTTCTACATATGACACTTTGATGGCAAAATTACAAAGCTTGTGTGTAAAAGTTAAAACAGGCATTTAACTAAAGTTAATATTGGAGCAGTGGATAACATCATTTGAATCATTATATCTTTCAGTTCAATGCTACAACATTGCATGGTGGTAAAGGACAGGAACAGAGAGAATTTGCTTTAGCTAGTCTCAAGAATGGGTCAAAGGATATCCTAGTAGCTACTGATGTGGCTGGTCGTGGTATTGATATCAAAGATGTATCTCTTGTCATTAATTATGACATGGCAAAATCTATTGAAGGTTAGTAAAAACTAAGTGGCTAATAAAATCTTTCATTCTGATATTAGTATCTGTTTATAACAAACATGTTTCATTCCATTGAATATATAAAAAAGGTTCATCTGCGATTGTCTCAAAAAAATATGTTCACAACTTATCTAGACTCAAGACAATTTAGAGCTCGGTGTATTTTATCGACACGTCTTTTGTTGAAGATAGTTTGTTGATCTTTAGATGTAGTTGTACTTTGTTGTTGAGTGACTGTCTCCTTGATGTATAAGGATCTTTAGATGTAGTTGTACGTTGTTGTTGAGTGACTGTCTCCTTGATGTATAAGGATCTTTAGATGTAGTTGTACTTTGTTGTTGAGTGACTGTCTCCTTGATGTATAAGGATCTTTAGATGTAGTTGTACGTTGTTGTTGAGTGACTGTCTCCTTGATGTATAAGGATCTTTAGATGAAGTTGTACTTTGTTGTTGAGTGACTGTCTCCTTGATGTATAAGGATCTTTAGATGAAGTTGTACTTTGTTGTTGAGTGACTGTCTCCTTGATGTATAAGGATCTTTAGATGAAGTTGTACTTTGTTGTTGAGTGACTGTCTCCTTGATGTATAAGGATCTTTAGATGTAGTTGTACTTTGTTGTTGAGTGACTGTCTCCTTGATGTATAAGCCACATCTCCTTTTATTCATATTGGTGATGGTTATTGCTTCTCTTATTGTTTGTTTATTTAAAAAAAAAACTTATTGGAAACATTCAGTTTTACTTGGTGTTTTACTTGCTAAACTCAGGCTATTTGGAGCCTATTTTGTTGTTTTGAGTGCTTCTTAATAAAAAAGGGCCATATTTTGATCACCTTTATGTTTATTTTGATGTCCCAGTTTATGTTTTCCTGTGAGTGTTGATCCAATCGTTTAAACTATTCTGTATCAGTGTTTTAGTTTTTTCAAGGAGAAATTTAAAGGTCCCATTTTTATTAAACTCCTCAGAAAACAACTAGTGTATTCATTCAATGGGATAGATTAACTTGCAAAAATTTAAATGGTCAGGTAAACTCCAACTGAATATGGGGAAAGGTTTCATTTCTTTCACAATAACTAAAATGGATCATATATTTGATGATTTTCCAAAATGTAAGTTAAGAGTTTTTCCTCAATTAACCAATAATTGTCTATGCCAAGTCTCTTAATAACAACATTCTTATGTTATTTAGTTCAAGTTATCTTTCAAACATTTTATTAATAGCAGTAAACTACATGAGTCATGTCCATCGAAAGGCCAAATTAATAACTGTCTTGGCTTACTTTAATGATCAACCTTTTCCAGTTATGTAAAAAGTCAAATAACCATTTGAAGTATTTGTTTTAAAATAGCTGTTTATCAATTCCACCTCTTATTGTTTAATAGAAGTTGCTGATCTTTTAACAATTGAATAATATTTCTTTATACATTAAAAACAATTTAAACAAAATGTTTATTATACTTCATTTATTTAAGTAATTAAAAAAATAAATGGCAAGAAAATATTTAACACCATTTCTGTTTGTGACTTTTAGATTACACACATCGTATCGGAAGAACTGGTCGTGCTGGCAAGACTGGTGTGGCTATTTCATTCTTAACCAAGGACGACAGTTATGTTTTCTATGACTTGAAGCAATGTTTGATAAACAGCCCTGTATCACACTGTCCACCAGAGCTGGCAAGCCATCCTGATGCTCAGCACAAACCGGGATTAGTTGTTCAAAAGAAGAGAAAAGATGAAACCATTTTCTTAAGCTAACTTACATGCATTTCTTTAATAATATTGGTCAGACTTTAATAACATGTTTAAAGATATCCAAGATTGTTATGACCAAGAGTTATGTATATTTGAATTTGGTCTGTATTTCAGATGGGTTCATGAAATATGTATCCTGTGACTTTATATTTTACATTATGGGATTATGATGTAATGATAAGCATGGATGCAGTTTGAAGATCTACTTTATATATATGACAAATTACACTGCTACAGATAGGTCTCTGTGTATAATATTTTTAGATACTGCAACTTCTTTAAAATATAGTACTGAAGAACTTTTTTTAAAGTATAAAACTTCAAAATACACTGATAACAACTTCTGTCAGCTGAATTTTGTTTTATTTTTAGTTTTTACCTACACAGTACAAGTATTACTACACTCAGACATAAGCTAAGGTTGGACTAATTTGAATTATGTTAAATATATTAGTACTCTTTCATGAACTATGAAATGTTTTGTCATGTTAATGGATACCCAAGTTTTCATGAAGTATATGTTGTAGATGTTATAAATAAATCATGGAAATATATGAACCTATTGTTATGATTTATAAGTTATGGTATATATAGATTCCACCACTGCATCGAGTGTAATACGATATTTATCCACTCGAGCCAGTTAAATTTTTAAATTTAAAACACGAGGCTCGCCGAGCGTTTTAAATATTGAAAATTTAACTGTCGAGAGTGGATAAATATCGTATTACACGAGATTTGGTGGTGGAATCTGTTTCTCTAATGATTTTCAAACAATATGCAGGCAAACTTATTCCTTCTTTTCGACTGATCTGCAAAATGATGTGTTCTTTCTATGTGACGTCATCAGGCATGGTCGCCTTTTTTCATGCCGTCACAATAAGAAATTCAGAGGAAAGCAAGAAAATTCAACATCATAATAGGATTTTAACCAATGAAGAACTGAGATCAAACGGACCACACGTTGATTAAATTTTTTTTATACAATGGATGCAGAAAGGGATAAATTGACGAAGAATTAGAGAAATATAGATTCTACCACTGCATCGAGTGTGATACGATATTTATCCACTCGAGACAGTTAAATTTTCAAATTTAAAACGCGAGGCTCGCCGAGCGTTTTAAATATTTAAAATTTAACTGTCGAGAGTGGATAAATATCGTATTACACGAGATTTGGTGGTGGAATCTGTTTCTCTAATGATTTTCAAACAATACGCAGGCAAATTTATTCCTTCTTTTCGAATGATCTGCAAAATGATGTGTTCTTTCTATGTGACGTCATCAGGCATGGTCGCCTTTTTTCATGCCGTCACAATAGGAAATTCAGAGGAAAGCAAGAAAATTCGACGTCATAATCGGATTTTAACCAATGAAGAACTGAGATCAAACGAACCACACGTTGATTAAATTTTTTTTATACAATGGGTGCAGAAAGGGATAAATTGACGAAGAATTAGAGAAATGAAATTACCACCTTCTTCATTTCATATATCAATATTGGCTACATCATTGGGTATTTTTAAGTCGAGGTTATATAAACAAGAGATTTGATTATGTACAATTTTATTAATCTATTCCTTTTACATGATGCTATTATACTACTTATTATATATAGTGTGGGCACCTCTTTTTGCAGAAATTTATAGTAAATTTTATTTTTTACTGCATCAAGACCAATCACATGACCATTTTTAGCTAACCTGGCCCTATTGTCCATGTGAGCTATTACCATCTCTTGGTGTCAGTCATCATCATAAACTTTTTAAAAATCTCCCCTCAGGCCCTGAAGCCACTGAACTAATTTCAACCAAACTTGAACTGATTGATCCTTAGGGTATGTAGTATAAAGATGTTTTTTTCCCTGCCTTTCAACCATCATGGCCACCATGGCTAAATATAATATAGGTGTATAACGCAGTACATGTCCTATATCTTTGGAACTATAATAGAGAAAATTTGACAGAGGATTACATGCTTAGAATGCCAAACTCTTACATTTTTCCTAATTCCATCAAAATAATCAGATGACTCATTATAGGAGTTATTATCCTTAAATGACAGTTTTTATTACTAATTTTCAAGTTTTTTCCTATTATCTTGAATAACTATCATAGATAGTAGAAACTGTGAACTGTAAAAATGATACGATACAACTTTGACAAAAATTCTTATACGACTGAAACTATTGAATGATTCTTTGTATGAGTTATTATCTTTCCACACGATTAAGGTATAATATGAAGATATAACATAATAAATTGTTGACACAGAGATATGTCTTATATAGATATAAGAAATTGTGGTATGAGTGCCAATGAAACCAACTCTCCATCCAAGTCAAAATTTATAAAAATAAACCATTACAGGTCAAAGTACAATCTTCAACACAGAGCCTTGGCTCACACGGAACAGCAAGCTATAAAGGGCCCCAAAAATAACTAGTGTAAAACCATTCAAACGGGAAACCAACGGTCTAATATATATAAAAAACGAGAAACACTTATGAACCAAATCAACAAACGACAACTTGCCTGTATGTAATATTGATAGTAACTATCTCAATGGAATGAGATATGCCAATGCTTATACAACTGCATACCAAATATCATTGACCTATCAGAAGCGGTTTCCCTTAAACTGACCCAATCAAAAACGTTTACATGTAAACTATGCAAAAATTCCAAGTCAATGAAATAAGATTTAAGGGGCAGACCCAAATAATCTCAATTGTAGTGAAATGCACTTATGCTACTTCAACTGCACACAAAGTATCATTGACTTTCCATTAGTTGTTTCCCTCAAACTGATCTTACCACAAACTTAACATTTTTAAAAGCGAAGCAAAAGTTTTCAAGTCAATAGACAATGACTGAAGGGACAGGGCCAAATAGTCTTCATGGAAATGAGATGTGCTACTATTAGTTCAACTGCATATCAAATATCATTGACATACCATTAGTGTGACCCTTTAAGCTGACCTACACACAAACTTTATAAAATGCTGATGCCCCAAGAAACAGCATGCTCTAGTCTCACCTTCATGACTTTGTCCAGGTGAAACAAAAACCAACATACGAGTTACTTTCAAAACAACATTTGAAACACTGAAATGTCTTACTTGCTGCAATATAGGAGTTAATTTAAAGGGCATTATGAACTACGAAACTTTTCAGGGTCAAATAATATTTGTAAGGTGCACATGTTGCTGTACATGTTATTTATTAACATCAAAATATTTTCTTTAATGTATAATTGCTGAGATAAATTCCCAGTTGAAGATCTTAAACCTCAACACTTGGTTATGAATATGAGTAAATATGCAACAGACATATAAATCTCCTCACAATCAATCCACATATCAAATAGTATTGACCTATAATGTACAGTTACTGAGGAACAGGCCTTATGGTCATCAAACATTTTAGTACAGTTTTCATACTCCGACTCAGATGTCAACAAATCAAAATACTGGATATGGTGTTTCTATCAAAAATTTTGTACTCCAAAGTACACAGTTAAGTTTTATGACCTTTTATGATCTCAAAAACGATCTCACCACTGGATTTTAAAAATGAAGTCAGGTGACTGGCTGTCTAATCATGAACAACATCCTTGCAAAATGCAAGACAGCAAGATTTTAATTTTCAGTGATTTTAACTTCCAAATAGTTATGGTCACATGTAAAGCACCAAAATGCTTGGCTTGATATGAAAGAAACAATCATTTGTCCAATATAAAATGTTTGTTTATTTAGAGACGTAATATGAGATAATAAGAATATAATATACAATAATCAGGTATAAAAAAACATGATATGGCAAAGAATAACATGCTATCAAAGCAAACTAAATGAAATGATTTTTAAAATTATTAAATATTATAAACAAAAAAACATTTTCACATTTTTTAAAACCATTTTTACTAATATTTAAAATCAAATGACAACAAACAAAACAAACAAAATTAATAAAAGACCAATTCTCAACTGCTTGTTTGAGAATATAAAAAGAAGATGTGGTATGATTGCCAATGAGACAACTCTTCACAAAAGACCAAATGACACAGATATTAACAACTATAGGTCACCGTACAGCTTTCAACAATGAGTAAAACCCATACCGCATAGTCAGCTATAAAAAGCCCATATGACAAATGTAAAACAATTCAAACGAGAAAACTAACGGCCTGATTTACGTACAAAATAATGAACGAAAAACAAATATGATATACAGCAACAAATGACAACCACTGAATTACAGGCTCCTGACTTGGGACAGGCACATATAGAATGTGGCGGGGTTAAATAGTTTGAAGGCGCCAACCCTCCCCCTAACCTGGGACAGTGGTGTAACAGTACAACATAAGAACAAACTGAAAAGGGCTTAACTCATCAGATTGATACAAACTCGTCAGATGGATACAAAACAGAAATACATCTAACAAAGACACAGTGGACGTGGCAGGGTACTTATACATCCCCACAACAAAAAGACACAAGTACAGATTTGAGAGTACTCACAGTTACTGTCAGCTAGTTCAAACCCAATAACAACTAATAAAAAAATCATGCATCTAAGACTAAAAAAATTAATAGTACTTTCAGACAATTCCAGGAAATTGACACACAATAACATTTGTCTATTTAAGGAATGACTTTAATATTTTTTCTGTCTATGAAGAAATAACATGAAAAATGTGGTGCACACTGAATAACCCATGTGGCCGGTTATTTAAAAGTGTGCACCACATTTTTGAGGTAATTTTGAATAGACAGAAAAAATATTAGTCATTCCTTATAATTTAATTCTAATTAAAGAGTAAATCTTGAAAAAACGTTCATGATGTCACGGTCACATGACAAAATTACATCTATGAGCTGATAGACAAAAAACTTTCAGCCAATCAGAAGACGTGTTACTCCAAAATTAAATCATTTCAGATTAAACTAGATGTATTGCAACCAAAGCACACAAAATGATACCCCTGCCCTTTCAAAATCAATGATTTGCTTAGGGAAACCATTAAAAAAATTCAGATAAAATAAAACAAAATAGGAGATGCACAATGGAATTATATAGTGAAGATTCTTAGAAAGTTTCATTAAATTCAGAGTAGGGGCCAGACTTAGGAGAAGGGAATACAAATGTGTTATGTAGTATGTGGATGTGGCATTGTCCATTCATTCCAAATTGGCAAAATAAATCCAAAATATCATTTGGATGAAGAAATGATATAGTAGATAGAACAGTACATCATGTGAGCAAGATTTGTGAAAGTTTTACAAGATTCTGTCAAGCGGTTCAGATCCAGAAGTGGATACAAAAGTGAGACCAAAGGACTAACAGAAACACCATTACTATTTATAGATCTGGTTCAAATTTACCTATATGTATAAGTGATTTTCTTTTTGATGTTCTGCCCTACATTTGTAAGTAATTTGTTACAAAGGTAGTACAAGTTTAAATCTTACTGACAAAAATTCATGCGGAAAATTTTACTAGAACGGAGTTTACTTGTCTATAACCATATCTAAGAGTTGGCTTGTCTATAATCATATCTGTGAGTTGAACTGAATGTCAAACACGTAATTCATTAACAGATCTGAAAATGTGTTACATTTATGGCTTACCAATATGAAGCTTGCTACCAAATATCAAGAAGCTCTTGATTTGTAGTTGCTGAGAAAAATGTGACAAAAATTTATTATGCATGCATCAATTTAAAGAATGTACATGTATGCTGCAAACAGAAAGTAGATATGTGACTGATCTGAAAATGTGTAACAGGGTATAGCTTACCAATATGAAGCTTTGTACCAAATATTTATACTGAGAATAATTCAATATAAATGTATTAGAGATAGAGATGGACATTCGGACATGTTTCAACCAGTTTACCCTCTCCTTTGCAATGGCTGTATAAGAATTATATTCCTACTGCTAAAATATGATTACAGTATAATTATGTGACAGGTATAAATAAATCTAATATCAATGACATGTTTTTTCACCTCAGTATCTACATTTTTATGCCATGTTTTTCTAGTGTTTCTTCTGCTGCCTTCACTACACTTTCTTTTGATCCTTTTGCATCTATTTCATTACAGGCAGGATTTTCCATTCTTCTGTATGCTTTACAAAGCCTACAAAATAAAACAACAAATCTAAATAGTCAGAAACTTTATTGTTTTTTTTATAAGACCATTTTTGCGGTCGTATATTGGTATGACGTTGGCGTCGTCATCAGCGGCATCGTCGTCCGAAGACACATTGGTTTTCGCACAATAACTTTAGTTTAAGTGAATGGATCTCTATGAAATTTTACCATAAGGTTCTATACCACAAAAGGAAGATTTGGATTGATTTTGGAGGTTATGGTACCAACAGTTAAGGAATTAGGGGCCAAAAAGGGGCCAAAAATAAGCATTTTTCTAGTTTCCAGACAATAACTTGTGGAACGGAGTATGGATCTCTCTGAAATTATACCACAAGTTTCCATACCACAAAGGGATGGTTAGGATTTGCTTTGGGGGTTATTTATGGCTCAAACCGTTTAGGAATTAGGGGCAAAAAAGGGGGAAAAACACGGGTGTCCTGGTTAATGGACAAATACTTTAGTACAAAACATAATTTAAAGCAGTGTAAGGGAGGTAATTCAAATACATCATTTGAATTACCTCCCTTACACTGCTTTTAAATTATGTATAAAGTAATGGTTAATGAACAATTAAGACAATTTAAAAGCAGTGTAAGGGAGGTAATCCAAATACAACGTTTTGATTTTTAATTATGTTTAAAGAAATGCATATTTATAAAGGAAGACCAGTAAAAATATATGCAAATGTTGCATCTTTTTTTTTACAAAAAAATCCATATGAAAGATTTGACACCATATATTAAATTCTATTATAAAATAGATTATAAGTTAGCACTATGGTAAATTTAAATGGGTAATTATGGTTGCAAACTCCATTGGAAATTGAATTGAGATTATGACCATATCTTGAGCGAAAGAATTTTTTTGGGGGTAAAAAGAAATTGTGGGGGGTCAATTTTTACTCATTTGAGATTTCAGAAATTAAAAAGAAAAATTCTTCAAATATTTTTTTTTTTGCAATACGCAACAGCATAGTGTATTGCAGAAAAGTAAAAATTGAATATAAATTCAAATCATATAACCAATTCTAAGTTCTTTGACTTCAGTTATTCTGTGTCAGAAACCTTTTATGTGTCAAATATTTAATTACAATCCAAATTCAGACCTGTATCAAACGCGAATATTGCGTCCATTTTTGCCCCAACTGTTCAGGGTTGGACCTCTGTGGTCGTATCCAGCTGCGCTCGGCGATGCAATTTATTTTCTATTAAATTTATTTTGGAATGAGCAGCTTTAACATAAAAATTATTTACTGTGTGTGCCAATAATCTTTGAAAGTGATATTTATTAAAAGTAAATAGTTTTATGCAAGAAAAATACAAGGTAATTCAAGAGACAAACACATTTCAAACACTTTTGTAGTGATGTTATTTTTATAATAACCCATCAAAATAAATGACTGAGAAGGGGAAAAAATTATGTTTAAAATGATTGTGAAATGTAGTATGCTATTAATATGATAAATATGTATGACAATACAAAGATGTTAAGTACAGTGAGATATTTTGCTCCTGTTAGTTATACAGATATGTTCATCAAATATAACAATTGTGGAACCCAGTGATAAAAGAACTCATCAGATTCGAAGATTGAGGAACCCAGTTGTAAAAGATCTTATCAGATTCAATGATTATCAAACCCAAGAGCCCAATGTCAAAAAAAAATATCAGATTAAAAAAAAAAAGAACACATCAGTTTTAAGGATTGTGGAACCTATTGGTAAATGAACATATTGTGGAATCCAATGGTAAATGAACATATTGTTGAACGCAAAGGTAAAAGAACTTATCAGATTTAACAATAGGGGAACCCAGTTGTAAAAGAACATATCAGATTCAGAGTTGTGGAAACCAGTGGTAAAAGAACTTATCAGATTCAGAGTTGTGGAAACCAGTGGTAAAAGAACTTATCAAATTCAGAGTTGTGGAAACCAGTGGTAAAAGAACTTATCAGATTCAGAGTTGTGGAAACCAGTTGTAAAAGAACTTATCAGATTCAGAGTTGTGGAAACCAGTGGTAAAAGAACTTATCAGATTCAGAGTTGTGGAAACCAGTGGTAAAAGAACTTATCAGATTCAAAAATTGTGGAACCTGGTGGCAAAAACACTTTTCAGCATGTTGACACACAGTGGTAGATAAGAACTTATCAGGGAATATGGAAGACAGTGGTATAATGTCCTGCTCAAGATGTGGCATCCATCAAGAAAAATTACTGATCTGTGAAATTAGGAATTTCTACCTTTGTCTGAATAAAATATCCTTGTCTAAGTGCTGCTCCTCAAATGTTATGGCTCCTCCTCTACCAGACAACCTTTGCCTCCTAACTTCCTCTGTTACTGTCAGGAAAAGAACTAGTGTAGGCTTCAGTAGATCTGATGGCCATTGGTACACCCAGTGTCCTCTGGGTGGCATGTCAGAAGTACTGGTTTCATTGGCTATCCCATATGCTGTAGTACTGTGCCAAAATCTGCAGAGAAACATCAAGTAAGTTGTTTGTCATAGCTACTTACCATAACTTTTTTCTAGTTTATCTAAATGAAAAACCCTTCGTTAAATATGGTTTTTACAGATGTTATTTTGTAACAAGAACTGAAACATGTAAAGGAGACCGTTTTCATCATGTTATTGTCTCACATCAACAAAATGTCTAAATTTTATACCTATAACCTATCGAAAATAGCACACTGAAGTAGTATCGAATTTAATATGTGTGTGTTAAAATTTAGTGACACTAATAAAGTAAGGTGTTGCTTATCATTCAAGCACCAGTGTGAAAAAAACATAGAGTGTTGATTTAATTTCTTCCTGCATATCTATACAGCTTTCTAGAAACAACATTATTAAATTTACCTATCCATTATAACTGCTTTGTTCTGACATTCCTTAGCTATTTGTATGGCTACAATATAATTGCCAATGCAGTAATAAGCTCTCCTTATGATCTCTGGCATATCATCAAAGAACTTTCTTAGATGGCCAACTTCAGGAGGAGGAGTGTAGTATCTCACTGCATTCAATTTTTTCTCTAATGTTTCAGTTAATGTTGTTTTACCTATAAGAAATTGTATCAAGAGGTAATAAAAAATGAAAGATATTCATGTCTACAGTATAAAGTTATCTATCAGTCTTCCATCTCTGTGTGTCATTCCTAATATTGTGCATAAAACATCTGTGTGATGTCAAATTTTCCAGACCACTTCATAGTAACTTTGACTAAAGATTAACAAGGACATCATTATGTTTGACCCAACATTAATGAGTTTGACCAAAACTTTCCAAGTCCTCTTCCATTTTGGTGGTAAAACAAGGAAAAACTATTGTTCTATCACAAACTATAGCCTGAGGAGCCTGAATCAGTAGACTGGAAAAAACATGAAAACACTAAAATTATTAAGAACAAGGGCAGCTATTTTTTAACACACTAAGTAAGTTTTTACCAACTGTTGATTCTGATCAATGGAGAATATTTCTTAATGAAAGTGCTTGTGAGCACTGAAGGGTAACGGTTGCAATTATTTTGCGGTGGGAACTAAAAACATTGTATTGTATTGTATTAAGCATTGGAAGGCAATACTGAGAATAGGTAGCAGTAAAGTTAAAGTCTGGAAAATAGATAACTTTTCAGCCAGCTGCATAAGAGTTTTGATTGCATAAATGCAATTTTTATCCCAAACAATTGTAAGTCAAGACAAAAATTTCTGATTATGGCCAAAATATGTAAAAAAAAAAGGTCAACTGGTAACGTAATGGCAATAACACCTATAAGAAGTTGATTGATGATTTCGGTTGAGTTGACTTATTAGTAGATCTTATAACTTGCTGATCATTTTTGAAGGAACTATTATAGTTTTCAGGATTATTTCCAAAATTACAGCAAAATGAGTGAAATCGTAATTTAATGGAAAGAACTCCTTTAAGACTGAAATTTTTGCCATTTTAATTCAGTTATAAATCTTGTCTTGATGATCAGGTGTTTACAGTTTGTCTCTTTCACCTATAGTTTTCACCAAAAATGCAAAAAAAAAATGTTAAAAGGACAAAACCTAGTCAACTGGTGAATTCATCCAACTTGAACTATTTTGTAGCTGATCATTTCTGCTGTTTAAAATTTCACTCTTTCTATTATGGGTTTCAAGATTATAGCCAAAAAATGCAAAAATAGATAAACTGTTATTTAAGAGAAATAACTGGAGTAAGCTGACAATTTCAGTCATGCTAACATCTTTGTAGATCATATTTAGCTCTTATACAAATTCTCTTTATCTACTTTAATAGTATCTCAAAAATGCCAAAAATGGCTAAACATCATCATTGAAGGGCAATAACTGCTATAAGGGGTCAACCAAAGATTTCAGCCATTGTTGACTTATTTGTTAATCTTGTCATTCTTATAATGTTTAGTGTTTTACTTTTCTATCTAATGTTGCTAATAAATATGTGACAGAAGTATGGTACAGTTAGATACATGTAGAAGCACAGCACAGACAGAGGAAAAACAGTAAACCCAACTCCTTGGAAACTTTTAAAATCTATTCATCTTGTCTCTTGCATCTTATCATCACAAACATGACAAAGCCTTATGGAAAAAAATCCGTTCAAACTACATGACTATGGTTTCTGGCTGATGGAGAACCATAACAATTCTCTACTAAAACATGAAATATGTTTAAATTCATTAATTATAAAAAAGAAGATGTGGTATGATTGCCAATGAGACAACTCTCCACAAGAGACCAAATGACACAGAAATTAACAACTATAGGCAATTTTCAGAAGTAATCAAACATCAAGCCTATATGACAATAATGATATTACACAAAATGTAATGCTTTGAATTCTTACCTGTAGCATCAAGTCCTTCTACCACTACAAATGGATATTGTATCTGCTTTTGTAATTCATTCACATCAAAGTTGCCTGGTATATTTTTGTCAGCAATATCTAGCAAGGTGACAGCTTCAGGCATATCTTTACACTGAAAAAAGTGAAAAAAGGACTTGCTTATTAAAGTCTGACTTATTGTTTCTTCTTTTTCTTCTTCCGCTGCCATCACAATATGTTAGAACAAGCATTCTTAGAGTATTGCATGGCAATACATAGTCCCCTACCGGGTAAAAATTCATTATACTGGAACAAAATGCTAGCTTGTTCTATAACTTGTCATGGTGTAAACAAAAAGAAAATATCAAGTCAATATCTTCAAGCATGACTTTAAAACAGTGTGGAAAACTGAATATATGAGTGAATTTTTATGAGGACCATAACTCTGCACAAAATTATCAGACTGAAACAAAAATTTGAACTTGATCTGTAACTTGTCATGATAAAACTATATACCAATTTTCAATCAATATCTTCAAGCATGATGAAAAAAAGTGTGGAAAACCTACAACACTCTAACATTAGATATGATTAATAGTTCTCTAAAATTAGATATGATGTAATACAATGTATATCTATTTTCAAATTACAATCAAATATAATTAATAGTTCCAAATATTTTTTCTTTCATTTGTCACAAACTAATATAGATTTGTAACTTATCTATAAAATGTCAACATTTTTCATCTACACAATGTAATGTAATGAAATATATACCTTAATAAAAATAGATTATTATCTAATTAAAGGATTTCACTTAATAAAAAAATATATATATATATATACATGTAGCATTCAGAAAATTAGTTTATACAAAATAACATATAAACCTGCCACAAAATTCCTCAAACAATTTACCAAAGAATGTCTTTTAAAAAAATGAGTTATCTCCCTTTGTACAGATACATGGTTTAACATAGTACTCCAGCATTAGTTATGGAGTTTTTTTTATGGACCATAACTCTGGACTAAATCATCAGACCGGAACAAAATTCAAACTTGATCTATAACTTGTCATGATAAAACTATATACCAAATATCAAATCAATATCTTCAAGAACGAAGAAAAAAAGTGTGGAAAACTGAGTTGCCGGACTGACGGATGGACAGACAGACAGAGTGCAAACCTAAAGTCCCCTTCGACTTCGTCGGTAGGGGACTAATAACATGTCTAGTGGTGCAATCAGGGTTTTGTTTGTGCAATGGGGTTTATAAAGGGGTACTTTGACGGGCAAAAAGGAAGGAGGGGTTTACTATAGAACCCTATGGGATTTTATCTTTTTTTATTTTCAAATGATTATAACTTGAAAGCAGTTAGTGATAGACACAATCTTTATAATTGAAAATGTTCTAAATGGTGAAGCCCATTAAATGAAATAAAAGGTTAGTCCCAAGGGGTAACCCCACCCCCTGCCATTCTGCCATTTGAGAAAGTTTAAATATCATGTAAATGGTCAAGATCCCCAACCCTAAACCATATATATTCTGGTTAGTCATGATAAAGCACATCAAATGAAATACAGGGTTAGTTCCCCACCCCCTGCCATTTGAGAAAGTTCTAATATCTTGTAAGTGGTCAAGATCCCCACCCCTAAACCATATATATTCTGGTTTGTCATGATAAAGCACATCAAATGAAATACAGGGTTAGTCCCCAGGGGTCATCCCGACCCCCTGCCATTTGAGAAAGTTTTAATATCTTGTAAGTGGTCAAGATCCCTTCCCCTAAACCATATATATTCTGGTTTGTCATGATAAAGCACATCAAATGAAATACAGGGTTAGGGCCCAGAGGTCACCCCCACCCCCTGCCGTTTCAGAAAGTTTTAATATTTTGTAAGTGGTCAAGATCCCCACCCCTAAACCATATATATTCTGGTTTGTCATGCCAAGATGATTTGAATGATATACATGGTAAAACCCAAAGGGTCATCCCCAACCCCTGTCATTTGAATATGTTAAAATATCTTGTTAATGGTCGAGATCCCCACCCCTAAACCATTTATATTCCTGTTTGTCATGTCATGAAGATTTGAATGATATATAGGAGAGGTCCCCAGGGGTTCCCCCCACCCCCAATGTTATATAACTTGTAAATGGTCGAGATCCCCACCACTAAACCATATATGTTCCTGTTCGTCATTTCACGAAGAATTGAATGACATACAGGGTCAGTCCCTAGGCGTCACTAATGCATATCACTTTACTGAACCAAACCAATTTGTACTGGACTTTGCCCAATGTCAGGCGACCATGGGAATGACGAATTATGGGAGCTTCGTTTGGGAGACTTCGTAACAGCATCCTGTTACAATCATTTCTTGTTCTTACTGATTTTTTAGCAATTTCTAATCCATTAAAATCATTTGTGAATAACATAAAAATTGAGTGAGAAAGCCAAGACCAACAATGTGCTGTTTTATACAAGTACGTTTGTACAAATATCAAAATGTATGTCAGTCGTTAAAAAATCACTTGTATATTTGTTTTTCTCACATTTCTTTCAATAGACCATTTTCATATTACTGACTTTTGACTCCAGAGTTTATAATTTTTTTACAGGTTACAAACACTATGGTAGGACATTCTGGTACTCGGTTAAGTTTAGAGCAAATAAAAGAAGTAAAATCAAGCTTACACTTGGTGCGATTTGGGGGGAAAATTTACTGTTTTATGTTTTCTATACACGACAAAATCATCAATAGAAAACAGTTATTTTTGTACCCCAAACTTCATCAATTGTAATCTTGATTTTACTTGTTTGCTCTTAGTTTTGGTAGTGAATTGTTACAAAATTACAGGTCTCCCATACAAATTTATTACAATGTAATATGAAAAAAATAAAATCAAAGCAGCAAAGACAGACAATTTAAATCAATCACTTAAAAAGCAGAACCATACATGTAACTTATTACAATAAATCATTTTTAATGTTTTATTCCATTCCAAGAAGCTGTTGGGAGCTCCTTTTTCAAAAGTATTGAAAGGTATATATACATGTGACTTGGTTAAAAAGTTTTTTACTTTAAGTTTTAAAGTTGTTGTGTTCTAGATAGATTTTGAAAAGGTCATAGTGCTTGATTGAAATCTTTGAAGAAAAATTCATGTCACATGCTTGAAATGATTGGTTGATTATAACCATGGCCCTTTATGGGATGTTTTCAGATCTTCCATGAGCAATAAAGTATCAAAGTGAAATATCTGATTTTGATTAGATTGGTTTTATAAATTTAAATATCTTAGAATCCAAAGTAAAAATTTTCCTTCTCACCTGCCCTTTTTTCTTGAGGAAACTTTAATAAAATATATATTTATGGAATGATGATGTAAGCATAAAAGACACCAGTTCCAGGTGAGGTAATTGGCACAAATTTTCCTAAATATACTTGATACAGGATTCTGAGGGCGGCTATATCAGTTAATTGCTCTGTACACAGAATCCCTAATGAGATTATTGTCAGTGTACCCTACTTAAAGATAACTCATTTATCTAAATTTTATACCTTGGACAATATTTCTCTAGCTTCAACAAAGCTGTGAAAAACAGGACACAAGTCTGGTTTAGTAAATGACCTTGACTGACACTGTGTGAAAGAAGAACATTTTTCAATTATTTCCCAGCTGTCTTTCATTATGTATAACTGATCTGATAGGACATCCATCGTTTTTGAATCTCTTTCTTCAACCCTGCATCTTCCTTCTTTTATTTGTTTAATAAAATAGTGTCTTTTAAAATTATTTTCATAGGCCATTTTAATAACATCATTTGCACTAAATGTTTCATTTGAATGATGTGTGAAAACACTAACACCTCTGTATATTTTTTCATGTGAGTCTTGATTTGAGTCAATATCAGTGAATGTACTGAGTGAGACATTACAATTACATGCATATTTAAGAGTGATTTCTCTCAACAGCTTTTGGGAACGAATGGCACTTTTGATATAATTTGATACTGTATCAGTGTTTTCCTTTAAGATGTTGGGGAATAGCAAAATGTCATTTTGATCTGTAAAACAATCCGAAAGTGAAAGTTCACTCGTTTCTTTTTTATTCTTCTGTAATAAGTTTTTTCCTCCTTCATAACGTTCCAAGTACACTGGTTTGTCTGGAAAAGCAATATGAATGTTCATTTTACAGCATGCATCACATGTCAAACTAGCAAGTTGTAGATGGAATGGTGTCCTATTTAAAAAACGCGCTTTCAGTTTAAAAATTTGATGCATTCTGTACTTTCATTTTTGAAACGAGGCAGTAAATTACAGATAAAACAAGTTCGGGATAACCCTGTTGTATCCGCACCCTTATCAAACATCAATTCCTGGATCCGCGCCTGAAATGGATCCTTGGTTGTATTAGATGAATACTGAAAAATACTGAATTATAGCAATGTTTTGATTAACTTCATTCTGAAATAATCTCACAATTAAAACTTGTCTGAATCAAAAGGAAAAGAAAAAGAGTAATTCCAAACTCCAGTAACTTTTTTTTTTCACAACAGACCCGTTTTCTGAATGTTATTATATCTTTAATAAAATTCACAGTACCATAGGTTTGTTGTTCATATGTGTTCTTTAAGGTTTTTGCCAACACTGAGAGTATTTCCGAGGTCGTTCAGTATTTGTTTAAACAGATTTTGACTAATCTAATACAAGATGTGGACACAGGATCTGTATTTTTATAATCAGGTTGGATTTTGGCACATTTTGAGTAATTATCTAAAACTATATATATATTTATCACACAGATTTGATTTTTAAGTCATCTCTCGAGAGACGAACTTACAACCATTATATACATCCAATGTATATATTTATATATTACAAGAAAAAATTACGCTGCAATTTTGAAGTGTTTTTATGCAAACAATGTACCTTTAAAAACATACGAGGGAGTAACTTCAGAAAATTAATAATGGACATTTTGTGAAAAAAAAGGCATATCGGTTTGCTTCAAGGCATAAACTACAAAGAGACTAACATGCACATTAAGTTATGTTTTATTTTTTTTTAATTCAGAAGACGACATTTTTAATCTACGTGCAGTCTGTTTCCCTGGACTCTGTTTTATTGACCTCTAATTGCTCTTGAACATATTTGAAGCATTCAAGCATTTCAAGAAAAAAACTAGAACCTTTGGTGGTGCCCGTCAGTTGGTTTATGTCTGTAACTGTGTTCGTATTGTAAAGCCACAATTGTTTGCTCATCAAAATGCCATACAGACATGTTTTTTTTTTAACTTTGATTCGGCACTTATAAAAATGCCGAATATAAACACATATAAATACATATAAACAATAATAACAACATGCATTACATGCTAAAAATTTGACATTCATATTTGAAAGACTTGGTTTGACATGGATAAGCAAATTTGAAGTATGATAAAAATGTATCTACTAAATTATTTGAGAAAAGCGTAAGAAAATTTAGAATATATATGTATAAATTGTGATAAAATTTGATATTTAAAAACTAAGAAATTCATTAATTAGCACTACAAAATAAACAAAATATAGGCAAATGTTAAAATAGATAAAACAAATAAGTTATCTTATAAACAATATAAGTGTCTAAATTAGTTTAAAAGATATCTTACCATATATAAAGTTAATAATATATTTTATAAAGTATATGATATATCTTATAAAATATATAATTATAAGATATATTATAGAGTATATAATTATAAGATATTCTATAGAGTATATATGATATCTTAGATATATTATAAAGTAACTATTTAACTGTTTATTGTAAAGCAACGCTCAGACACATATATGTGTAACATGAGGTAAATATACAATAATAAATATACAATATATGTACATTGTCGGAAAATATAAAAATTTATTTGTATGAGCTTTAGAAACAGGACGTAAAGCGAGGCTCGCCGAGCGAGTACAATAAATTTTATATTTTCCGACAATGTACATATATTGTTTTTATCCTGAAATTTACACCCAACACTTGAGACTTTAAATCTAAATCATTGTCTCTAATTTTTCAAAGAAATCGACATAGTTTAAACGCGGACCGCGAAGAGGACCCCAAAATGAACTGGTACGCAAAAAGAAATATCCACATTACCGCTTGCTCAACATGGAAAAGGGGGTAACAGGAGACTTTATTTGTACAAGTACAAATAAAGCAAAAATTTATTTGTGTACCTGTTATTTGTACAATAGTTGGCTGATTGCAGGATAAACATGATTTATAATACAATTGTAACATTTAAAAACAAATAAAAATTCGTACAAATCAATATACATATCACAATAAGTTATTTAGCTTTCTAATAAAAGATGACACCTGTCTATATAAATTAACATTGCAATAAGATAACATAACAGATAATTTCTGCTTGCTTGGATGCTTTGTATAATAACTAGGGATATGTTTTTTTCTCTAAAAATAACCAGTTGGGGAGACTTGCATATAAAAAGATGGTGAAATTCGTCACGAGGCTCCTACATTTTCTTTACATATGTGACATTTTCGGTCCTCCGCCGGAGTATTATACCAACGCCCAGTTTCAATGGGAATTTTTAAATTAGACGTTCTTAATTTTGTCATCCAGATTCTTGCATTTTCCGGGATTTTTATTAAATAATTTTCAAAACCAAAATAATTTGTATAACTAGAGTAAAATACACCTCGGGAAGATAATTGAACATTTTGATGCCATTTTTGTATATGTTGGTCTTGTAAAACCTGTGTTATCAGATGTTTGTAGTCAGTACTATCTTGATTGACAAACACATATCCTAGTCCTGTATCATTAAATATTGATTCTATAAAATTCAGCCATTTGAATGACTGACTGCTATTTTGCTTTAAACTTAATAATAATCTATACATATTACTACTTAATTTTTCACTCTGACCATGCATTATACTTCTCCAAAATGATGTCATTCTTATTTTAACTTTTATTTCTAATGGAAATCTGCCTAGTTCTCCATATACCATATAGTTAGGCGTTGAAGATCTTACTCTTAAAATACGTTTACAAAAATTTAAGTGAATTTGTTCTAAAATTTCAAGTTTTCGTATCCCCAAATCTCACAGCCATATAAAAGAATAGGCTCTACCATGGCATCAAAAAGTTTAAGCTGTAAATCTAATGGGATGACTTGATTTCTAATACTTTTGTACAAGCTGTATAATGCTTTTTGTGCTTGGTTAACCAATTTTTTCTTCGCTTCTGTAAAAGTACCATTACATTTGAATATGAGCCCAAGATATGAGAAGGTATCGACTAATTCTATATTTTTGCCTTGTATTTTAAATTCAAATTTCCGTCGCACTTTGCCTTTGCTAAATACCATACTTTTTGTTTTTGTAACATTTACTTCCAGCTTCCATAATTCACTGTAATTCAGAAAAAATATTTAGTGCATTTTGCATACTTTCTGCTGAATCCGCCAAAATGACGGTATCATCAGCGTACAGTATGGCGAACAGTTTCATAATTGAATTTAACTCATTTTGACATTTTTCTTTAAATATCTCAAGGGGACATCCACCTAAATCAATTAAGAATTGTTCTATGTCATTTAAAAAAATGGAAAAGAGAAAGGGAGATAGATTTTAACCCTGTCTAACACCAGTAAGACAGGGAAAATATTCTGACTGTTGGTTGTTGTATTTAACACATGATTTAATATTATTATACATATAAATTTTCCCTTGTATACCACTGTTCTGTAGTTTTTTCCACAAGCCACTTCTCCATACAGTGTCGAAGGCCTTGCGGAATCAACAAATGTGCAAAATAGTTTTTCCCAAAAGACTGATACAGTGATATAAAGTCATGCAATACGAATAAATTATCGGTTGTAGAGTGACCTTTTCGAAATCCAGCTTGGTTGTATGAAATTAAGGAAATTTCATTTGCAAAAAAGTCAACCTAGAATTAATTATTGATGTGAAGACTTTTCCTAGACAGCTTATTAAAGTTATTGTTCTGAAGTTATCAGGATCCATGGTATCTCCTTTGTTTTTAAAAACCGGTCTTATTATTCCAATAGTCCAGTGCTCTGGTATTATTCCGGTGTCTAAAACAATGTTAAATATTTTACAGTAAATATGTACCAGTGCTGGAGTTGAATGTTTTATATATTCATTTTAAAATTTTATCTAATCCTGGTGATTTGTTATTCTTTAATTTTTTGATTGCATCAATTATTTCAGCTTCCGTAATCTCATCGTTCAAGATTGAATCGTACAAAGCATCATCACAAATAGAGTTAAAATCAATATCAATAGCATCATCAGCTGCATCGGGTTCATATTGATTCAATTTTTTTTTAAATATTCGTAAAATGTGTCAATAGGAATCGGAGGGTTCTGTTTAGTTTGACCGGAATATTTTTTAAGAGTCCTCCAAAAGGCTTTTGTGTCAGATTTCGAGTGGGATCTTAGCTCAGCAGCACATTTTTCTTGATACTTACTAAAATTTTGGTTTAGTGTTTTCTTATAGTCTTTAGCACAAGTGCTTAAAAGTTGTTTGATCTCTACAGATTTATTATGCTTATATGTATTTTTAACCCGATGAAAAGCATTTCGTTTTTCTTTGCACTCTTTATTAAACCAAGGTTTTGCATTTAATTTAGATATCTTATTATACTTTATGCAACTATCTATATCATCCATTCATTTCATTGGACACGCGGCATTTGTTAATTTTCACCAACCTTTCATAATCCCCGCCGTTAACATTTTCTTTTCAGTAAAATATCATAGCAGATTTTGACAGTATAAAAGTAAACATTTTCATCACTAAATAAAAATACAAATTTATCGTCATCTGACATACTATTAAAATCATGACTAAAAGAATAAGCATGACTAAACAATACAGCACGAAAATCTGCATACAGTGGACATTTCAAAATTACATGTTTCTCATCTTCAATGGTATTGTCATTACAATTAAAACATAATCTTTCATTAATAGGTAAGTCAAAACTAGTCAAAACATTTACTAAATTTTATCATCGGTATAAGGACATCATTCGTAAATATAGCTCAACATGCAGACTTCTTATACGTTCAGGTATTTCACATCCAATTTTTTATGGAAATATTCTTTATAAAGCACAAAAATGTCAGTATTCACCTCTGAAGCTAAAAAAACCTTTAAATAGACTTATTAAGAAGGGATATAGTTACGATACTGTTGTCAGGTCATTAAAGATTGCATATTTTGGCGTTAATATTGATTCACTTATAGGGTCTTTGCATCGGCACTAAACACATTTATTTAAAAACCAGTTGTTGGCATGACACGGGTTATGTTCTTCTCATATATGTTATGATGGTATGATACTAAACCCCTAACGGGAAGGATTGTGCCTGATATTCATATGATGAAGACATAATCTTTCAATCAGTTTAATTGAAGTCTGGAGCTGGCATGTCAGTTAACTGCTAGTAGTCTGTTGTTATTTATGTATTATTGTCATTTTGTTTATTTTCATTGGTTACATCTTCTGACATCAGACTCGGACTTCTCTTGAACTGAATTTTAATGTGCGTATTGTTATGCGTTTACTTTTCTACATTGGCTAGAGGTATAGGGGGAGGGTTGAGATCTCATAAACATGTTTAACCCCGCCGCATTTTTGCGCCTGTCCCAAGTCAGGAGCGTCTAGCCTTTGTTAGTCTTGTATTATTTTTAATTTTAGTTTCTTGTGTACAATTTGGAGTTTAGTATGGCGTTCATTATCACTGAACTAGTATATATATTTGTTTAGGGGCCAGCTGAAGGACGCCTCCGGGTGCAGGAATTTATCGCTGCATTGAAGACCTGTTGGTGACCTTCTGCTGTTGTCTGTACTATGGTCGGGTTGTTGTCTCTTTGACACATTCCCCATTTCCATTCTCAATTTTAAGTTCTGATAGCGGCCCGTTTCAATTTTTAGGGGCGCAACACCACAGCGAAATTTTGCAAAAGCACTTCTATATTTCCCTGCAATAGTTTTACAAATATAATTTTCTACCTTAAATTCTGTTTGTTTTTAAATAATTTATAGGTACGTAGTTTGGCATATTCATTCGAAACCAACTTATTATGCCATTCAGTTCTATATAAATCAATAGCTATAAGCATTCTATATCCTTAATTACATTTTTAGTTAACAATATATCACAATTACAATATGGTTCAATATTATACTCTTTAAACTTAGTCATTACTCTGAAGCACCAGTTTTTAATTGGTTTATTTTCATACTTATATGACCACATAAATACTCGTTTGTTCAATCTATCATTGTCCATTTTACAAAATCTGGACCATAATCTAAAAACAGCTGTCCATTGCTTTACATTGCAAGGAGTCCAGCCCATATCACCATACAGAGATAATATCGATCAGTGGAACAAATATAATACAGATGGAAAAAGTAGTCCATGACAGGAATTCCGCAGAACATATATTATTTTAATATTGTTTCCCTCAGGAATAAATATTATTAGGAACAAATATACGTTGACAGGTTTACCAATTCTTATTTCTACATCATTTCCGTCGTTTTGTTGTTGTTATTAATAGAGGTCGGTCATTTAAAGACGTATCAACCGTATCATACTTTGACGTATACGCATCTGCAGATTTACCAAAAAACATTATTTGATCCCGAGCTTTAATTGTATATACTTTCAATAATGCAGATGGGCAACTGATTAATTTCTAATGCTAGTATTTAATTGTGTAGCTGACTTAATTGTTGGAAAAGAGGGGCGAAAGATACCAGAGGGACAGAGGGAAAACGTATAATAGTCTTAAGTTCGGGATCACTTAATAGTTTTTGGTATATCTGCAGATGCGACTATACTTCAACGTATATGATACGGTTGATACGTTTTTAAATGACCGACCTCTAACAGTAAACTATCTTAATTTATGACTTTATTTTTTTACAATTGTCGTTCTAATAACATAGTGCACACTTGCACCATAATGCATTCAGTATAATAAAAAACATACTGCCCTTGGATGAATGTGTTACGGTGATTAACACACTCGGTGAAAAAATTATCACCCGCGACTTCATCTTGGGTGATAAGTTTTTTCCTCGTGTGTTAATCTATCCTAACAGCTTCATCCATGGGCAGTATGTTTATATTATTTACTTCAAATTAGATAAGATATCTCATAAAGAATACATACATGTAACTTTATAAGATATCATGAAATTGAATAAATATTAAAAAAACGGCCTATTTGCCATAACTATAACTCAACCTAAGGTCTTTAGAATGCATAACAAGTATATCAGAACCCTCCGATTCCTGTTGACATATTTTACGAATATTTTAAAAATTTGAAACAATATGAACCAGTTGATGCAGATGATGTTTTAGATGTTGAAGTTTAACTCTATTTGTGATGATACCTTGTACGATTCAATCTTGAATGATTATATTACGGAAGCCGCGGCGAAAGTATTGATGCAATAAAAAATTTAAAAGAATACTGTTGATGTGGTTCTCGTTTCTCGTTTTTTATATAGATTAGACCGTTGGTTTTCCCGTTTGAATGGTTTTACACTAGTAATTTTTGGGGCCCTTTATAGCTTACTGTTCGGTGTGAGCCAAGGCTCCGTGTTGAAGACCGTACTTTGACCTATAAAGGTTTACTTTTATAAATTTTGACTTGGATGGAGAGTTGTCTCATTGGCACTCATACCACATCTTCTTATATCCTGTGACAAATCAACTGGATTCTTTTAATTAACATTTAAAACATTCAACTTCAGCACTGCTTCAGATATGCCGATAAATATTCATATTGTCTTAGACACTGGAATAATACCAGAGCATTGGACTATTGATATCGAGATTGGTATAATAAGACCAGTTTTTAAGACCAAGGAGGTAAAATGGGTCCTGAAAACTTCAGAGCAATAACGTAAATTACCTGTCTAGGAAAACTTTTTATATCAATAACGAAATTTCCTTAATTTCATATAATCAATCAGAGTTTCGAAAAGGTGACTCTACAACTGATAATTTGTTCGTATTACATGCATTAATATCACCCATGTCACTGTATCAGTCTTTTGGAAAACAAATAGTTTGCACATTTGTCGATTTCCACAAGGCCTTCGACACTGTATGGAGGTGTGGCTTGTGGAAAAAACTACAGGGGCAAAATTTGTATTTGCTGTTATTTTCAATATGTATAATAATATAAAATCATGTGTTCAATATAACAACGACCAGTCAGAATCTCGAGGTCAGAATATTTTCCTTGTCTTACTGGTGTTAGACAGGGTGAAAATTTGTCCCCCTCCTCTTTTTCTAAATGACATATACATGTAGAACATTTCTTTACTGAATTAGATGGATGTCCCCTGGAGATATTTAAAGAAAAATGTCAAACTGAGTTAAATACTATAATGAAACAGTTTGCCATACTGAAAGGTGATGATACAGTCATCTTGGCTGATTCAGACGAAAATATGCAAAATGCTCTTAATATTTTTCAAAATTACTGTGAATTATGGAAACTGGAAGTAAATGTTACTAAAACAAAAAGAATGGTATTTAGCAAACACAAAGTGCGACGGAAATTTGAATTTAAATTACAGGGCAAAAATATAAAAATAGTCGATACCTACTCATATATCTTTGTCTAATATTTAGATGTAATGGAATTTTTTTTAGAAGCAAAGAAAAAACTTATTAATCAAACACAAAAAGCATTATTATACAGCTTGTATAGAAATCTAAGAAACCAAGTCATTCAATTAGACTTACAGTTCAAACTTGTTGGTGCCATGGTAGAGCCTATTTTATTATATGGTTGTGAGATTTGGGGGTTCGAAAACTTGAAAATTTTAGAACAAATTCACTTAGGTTTTTGGAAACGAATTTTAACAGTAAGTTCTACAACACCTAATTATATGGTCTATGGAGAATTAGGCAGATTTCCATTAGAAATAAAAGTTAAAATAAGAATGTCATCATTTTGGAGAAAAATATTGCATGGTGAAAAATTAAGTAGTAATATGTATAGACTATTTCTTAGTTTAAAACAAAATAGCAGTCAGTCCTTCAAATAGTTGAATTTTATTGAATCAATATTTAATGATACAGGATTAGGATATGTATTTGTCAATCATGATAGTTCTGACTATAAAGATCTGATAAAACAGGTTTTACAAGACCAATACATTCAAAAATGGCTTCAAGATGTTCAATTATCTTCCCGTGGTATGTTTTATTCAAGTTAAAGACATTTTTAGTTTTAAAAATTAATTAATAAAGATGCCGGAAAACGCAAGAATCTGAATGACAAAATTAAGAACATCTAACTTTAAAATTCCTATTGAAACTGGGCGTTGGCATAATATTCCTGCGGAGGACCGAAAATTTAAGTTATGTAAACCGAAAATATAGGAAACGAATTTTACTATCTTTTTATATGTAAGTCTCCTCGACCAGTTGTCAACTGGTTAATATTAGAGAAAAATTTATTCCTAGCTCAGTATTACACGAAGTATCTAAATAGAAGTTAGCAGTCATGTTATCTTATTGCAATGTTAAATTATATAGACAGGTGGCATCTTTTATTAGAAACCTATATAACTTATCGTGATATGTATATTGTTTTGTATATTGTTTTATTAACTGTTTATTGTATTATAATTCATGTTTATTATTGTATATTTACCTCATGTTACACATATATGTGTCTGAGCGTTGCTTTATAATAAATAGTTTTCACAAAAGTTAAACTGTGACGACCTAAGGACGGATCATGATAACTTTATATCAACAAAGAATTCCAAGTTACAGTTTTAATATCTATAGTTTTGTTACATTTTAAAACCGATTTAGAATTAGTGCTTGCATAACCCCATTCAACCCACGGAATGAATGTAGCCTGGTGTAATTTAATATTAATCCCATTAAATGGATTATCAACTTATAATTGATAATTTCAATCTGGTGTATAAAGGTAAATATCTTGGTCGTGACTGTCAGTCAACAATGATTTGTCGTTAACGTAAACAAATCTAAATGAAAAGATCTCCAGTCACCTGACTCCACTATGAAAACAGTGACTTTGAAAGAAAGCCCCAATAATTTAAATACCTGTGAATTCATTGACCCATATTTAACGTTTATCGGTTTAAGTAAAAAAATAAGCAAAATAGGGAAAAATGGGAAGACTGAAGACATTCTTTCATCTCTCAAATCCAGAATACACAGCACAGTTTCAACGTCTATGTGGAGTCTACCTTAATTATAAAAGTGATCAATCGTCTGTAGGAAGTTCAGGAAATGAGAACAACGCTTGTATAGTTCGGAAAAGAACAGGATTACAGGATAGTGGAAAAAATAAGATCATAGAAAACCAAAATCAAAATGAATCTCAGGATACTGTGTTCAGAACGCCTAAATCAGAAGCGGACAGAATATGGATGCATTTGTCCATGTTTCAGAAGTCTCTATTTTACATACTGACATTTGCATCATCTTTAGGAAACGAGGCATTTTATTTACTATTCTACCCGTACGTAGCATGGAATATGGATTCTGTTGTAGTTCGTCGGACAAATGTAGTTTGGACTTTATGTATGTACGCAGGACAAGCCGCTAAAGACTATCTAATATGGCCACGCCCATCCTCTCCTCCCGTGGTTAGATTAGAGACTGACTTTCTGCAGGAATATGCGATGCCTTCCACACATGCAATGTCAGCGACGGCTATACCTTTTATGCTTGCGTATACAATAATACATAGATATGATGTAAGTAAACCTAATTTTCAACAATACTGATAGAATTTCTGTCAATCAACTCATTAACTGTTCAGATTATACTTTTAGTGAAGGTTTTTTAATTATTTTTTTTAATTTTTAACTAGCAATAACTCATATTTTTTTTAAGCTACATACATCCATACTAATTTATTTGCATATATATATTTATCATTAAGTATTAAGACATTTATTCATCAGAACATAAATTAATGTCGTCTTGTGTCGGATCCATAACAATCTAGGCATGCACCTCAGTGCACTCAAAAACACCGGATTTAATTTACATATATATATAGGGATAAAAGTGAAAGTTTTTTTAAAAATGAATGTTCTCGCATTCTGTTGTTATGCCATCCTGTAAGATAAAATGGATGGGCTTTCGTCGATCGTGCAAGACCCTCATGGGAAGTCAAGGTTGTCAAACAGTCCCGTAATAGTCGTGGTAATAGTACAAGTTTAGTGAAACTGGCTGCGGACCATAGTGGTTGGTCATTTTGGTTAATGTCACGTTCGGCTAGCAAGTTTAACAGCCCTCAACTTACAATCTTAGTAGCAGTTTTTCGTGAATTGGTTATCAATAAGGTCACAATCGAAACTTTTTGGCATTGCCAATATTTCCATCTTTGAGTAAAAGAGGATTTGAGTAGCTATTATGATCGTTTTGACTTATATTTAACACTAAGTTGTACAGTTTTTACACTAAGTGCCAACATTTAACCACCATTTTTTGTAGAAAAAAAATGCCAACTGAATATAGGGTGTATGGTCGTGTATATTGAGTTAATTGTTTGATATATCCACCCTTTAACATAATTATGACGTGTTTCAGATATCTCCTGTGTTTGTGATATGTGTAGCCATATGCTGGTGTTTATTGGTTTGTCTAAGTCGACTCTACCTTGGGGTCCATTCAGTACTGGTAAGTATTTTACACGGTATTTCATAACTTCCAATTTGTGAAAATAACGAGATCATGAGATAGGAAAGTTCCTAAACTGACTGCTTGGCTTCAAATGTTTTTTTGTTTTTGTTTAATTGAATGTTAGGTTTCGACATAAAGTTTGATATTATTATATTAGGTCCGAGTACACAGTTATTTCGTAGTGAATTTCTTTTAGACAATAAATGAAAATAAAAAAAAAACCCACCTGCGCTTTCTCAATAATATTTTTATAGTGTGTAGTACTACTTTTAGGACAAATTATAGAAAACTTCATCGGCTCTATCTCAAAATATGGACAATTTTATGTTAAGGGGGTCTTGAAATCTTTTGACAGCTTCCGAAGTGCTAATTTTTAACCTTTTTCAGTTGGACCAAATCACTACTTTACTTTAAAATTCATGACCCAAATTTTTGTACAGTGTAATTTCATCCCCTACTTGCTATTTGAGGCATAAAACATGAAGAAATACATTTGGAAGAGGTATAAAAAAAATTGGCAAGTAACACACTGTCCACACTAGGGACTATTTTCGTACTCGGACCATATAGTATATAGGCGATGTTGGGTATGGGTTAATCAGACAGACCTCAATCTAACGAAACAAAAACACAGTATGATACATGCAACCTAGAGTACCATGCAACTTTTGATAATGGCTTTACGATTTGTCAAGCTTTAAATCGCAAAGAGTCTAAACAGGTTGTGAATGAATTTAACAGATACTGTCAAATATCTGACATTAGTCCGAGATTGCTCTGACTTCTGACGATCTCTTTTTAAGGATTTGCTGGGGTCGTACAAGTCTTTAAAGGGCAATTTCCGACTTATCTGCCTTTAACACCAAACCAATTACTAGTATCTCTTGAAAGCTTTTCTTTTTGCCTTGGTCATCCGTTTTACAACATATGCTGAATTTTATATATTAATGTACATGTATGTGTATCACGTGCAACTGGACCCAGTTCAGTGGGGGTAAAAAACTCTTTGAAAATCTCAATTTCAATGTCATAAACGATTTTGTATTCAAATAAAAGTTGCTGACAGTTATTGCCGTTCATGTAAATAATAATTGCATTTTAAATGATGTTCTCAAAATTCTAACATTGTTTACATAATGCATTTATATTCCAATTGTGATATAACATTCGGCCCTTGCATACGAACACACTGTACTTGTCATCTCACAATATTGTCCGAATTACCGTCAATGATGACGTAAACATTTATTGTCGTAGCATGCATACATAAGCATTTATATAAGCATAATCGGATTTAAAAGACAATTCAGTTCTTGCTTAGTGGTACTTTCATCAGTGATTATTTTCATTTATTCAGAGAAGAACAGACAGGATATAAGCGAAGTTGCACATTTTCGGAAAATATACAAAAATATTTGATGTTTTTATCTTGTCATCTCAGACCACCATAAACCTTATTTTAAATGGTCGCTTAAGGACTGGGGTATAACTAGATTACAGTTTGTTTTAGCTTACTATACGTGTTTTATTTTGTAGGATCTTTTATGTGGAGTGATATCATCTTTAATCATCATCTTGTTGACTGTACCTTACATGAAAGAATTTGATATGTTCCAGCAGTCACATCCGGTTGCGCCGCTTGTTGTTTTTGGCATCAGTCTCGCATTGAGCACTGTCTGTTATCCCAACGCTAAGGATGGTTCTCCCTATACCGCAAAAGCCGATGCCGTTCAAATTGTTGCAGTCTCAGCAGGGGTAACTCTAGGGACATGGATAAATTATCAGTTTGGGTTTACAGTAGACAAAGGCCAAGTGTTCCAAGCTCAGATTGTGATTCCTACCATTACTATGATGACAGAGTCTTTATTGAGATTTATTGTTGGCATTGTTGTCCTTGGTGCCCTGTATTCAGTGGTGAAAAAATCATCAGTACACTTCTTTTCTTATGTATTGAATTTAGAAAAACCGAACAAGAAACATCCGTCGGTAGAGATTGGATACAAATTTGTTACATATTATGTTTTAGGGTTCGCAATCATATTTTTGGTGCCATATATCCATTTCCTATTGGGACTTGGTAGATCGGCATATTTTAATGAGGTTCAGTAGATAGTACCAGAAGTCATGCATGTACAATATTATCAAATTTAAAAAAAAAAACACCGGTTGAAACAGGTCAAAGAGAAATGCTTATATGAACTATTCATGTATGTTAAAATATTTACGTAGAAAGTAAACAAATTAACAAATGAAAGTATGAACATATTATGGATTTGTTTACAGTTTGTTTAAAAAACTGATAAAATAAAGATTAAATGCAGCTTTGATTTAGGTGTTGGTTTCATATCAATGTTAAGCCCTCTTTCTCTCGCTCCGATCGATACCAATAGATATAAGAAGATGTGGTATGAGTGCCACTCTCCATCCAAGTCACAATTTATAAAAGTAAACTATTATAGGTCAAAGTACGGTCCTCAACGCGGAGTCTTGGCTCACACCGGACAGCAAGCTATAAAGGGCCCCAAAAATTACTAGTGTAAAACCATTCAAATGGGAAAACCAACGGTCTAATCTATATAAAAAACGAGAAACGAGAAACACTTATGAACCACATCAACAAACGACAACTACTGAACATCAGATTCCTGACTTATGACAGGTGCAAACAATTGCAGCAAGTAGGTTACATATTATAATTGATGGAGTTGTTATTTTTACAAGTTAAGTTTATTGTTTCCTACATATAGAAGTTTATTTATAATAAATGCTTTTAACATGCTTTGTTTATCTGGTTTGTTAACTCCTTTAATTACAGACAAGAATGAGTGGCGATTCTTGAATAAAAGATATGGATAAAAACTATATATAACAAGTGCTTTCAAAAAGTATTTATTTGCTGTCTATTAAAAAAACCTATATATGTTATACGTCTCAATGAGTCTGTATTGCTAGACAGCAAAATATAGCAAAGAACGAAAGTTAAAAAAGGGGGAAAACAGTTATAGTATAACAATTTGATTTACCAAAATTAATTGGATGCAACATAAACACATTAAGAAAATTTAGTTCTCATTTGGTGTTCGAAAAATAATATATTGGAAATCCAAAATACAAAATAAAACAAACAGAAATTCGAAGAGGAAGATACTCTTCAAACTAAATACAGACTCCCTTAATATGGAGTACAACGTATCATAGTCTTCATTACTAGAACACATGCGCTTTTGACATGCAGGTACCCCCCCCCTTTTTTTTTTAGCTATTTTCTCAACGGTTACGTGTCTCAGTTTTTACTCTTTCTCGAAATTCTCGAAAGAATAAAATCTTGAATTGAGCCACATGCAAAACTATATGACCCGACTGGAGTTTCGATAAATCGTATGACAGATGCGCGAACTTTGACTTGTGTTCTTTCCTAAAGCAGTATATGCTATCATGTTTGTATATGTTTTATATACGTATGTTGTATGGCTGGTTGTTTGTGTCTAATACAGTGACCCTTTTGAACAAGGCCGTGATTTCCTATTTTTTATGTTCAGGCTCTTTTAATATTATATATTGATTATCTCTTCAGAGACAAATAATATTCTGTATTATATGAATCAGGTTTCATCAACATTGGGGTTTAGACGGCATTACCTCGTTCGAATTTCACAGAGGGAAGTTCATAAATCACTCAACTTAGAAGAGAGACAATTGATACTGTACTTTAATTTCCCAAATTTCCCCCCAATTCACAGCTCACTTAGTGCGACGGAAAATGTTTTAAAGAATCGAAAGAACATTTAAGCGAGGGTATCAGAAGCTGGGCATTTCACGGTCTAAATCCTTGATTTTGCAAATCCCAAGACTTATTTTGCTTCTTGACTGAATAGGAGTTTCAGGACAAGACACATGACGAAAATTATTATGTTGTAAATTATTTATTTATAAAAATGGAAAATATGATAGAAAATAATAATTTTAGATCATTTACTTGTCATATTGTTCCAAATGCCCAAAGCGATATTAATCTTACGATGGTCAGATGCATCCCATCTGTAAATATCAAACTGAAATATAGTGTCTTTTTCACCCACTGCTTCACTTCTATGTATTGATAAAATCGAAAGGCCGCACAGCCTAACCAAGTTCATGGCTCATCTTATCCAGGGTTTTAGTCCTTTAAAAGCCGGAATGGAACTTTTACAGCAGCTGCATGGGACCAACTATATATAGCAAACATAACAATACTATTACATATACTCAGTACTGATTTTCTGCGGATAGAAGTCAGCAGTAAAAGTGATCATATACTAGGTACATGCATCTTTTCCAACATTTAACAAGGCGATGGCCGGTATATTCTGAGAAACTGGGAGGGTAGAAAATGAAAATATTAACACTTTTATACTTTCAAGTGTGCGGAGTTTAGGACAACAATAAGTTATTTCTTATATTTTGGATTTGTCATTTCTTTTAAAAATGGTCCTTATATATTACTTACGTCATGTCGTTCTTTTCTTTACAAAGCATTACTCAGTGTAGATTCAATCATTCATTTGAAAACTCCATCTCATCAGCTCTGCTGCTTTTGTCATGTAAATCAACCAATCATTATGGTATCATATGCACAACAACAACAAACTTGAGGCTCTGAAGAGCCTGTGTCGCTCACCTGCATCTTCAACAATGGCCAATTTTAAGTAAAAATCATCATTTTTTAAAGGGGAATAACTCTATTAAGGGTTTACTGACAATTTCAGTCATGTTGGTATGTTTGTAGATCCTATCCTGCTAATATTTTTAAAGTTTCTATTTATTTATTATAGTTTTCAAGATAAAAGGCAAAAAAATAGATAAAAAAATGGGGGAATCGTCATTAAAGGGCAATAATATCAATAAGGAGTCAACTAACGAATTCGGTTACGTTTACTTATTTGTAGATCTTGTCTTGCTGATCATTTTTGCTTTTAATTTTTCTAGCTATTTATTATAGTTTTTAAGTTATAAGGCACATACGGACACAAATGGTAAAAATCGTCTTTAAAGGGCAATAACTCTAATAAGGAGTCAACTGAAGATTTCGGCTTTGAGACTTATTTTAGATCCTGTCGTGCTGATCATTTTTGCTTTTTGAAGATTCTATTTATCTATTTTAGTTTTTAAGACATTAAGCAATACACCAAAAAAATGGTAAACATCGCCATTCAAGGGCAATTACTCTAATAAGGAGCCACGGTCGTCTGACGATTTAAGTCGTGTTGTTTCATTTGTAGATCTTGTCTTGCTGATCATTTTTGCTATTTAAAGCTTCTACTATATCTATTATAATGTTCGAGGTATCGGGCAAACATTTTAATAAAATGGTAAAATTCGTCATTTAAGGGCAATAACTCTTATCAGAAGACGTCTGATAGTTTTGACTTTAATGAACAATAGGTAGAGCTCAACATTCTGAACATTTTTACCCCTATCAGGCAGTGTATTTAACGTCGCAGTACCCAAATTGCTACGAGTACCCATATTGCACCAATTTAGCAAAAATTGCAGCAGAAACCTTACAAGTTTTCTAAACAATTTGTATTTTTAGGAATTGACATTTTGCACGTCTTTCAACTTGGCTTAATATGTATTTCAAAATACACAAAACGCTCACAGTCGGCCTATATATATATATATATTTATTGACAGATGAACGAAGTATCCACTGAAGAAAAAAAAATATCTACGGAAACGTTACATGCGACGTCCACAAAAAGTCAACTTTTAAAAACGGCAATTAAGATATGTTTTAATAGAGATCCATTTAAAAAAAATAATAGTATTCATGGACTATTGTCAAATTATTCTAAATATTTGGAGACCGAATAAAACAAAAGATCACTCGATTTTTACGGGTATGAATTTATTAGCATGGATGCAGTTTGGCTACTCCTCATTACTGAATCGTGGATCGTTTGGAGGTGAGTTCTAACCCATTTTTCTATGATTCAATCAGAGGCGGATTTAGGGGGGCAGGGGCCGCCCCCCCCCTTTTTGCACGGTGGGAAAATTGTGTTGATTATTTAGGGACCACTGAAGCATGACTGGAGCGGGCCCCCGGCCTCTTATGGCAGTCAGTGGGCCTCCCTTGTGAACATTTCTGGATCCGCTACTGTCAATATGGATTCAAAATTAAAGAACTATAGATGAAGAAGAAGAAGAAGAAGGGTTATTTCCATTAAATGGGCTCTCAAGGAGCATAATACAATATAAGACAATAATAAGACAATAATTAACAAAACAAAACAAAAACAAGACAAAACAAAAAATATATCTTTAAGGTGGATAAGGGGGTCTTCATTAATATCCATAGAAGTTTTTAATAATTTGTCAAAATGAAATTTATATCATGCTTTTTTCAAAACTTAAAATATAATAAAAAGTATGGGTCACATTTTTTTCACGCTGCAGGTTGTGCAAAATGGTCAGATTTTATATAGATTATGCATGGAAAACACAATTTTGTGTGATAAAAAGAAAACTACACCATAGAATTGTAAGTTAAATTATGAGAAGATAGCTCTAATAATATGCTTTCAGATAAGAAAAAACAAAAATAGGGTCACTGGGCTCGTTTTCTTGCTACATAATACAATAGGTAAATTCACAACACATTCTATTATATAAGTTACTTTATCTGAGTTATCTCCCCGTATGTGGCAAAGTTGAGAAAAAAAAATGAATCAAACAAAAATATTCTGTTTTTTTGTAAAATATATACAGCCGTAAATATAATAAAACACATAATTTTCTATAGTTACACGAAAATTCTTACACATGAATTACATACTACTCTCGAAATTTGCATTTCATTAAAGATATAGACCGAATGTTATCTGCTATTTCAAAATCCAAGAAGACACCCCAGCTACCTTAATTAAGACTGAGACTACTATAACACGTTATAGTAGTCTCAGCTTAAGAGTGTTGCTGCGTACTTAAGCAGTTGTTTTTAAAATTAACTTGATTTTTTTATAAGAAAGTTGGATCCTACATTTTACCTGGGAACAGGACAAGGATTTATAACTATTATATTCTAATATACTTAGGCAAAAAAAATAGTCCCAGAATATACGTACTGTTTTTATATTCAATAGGCCCATTACAATAACGAGGGGAAAAAAAGGAAACCAGCTTTACTCAATTGACCAATCAGAACAGACTCCTTACTTCGGTTTTATCTGACCTTTTCCTAACGTTGTGCGTTCCGATATAAGCTGCTGCCTCAAACGGCCATTTGCAAACCGGTTCCGCTATTAACTGTCAAAATGAAGTCTGCAGAAGCTGTGTGTTTGGACTGCTGTGTCTGTGGAAGGGAATCCAAAGAGATGCGTTTAATAGGATCGAAAAGAACTATAAATTTGAGTGAATTGTTAGCTAAATACGGTGGCATTTCTAAGCAACAAGGAAAGATTTGTCGAAACTGTTTCGACAGACTTAAAACTGTTCATAAAAATGCTTCAAAGATTCGCCAACAGTGCTTGAACACCCAAGCAAAGACCAAACAATGCCACCAAGCGTTGCAGTATGTATAACGATTTTGACAGGGTTCTACACAAGTATGCTTTGTATATTCCTCCTTTCTTTGGAGCACCACCACGAGAAATGGTGAAAGGACATGAAGTAACTGACGGTGCAGTTTTTGCCTTACCAGTTCCCAGCCTGGCTATATTAGGTCTGACTTCCAGAAACAACAATAATAATTTACAATCACACACTTTCTCCCCCAATATAAAAAAAAACTACACAAATATACAAAATAAGAGACCAGGTCATATATAGTATTCCCCAGAAATGCCATGACAAAGTACAAGAAGCCAGTTAGTTGGGGCAAAGTTGAATTCCAAACCAATACTGCTTAATGCCCAGCTGTATTTCTGGAAGAGGAAAGCTGAAAATCTCAGATTAAGGAAAGATACTTTTGATCCATCAGAGGACTGCTAAAACCCTCAGATTTAAACATGTTAAAAAAAAAGAAGATTGGTCAGATAGTTTCCCACATAGAAAATACTAATGAATCTCAAATGTAGTCCAAATAATTATGGACTAGTCTAAAATGGTGGCAACTGAATATTTCTGCAGAAATTTCCTGAACAAAAATAAAATCCAAAACCTTTAAAAGATTATGCTGTGTCAGCATAATAAAGTTTATCCATGAAACCAATCCGACAAAACAATTTCAATGCCGAAAGTTGTGTGTCCACTCTAATTGACATGGCAAAGTCAATTATCAATTGCACTCTACCATCATGTATGTTTTGTATATCTCAGGCTCATATCTAGGAGACCCATCATGAGAAATGGTGTAAAAGCGTACATTCTGTTGTGGTTTTTTTTCGCGGGTATAAAATCTTGCAATTTAGGGGCATTAAAGTATATGAATAATTTTGGCTGTTTTTATTTTGACGGATTTGTAATTCCTAATGAAATATTTTGGCAGATACTGAAATGGTTGCAGTTAAAAAAGTCAATCAAACAAGTGTCTATTGCTATGGTTGAATAATTTTTACAATACTTGAAATACGTCTTTTTAATTGATTATATTTTGATACTGTTAATAAAAGAACACTGGTAACTTAGACATTTGTCAAAGGTGTACAAACTTCTTGTAAATGTTACTGTTGATTAGTTACGAAATTGACCGGACCTTTGATTTACAAATTAGGTGATGAAATTATCAAGAGTAACCTACAACTTTTATATAATTTGACACTTATTAATAAAGTTAAATACCTGACAGAGTACCTAATACTCTTTTATTATTTGACAATAATTAATAAGGGTATACAGTTAAATTAGAACTGACGAAATCATATTATAAAACAACATTTATGTACAATGCCCTTTGGCATTTATGTTGTTAAAACGAACATAAACCATTATTGACCTGCCGAACGTAAAAAAATAGATGGTTCACTAAAGGCTTTAGCTAATAGAAAGTACCTAACATATGCATAAACTTTCGCATAATTTATTTTGGGGATTTTCATGATCATTTATCTCTAAAATAAGAGAAAAAATAAACACTCGGCCAAAATAATCTGCTACACAGTACTTTGCTCAATTTTGCAAAGATTTATCAAGAAAAAACACTTACTTGTGACTAAAAAGAAATCTATGATAGAATTTTAATATGAAATATAAGATAGTTTTTATAATATGATTAAAGAAAATAAAATTAAAAAAATGGTGTCCCCTAAATTGTTTTCTTGCTGCAGGTAAAAAAATGAAAATTTCATTAAAATTCCTTTATCAAAATTTTACTTAAAGAGTTATCTCCCCTTATATGGCTAAGTTGAATTGAATTAAAACAAATATTGGGTATTTCATTTTGTTAAAACAGTCAAAATTATGCAATATGTAACCTTTTTTCTTTATTTAGATATCTAGTCTTTCACATTGATTGCCAGTCTGTCTCAAAACTTGCAGATTTTAACATGTTTAAACAAGGAGCTAGACCTATTGTGTACTGGTACATGTATCTTACAATCCAAGATGTTTATCTATCTTAACTATAATTCTCTCTTGATTAGAGCCTAGTTTGGATTTGGAAATAATAAATATTTTTGTGAGAGACATTGAACTTTTCTGGAAATTCGGACTTGATTTCCCTATATAATAAGAGGCCACAGTTTGGGAAACACACCATCTCATTTGGAAACAGTTATGAAGACTTAAAATAAGCACAGTAAAGCATACATTTTATTTATTTAATTTGGCTATAACTACATGTATGTTGTAAATAAGAACAAATAACAGTGTCTTTCATAAAAAAAGTTTTGAGTCCTTGTAGGTACATTTGTACATGTATTATGCTGAATTTATTTACATTTTTTTGATACTACTATTTAAACATGATAATAACAGGTACTGTATGCGTTTGATTCTGTAGACCTGCATAGTGACTATAGAAATATTTTCTATCAAGGTTTTTTTTTCAGAAAGATAGATGTGTGCTTCTTGTTTTTGTCGAGCCTTCGACTTTTGTCGAAAAAGCGAGACATAGCGATCCTACATTCCGTCGTCGTCGTCGGCGGCGTCCACAAATATTCACTCTGTGGTTAAAGTTTTTGAAATTTTAATAACTTTCTTAAACTATCCTGGATTTCTACCAAACTTGGACAGAAGCTTGTTTATGATCATAAGATTATATTCAAAAGTAAATTTTGTAAAAAAAAAATTCCATTTTTTCCGTATTTTACTTATAAATGGACTTAGTTTTTCTGCCAATAACATTACATTCACTCTGTGGTTAAAGTTTTTCAAATTTTAAATACTTTCTTAAACTATCCTGGATTTCTACCAAACTTGGAAAGAAGCTTGTTTATGATCTTAAGATAGTATCCAGAAGTAAATTTTGTAAAAAAAAAAATCCATTTTTTCCGTATTTTACTTATAAATGGACTTAGTTTTTCTGCCAGTTAACATTACATTCACTCTGTGGTTAAAGTTTTTAAAATTTTAACAACTTTCTTAAACTATCCTGGATTTGTACCACACTTGGACAGAAGCTTGTTTATGATCAAAAGCTAGTATCTAGAAGGAAATTTTGATAAAATTTTGTTCCATTTTTTCCGTATTTTACTTATAAATGGACTTAGTTTTTCTTCCAGTCAACATTACATACAGTCTGCAGTTTAAGTTTTTAAAACATTTATTAGATTCATAAATTATCCTGGATTTTTACCAAACTTGGACAGAAGCTACTTACATTCAAATGATAGTATAGAGAGGAATATTTTTATTAATTTTTTTCCTCATTTTTGTTGAGCCTGCGATTAACAGCAAAAGTAGGCGAGACACTGGGTTCCGCGGAACCCTTACGAATTTTTATTATATTATATACATGTAGTTTATACACTGGTGAATATTTCTTTGGTTAATAAATTTAACATTTAATGTTAAATTATTTAGATATTGATGATGATATTTTTGGAGGAGATCAGTAAATCACATTCAGTTAATAAAGAGTTAAATGAGGGTTATGTTGTAGTGTGCAATAACTGACATACTATCAATTTATATTTATAAATTGGCATTAAATGGATTTGAGTTTACACCAGTATCCAGTAAAGCAATGTTCTGTTGTTGCTAGTATTAGGTTGTTGTAGATTAACTGATTGTATTCTGTTTTTGTTGCTAGTAATCTGTCTTTTTTTTTCCAGAGCATTATTGACCAATGTAAATGAAGAATCTTTAAAGGATGGTAAAGAAATATATGTTCAAGTCCAAGCTATAGAACTGGCAAGATTTAAAGAAGGTATATATAAATGCTTTCTTCTGAAATTCTTAAGAGTGTATTTCTTGTAATTTGAATGCAAAGTTGCAAAAATATGTAAGGTTTATCCTATCCATGTTGTTGTATCTAATAAGATTTCTTACATTATTGTTTTGAAGGCTGGTACTTTTTAAATTATTAATAATAACTTCTGTACAAATCTAGCTAAGAATTCATCTCAATTTGGTGCTTGAGGCTTGAACTTCAACTTGCAGTTTGGCTTGAATGAACTTAAAAGTAAATTTTCACACATTTGTGGTTTAAATGAGCATGTTAATAGGGACATAGTTATATTAAAATGAAATATGTGATAGCAGTAGTGTTCTGCATTATTTTAACCTGCATGTACCTTTTTGTGACAATGATGACGAAGACTGGGGATTTTAAAAGATTTGTTGTACACATGTCTATATGTAGGCTCGGATGAAAGCAAATGATCATGACAGTACAGAAATAAAAAAACAAGGCATAATTTCATAAGGCCCACTGATGGCATTTAAATATAGAATTAATACATTAATACTTTAATAGATACAATGTTTCAATAGTGGGTGTACACTGTATACAGCACTTCATAGATATTTAGGACTGAAAAAAAAGCATGTTTTACTAATTTGGTTGGATATTTGATATAAGGTTACTGTTTCTTTGATATTGGTTCAATACATTACTAGCATATAAACAAAGTAGTACACATATTTATAACAAAATTAATTATACAAGTAAGTGCACCCATCATTAACAATTCCATTACCTATCATTGTGTTTTGATGTCCAGGTGAATTATATAAGTTCTCATTATTTTTATTAAAGGAAAAATGAAAATTTCAATTCTGCCGCATACATGTGGTTCAGAAGTTCTGCTTATTGAAAATAATGGAAGCCATCTTCCCAAGTTGCGTTCTATACTTTGTACAATGACCTGAATACAGTTTGAATCTTTGCTATTTAAAAACCAAAACTTAGTTGAGATTTATTCAGTAATTGCGGAACATACAGTATGTGTTTGTCATCTCTGAGATAACTTCATTAAGTTGCTCTGATTAGTTACAGAGGTGATTTGCTGTAATAATGGTAGGGATAAGAGCCATTATTTAGCTTATCATATATACTAATTGCCAAGTTTCATTTTCCTTTACAGAGAATCTAATGCCTGAAGAACTGATATATAAGCCAGTAACTATTGACATGAAAGAAAAAATAAAATATTTGGAGATGGAAATTCTACAGCTAAAATCAGACCTCCAGTACCTACGGGAACTTCATAAAACCAACATACGCATTATGACAAATTCCTGGTTAGAGAGCATGCAAAAATTAATGGTAAGACCTAAAAAAATTATTTATCTACAAATTTTTTTTACCAGTTAATTTTTACCTAATTGATATATTTAATTTCTCCTTGTGCTGAAAATTTTAAACTTATTGACGCTGGACCTTATTTATAACACATTTAGTCAATATTTAGTTTTTCTCAATGGAGATATCCTTGTCTCATCTGCAACTCCTCCTAAGCAAGTCAGTTGTAATGTAAAACTGTTTTGATATTATTCTCTTGTAAGGGCATTGCTTTCCATCACTAAACATCCCATCTCCCATCTGCAAATCCTCCTTTATAAATCAGTGGAGGTCAGCATAAATGTCAAGAGAAAAACAAGAGGTGTGGAATTATTTGCTGTGACCACTTGTCCCAGGGCAAGTGAAATTGTAAGACCAAGGCCACGTGAGCTTTTCACATCACTTGGCATCTGTCGTCTTCATCAGTTATCTTTTACAAAAATCTTCTTCTCTGAAACTATTGGACCAAACTTGACCACAATCATTATTGGGGTATCTAGTGTAAAAATGTGTTAGATAATCCTGCCTGTCAACCAAGATGGATGACATGTCTATTAACTTGAAAACCGTTATGAATAGAGAAAAGCTGATTGGGGCAGAAATGTTGAGAGAGTGTTGAGATCTACCTGCTGTCTTTTTATGTCAAAACTGTCAGACAACTTCTTATAGGAGTTATAGCCCTTAAATGTCAAATTTTATCAATTGTTTTCATTTTTGTCTATTTTGGAAAACTATAATAGAGTAAGATACAAAGGAATTTTTATAAGGAAAAATAATAAGCAAGACAAGATCTACAAATAAGTCGACAGGGCTGAAATCATCAGACTACTCTTTATTGGAGTAATTGCTCTTAAATGACAATATTTACCAGTTTATTGCGTTTTTATACACCCGTTTACGGGACGTATTATGGTATACCGTTGTCCGTCTGTCCGTCCGTCCGTCTGTCCGTCCGTCTGTCCGTCCGTCGTCAACATGTCCGACATTAATTCAAAAAGACTTTAACCAATATGCATGAAACTTTGTTGAATTGTTTATATCTATTGACGTGAGCTCCCTTTTGTTTTTTATAAATTTCGGATTTACCGTTTCCGAGTTTTGGGGTTTTATTCATTAAAAAAGGGGGAATTTTCCAGTTTTCGGACAATAACTCAAAAAAAAATTCACCAATTTGCAAGAACTTTTTGTGAATTGTTCATATCTATTAACGTGAGTTCCCTTTATTTTTTTATAAATTTCGGATTTACCGTTTCCGAGTTTTGGGGTTTTATTCATTAAAAAAGGGGGGATTTTTCAGTTTTCAGACAATAACTCAAAAACAATTTCACTAATTTGCAAGAAACTTTGGTGAATTGTTTATTTCTATCGATATGAGCTCCCTTTTGATTTTTATAAATTTCAGACTATACGTTTCCGATTTATGGGGTTTTATTCATCACAAAAAGGGGGATTTTCCAGTTTTTGGACAATAACTCAAAAATGCTTTTAGCATTTTTTATGAAACTTAAGTAAATTGTTTATATCTATTTTTGTAAGCTTCCTTTTGGTTTTTATAAATTTTAGATTTTATGTTTCCGAGTTATAAGATTTTATTTGTTTATAGTCATAAGATTTTATTTGTTTATAGTCTGACAACAGATTTACTAAGTATTACACAACAGCACAGTGTATTGCACAACAGCAAGAAATCTTTCATATAACCAATTTCAAGTTCTTTGACTACATTTATTCAGAAACCTATAATATATCAAATATTTAATTACAATCCAAATTCAGACTTGTATCAAGCTTGAATATTGTGTCCATTTTTGCCCCAACTGTTCAGGGTTGGACCTCTGCGGGCGTATCCAGCTGCGCTCAGCGAAGCAGTTTATTTCCTTATGTCTTAAAAACTGTAATAGATAAAAAGAAACTTTAAAGCCAAAATGATCAACAAGTCAAGATCTACAATACGCCAAACATGACTGAAATCATCATTGGACTCCTTATTAAAGTTTTTACCTTTAAATATCAATTTTTCTCATTTTTTGCATTTTGCCTATTATTTTGAAAACTATAATAGATAGATAGAAACTTTATATAGTGAAAATGATCAACAGGACAAGATTTACAAATATGTCAACATGACTTCAATTGTCAGTTAAATCTTTATAAACTTATTGCCCTTTCATGGTAATTTTTACCAAAAAATGGCTAAGTTGAAGAGGTGAGCGACACAGGCTCTTTAGAGCCACTAGTTAGTGTGAAGCGTTTTATACAAAATGATGATAGGTCAATGTTTTTAAACCCCAAAATATATATAAAAAGAAACATTCAATTCATTAATATAAATTAAATCAGTCTTGCTTACATTTTTGCAGAATAAAGTTTCAGGAATAACAGCAAATGAGGAACAGAAAGAAGATATATTGGATGATACAGAAATATCTATCAACAAACCCTTCTCTTTTAGGTTGGTATATTAAATGAGAATAGCCTAGTGTACAAATTTAAACATTATTTACTTTTATTCTGATTTTAATGAAATTTTTTACTCAAATATGTTGCCATTCTTGATACAGTTTCCAAGATGTAATGATACAGAGGTCTGAAAATCACATCTTTATATTTATGATATACAAGTGTAATACCACCGTTGTCTTTCTCCTATTAGTCTTTGTTAAATTTGCACTTTTCAAAAAATTGTGCAGAATTTATATTTGTTTCAAGTAAAGAAATACTTGCATTGGCATGAGTAAAGTTGTATCCTGTCCAGTACTACAGTAAAAATGTGACGTACTATGATTTGGTGGTATTGCACCTAAAGAAGACTTTTTTGTTGAATAAACTGAATACGATATTTTTCCTTTCTAATTCTGGTTGTTTCAAGCATTACTGTCAAGTTGTGTCATAATCAGTCCACTAGTTTGAGAAAAATCTAGTATAATGTAAGACAACATCTACAGCGATTCGAGCAAAATTTCTTGAAAAATCCAAATCAAGCCGCATCATGATAGAACATAGTGTGGACCAATAAATGATCAAATATTTATCTCATCCATAAATCACTGGAAGTTAACCAATCAAATTTTCACTCCTTTTTTCCTGTGTACAAGCTTTAGTAACCATGTAGCCTCAAGTTTCCAAAATATTCTATAGAAACCCCAAATAAAAAAACAAAGGTGCTTTGTATATGTTTATGACTCAGATTTTTTTTACTGCAATGAAATGAAACACCCAAGATACACAGATTTCTATTTTCACCCAAATATAAAAGAATTTTTTCCCTCATGACAATACCTTTTAGTAGTGTAAAAACAAAAAGGAGTGAAAATTGTTAAAAATCAGGCATTATATCCTTTTCATTTTGCTATACTCAGAACTGATTGGAACTTTCTATATTGTATAAATGATTTGAATCATGTTCATAAAATTGAGAATGTTTTTTTCTCTTACAGTGAGTAATTTTAGATCTTCATATATCATTTCAGAATGAAAGACTGTTCTTCAAATGCTATGGATCATCTATACTGCAAAGACTTTACTATAAAAGAAGAGCCAGAATCTGATATTGATGATGCTACAAAATATTCCCTTCCCTCTGATCAATTTCAAAACTGGCCTGTCACATTAAACGCCATAAAAAAAGAACAACAGCTTCCTTCTTTATGTCTCAATATCAGTAATATAAGAACTTTATCTGGAGAAATAAGTGATGATGTCACAGAATGCAGTACAACCATGACTCCTCAGAACATAAACATTAGTAATATGAGGCGAAAAAGAACAAGTACAGATGAAAACAATGATAAGAATGAGGAAGTTAAGAGCTTGAAGTTAGATAACATTGACCATCAGAACATTATTGAGGAAAAAACATCAGTTGTCAGTCTGAACAACAGTGTAACCAAACCCTTTGTTGTAGTAGGAGAACACTATAAACAGATTGCTAAAAACACCACTCAGCAGTTACAAAACATTTTGAATTTGAGTCATTTGAACGTGAAGAAAGAAAATATAGCAACAAATGAAAATAAAATGACACACAAACCTATCATATTTCCTGTGATCATTCCAAAAATCCTTCCTGCAGAGCCACAGGTTTTAAGAAATGAGTTGTTAAAGCAGGATGTCATCATTGGTGGTTCTCCATTTAGAACTGAAAATACGAGTATGAAAAACCAAGTTGTATTTAATGTTAACAGCAGTCCAAAAAAAGAACAAACAGAAAAGGCTAGCTATTCAGCTTCATTTCAAGTTAAATACCACAAGATTTGTCCAAAACCAAGTAATGATGTAGATGTTTCCAAACTACCCGAATGTGGTAATGATGGAATGGAAGTCAAAGCAGAAGAAACAAAAATACAGAATTATTATCCAAGACCACAGCTACCTATACCCAACAAATCACAAATCTGCTATGTATGTGGAAAATTTATAGAGAAAAGAGATTCAATGACATCTCACCTCAAAACCCATAATGAGAAAATGTTTAAATGTAATATTTGTGACAGAGCCTTTAGTAGAAAACATCACATGATGGAACATCTAAATACTCATTCAAGAGTTAAACCTTATGTATGTCACTTGTGTGGAAAAGGTATACGATTTGAATCATCATTTATTAAGCATATGAAAATTCATAAAGGGGACAAAAGATATCCTTGTGATGATTGTGGAAAACGCTTTATGGACAATAGTTCATTGTTAAAACACAGGCGTAAATGGCATGAGTCGAACAAATTGAAAACCAGAAAACCACAAACTTTTACATGTAAAACCTCTGGCTGTGGTAAAAAATATCTAGACATTTGCGAGTTGAGAAAACACCAATTGGAACATCCTTCTGAGATACATATAACTGAACCTAATGTATGCCCAGACTGTGGTGAAGGATTTGACAATGAGGAGGCTTGTAAGAAACATATCCCTGTTCATCTTGAAAATCTTCCTTATGGCTGTGGAACATGTGGGAAATCATTCTCTAAAACTGTCCATCTTCAGGCACACATGGCAGTTCATACCAAAAAAAGTAAATTTCGTTGTTCAACATGTAGTCTGTTATTCTTCACCGCTAAATCTTTTACTGAACACATTAAAACTCATAAATATACTGAAAACATGTGTGATGACTGTGGCCAGTCATTTCCTGATGTTAGAACTCTAGAAGATCATATATCTGAACATAGTCGTGAAGATTTATTGTATGGGTGTGGATTTTGTGATAAAGGCTTCAGTAAACCATCACATCTGAAATATCACATGAAAAAACATGAATTTGTTGAAGAAGATAGTCACAGCATGACGGAAGAATGTAGAAATGTAGACAACAATCAATGAAAGGTTAAATTGTATTATATTCTAAATTTAACAGAAAGAATTTGTTCAAATGTACTTGTGTTCCCTTATATGTTTTCTTTATACATGTATGTGTAAAGTATACACATCTTAATCATGTTAATCATCTGTAAAGTTTACTTACGAATATCTTACAACGTATTGAGTGTAAAAACTTTCAGACAATCATAGATGTGTTAAAGTCCAGTGATCCAGATATTAATAAGAAGGGGTGTGTTTCTAACAATTCATACTTTACCATTATTAAATAAAGGACGTGTGGTGTAAACATCAATGAGATAACCCAATTACACAAATAGCCAAACCAAAGAAGACTTTAACAATAAAAAAAATCATTAAAGCAGAATTTATAATTAAAGAATATTTGCTAGTGAAATAATGATTTGTGAATTTAGTTTGATTGAAAGATAATGATTTTAAGAGGCATAAATAATGATTTAGAAAAAAAATAGAATATGATTTTTGGCCTGGTTGGACGAAGATCAAAACCAGCGTAAATAGAAATAAGGAGATGTGGTATGATTGCCAATGAGACGGCTATCCACCAGAGTTCAAATGAAGTGGATGTAAGCAATTGTAGGCCATCGTCTGGCCTTTAATGATGAGAAAAACCCATTCCCTATAATTGGCTATTATATAACAACCACTGAACTACATGCTCCGGACTAAGGACAGGCACATAAAGAATGTGGCACGTTTAAACATGTTTATGAGCGCTCAACCCTCCTCTAACCTGGGACAGTGGTGTAACAGCACAACATAAGAACTAACTGTAAAAAAAATCAGTAGCAATTGGCTTAACTCAAAAGATTGATATGAGGCACAAAAACAACTAACATAAAAAACAATAGAAACAAAGTATTGAAATAAGAGTACTTGCAATTACTAAAAGCTAATAAATAAATCATGTTTTCCCCAATTAAAGTATCAATCAGTACACATCCAACGGATTTAGTGTCAAGACATCATAAACAGTATGAGAAATGCATGACCTTGTGCAATGTCTAAATATAAGTAAACAGTATTTACAGGATGTAGGATAATGAGTTATAATAATTGTACATATATAGCAATATATATTTAGGTCTGTTTTATTTTTTTATTTTTTAATAATGTTAGTAAAACCAATGAAAAACAATATTAAAATATTGTACTTATGTGTTAAATGTGTTAAATTGATAACCTTTAAGAATAAGTTTATTTCAAAGAATCAACTAGTTCACATGGATCATATCTAAGTTTACTGGCTTTATAAACAACATCACAGTAAAAATTAGGATGTGGTATCCTGTTTTTGAAGAAGAATTCTATATATCAGGCTGTACTAGCATTAGTTTCAAAGCACTTTGAACATGCATAATCATATACGTGTACTTTATTTGTATGTGCTGGAGCATTTATAACTTGTTGGTGTGATTATTTGATGTTGAAAGTCATTGCATTTGATTGTAACACACAAGGGAAGTAATTTTTTTTAAAGAAATTATATTTGCTCTGTAACTGCTTCCTCATAAAAAGACTTCGGTAGCAAAGTTCTCCTTCAAAAACAAATTCGGCTGTTTCACTTTTCAATTTTCAAGCCGAAGGAACTGTGGGTGAATGAGACATCTTCTCTGACACCACTTTGTCTGTTATAAACTTACATGACCAGTGAAGAAAACTGCCTCGAAAAAGTTTGACATTTTGGTTCCTGTATTAATAGTGTAACCAAATTAGATATGGTATAAACCATCAGATCTGCCATCAGCACCTTTCTCAAAAGACAAAACCATTAAGAAATGATGTAAGAAACCAACAAGAAGGTTCAGGACTTGAACAGGCCCATGACTATGAAAAAGGGTTAATAAGTTTGTTTTTTTATAAATAGTTTAATAAATTACATGTTGTATTAATTCAACTGTTATTTTATATTAAATAGATATTAATAGCACAAGTAGAAACAGAATACTCAAGATCATAATTATGTTGTATCAAATAATGCCAGTAGTTTCTGATTGATACATAAAAGAATTTCGAAAAATATTGGACAGTGCAAAAGGTCACACCAACCTACAATACCCAAATACTACCAAAAGATAGATGTACAACGACCAGCAACAATGAACAATATATAGTGATTGGTACAGGCACAAAACGTGGTGGGTTAAACCACAAACCTCTCGCTATATAGACAATTTGTTGAAAAATTCAAATCTACCAACAGATTGACCACTAACTTGAATAAGGAGATAAAAGAAGCTAGCTCTAAGTTACTAATTACACTTCTGATATAGCAATCCTGCTTCCTTATACTATAATATAATGGGCTGTACTTAAATAGTAGATTTTTTATATTCAGCAACGTTATAAACTGTTCAGGAATACACGATTTTGCACAATTTACAGAACAGACTGAGACGACAGATTGTCTAGAATTCCATTTTTTTTTAAATGCATCTTTGAAATGTCAAAGATGCTCTTCTAGCTATTGAAAGAAAAAGTTAATTATATTATAAATGGTAAATTTCTATCTGCTATACATTTTAATCGTTTTATTAGGACCAGATTAAGTGAATTGCTCCTATGATGGTTTCATTTAGAAGTTTGATACGAATACAGTTTTCCCCAACAGTGATTGTCCTCAGATACCAAAGGGACATTCAAACTCATTAGTCGAAAATAAACAGACCACGCCATGGTCAAACCGAAAAATAATTGTACAAAAAACACAACATAGAAAACTAAAGACTGGGCAACACGAACCCCATAAAAAAAATTGGTGTAACTTCAAATGAGTTTGGGATAGAACTACCAAGGATGACACTGTATTCAAAGATGTTGTAGAAAGCTTTTATAAACATCATTTTTTTTCTTGGGTACTATAGGCAATATATCAACAATATTTGGTGCACTGACCATGTCCCGCCTCTGATAGGTTCTTCTGACCGTGACGTCTTTTCGTGAACTTTTGATAAAGTTAAGATAATGCTATACATGAAGTAATACTTTAAAAAAAATTGAATTATAACCAGTAAAGCAGATAAGACGTTTCAGCCTGTGCACACCTTAATTGGTTGACATCCGCAAATAACCGAAATAATTTTGTAATACAAAGAAATCACTGAACATCATATATACACATCCCTTTTTGATACTAACAAGGTCGCGCCTTTCAGTGATCATGACAAACTGAATTTGCGTGAATGTTTTACGGTAGACTCTACGTATCACTAGCCTAGGGTAGTATGAATATTCATGAGTTTTATGAAGCAACGCGGGATACGTGATCACGTCATTGGCGCGATTATCTAATTTCACAGAACTATCAGAAAGCGGAAAACAAAAATATGTTCAGAAGTTCTTAGATATTTCCCAAGATGTAGGGCATACATCACTGGAACAGAGACGATACCAAAATAAGTATTTTGAATACTGAATCAGCTTTAGATATTGTGCACAAACACAGCATCTAGGCACTCAAAAGACGATTATTAAAAGGGGGGAGTTACACGCAACGAATGCATACGAGGGCTACCCTATGTGTTACATATGAAAACATACAGAAGAGCTATATTAAACCAGCGACAGTAACAGATCCAAATTTTCATTTAGGGGGGGGGGGGGGGCTGCTCCAGTCCATGGCATAGGGACTTCCAGTGGCGGATCCAGAACTTTTCATAAGGGGTGCCCGCTGACTGACCTAAGGGGGGGGGGGGGGGGTTAGTGATACGTAGAGTCTACCATGTTTTACTGCGAAAAATTTTGATTTTAATACAGAATATTTATTGCATTGCAATCTACTCACAATTGTATTGACATATTTTAGTAATTGAAATTTGATACAAAGGAGACATGGAATAATCGATCTAATAGGATTTGGAGAGAACCTTAGAATTCAAATCACGAATAGTCATTATCGTGTTAATCTTCCGAATCTTGACAAGTGGATAAACTCAACAGAGATGGTGACAAGTACTGACAGCAACTAGCACACATGTGATATACATGTTATGGGGTAAACTGACTCTATGAGTAGATTGAATGATTGATTGCCTATTGCTTAACGCCCAGTACAAAAGATGTCGTGTGCATATTTGGAACGAGTTACATGTGTAGATAGATTTAATCATTAAACATTAATTTCGGTATAAATTATTTTTTCATGTTTTGAAGACAGCATGGTCATATGAAATGTTAGTGATACTGAAACTAACTCACGATTACTAAGTTTCCGTAAGTAACCTCAACAGGGCTTTTCTATATACTTTGTTTACTTGTCAATTTCAAGTATATTAATGGTAACCGTTAGCAAACTATGTAATATGACCATGACCAAAGGATGTGCATTTTATTAAGATAATGTTTATCAATCGAAATCTTCACAAAAGACCCTTGATAATCACTTAGTTTGGATGCATATATGATGTTTAGACAATGACACTTTAAATTGAACTGTACATGCGGTCAATTGAACTTCATCTAGAGAAGCTTACTGATTTGCTACGATTTTGAGTATTCAATCATTGTCATTTTTGCGGTGCCTGCGGATATTGAAGTTTTTATTGCTTTAAGATTTTTGTTTGCTGGGTGATCATTCGAAATATTATTACAAATATTGTTCATTTATCAGTCAATCGTTTAAAGCGATCCTTTCATTATCAACAATCAATAAATAAATCAATCAAATGCATACATGTAAGTTGTCCCTCTTTTTTTATATTTCATAAGAATCTCTCCTCATGTCAATTATTTGTATTTAAAAGTGTTTTCTAATTCCTTTCGGGGTCTTGCCTTGTCCTCCATTCAGTTAAAATAAGCTTTTCTCATATTCACCCACCAGATTTGGATAAAATATGTTGATACGTAATATCAAGTTATAACGCATCACGCAATGGCGGATTGGTATTTGACTCTCTATCTAACTCTAAGACGTCACCAAATTCATAAACCATCGGTAATGTAAATTTTCTAACCCTGAAACATAACCGAATGTGAAATTTTAAAATTAAAACAACTTTCTTTTACTGGCATAAACATCAAATGCATTCAAAATATTAAAAGCACAAAGAACAACCCCCAAAAAAAACAAAGCAAGAACAACACGAACCCATTTAAAAGAAAACTACAAATGATCACAGGTGCTCTGGAAGGGCAAATAGAACCTGCTCCACATGTGGCACCCGTCGTGTTGCTCATGTAAGTACAAAGTCGGTGATAAGACACATTCGGTGAAAAGAGGACGAGATTGTGGTTACGACAATTAGAACATGTCCGTCGTCATCTTTGAAAAAGACATTCAGTAACGTCAGCCAACTCGTGATTGCGTCCGTAAAATTTAAGATAGGATGATGTTTACTTCTCCACTTGGAACTCTTGGTTTGATAGCTTCCTTTTGAGCAGCAATCCTCTATCAAGGAAATCATGGTAGGAAATGCAAGCCATGTAATATCGTATCAACTGGGAGATATTATTAGTTACATAGTGTGCTAGTGACCCAATACGGTATATATGGGGTCAGTAAATTCCATATGGGGTGAGAGCGAAGCTCGAATCCCCATATGGTATTTACTGACCCCATATATACCGTATTGCGTCACTAGCACACTATGTAACGAATTTCTCTTACCGACTATCTTAACATGTGGTATTTAGACTAGTGACCTATCAAAGTGAGCAAGTCTCCAATACCGTTAGCATTAAGAAACTACTTCCATTGGTCATACAAAAAAACAAATGCCAACAATAACAACTTGTTAGCTTTAAATGTGTTTTATGAATTTATTTCAATCTTTCATCATCAATTTGTTCGTCTGTTGAAACCTTTAAGATTTTTTCTCAGCACCGTTTTGTTTTTATAAAGGGACGTAACACCACTACTAACCGTGTATTGAAATAAGCACCGCCTACTAACCTAATATGGAATATACATGGTCTCCACGCGGTTGCTTTTAACCAATCATATTCCTAGAAATGTATAGCAGGTAAGATAAATGTTCAATATGTAGGCGCTGCTGGAATGTTGCTACATAGAAATGGAAAGTTCACAACTGGGAAGCTAAAATCATCTCTTTTGTCGTAAAGTTTTGTTTTCAACCGACCCTCATTGTCAATTTCTAGATATAAGTCGAGCTACGAGACAGACTTAACTGTCTCTGTTGTATCCTTTATCTCAATTTCGTTAGGATAGATATGTTCTACATACCGGGTAGTCACCTAACTTTAAATTATTGATTGAGAGGACATAATCTTTATAGCGGAAAGTGAAGGTAAAGGATAATTCTAACTTCTTTTCTTTCTTCCTAAGAAGCTCCTGTGTGAAGTCAGCCTCATATGAATAAATCCGAGAAGAAGAGGCGCACAGTTGGTTCCCATGGGAAAGCCGATTATTTGTCGAAAAACACGTTCTCCAAACGTAACAAATATATTTTCAATAAAAAAATCAAGCATCTTGATAATGTCAGTTTCAGAGAATTTTTTGTTTGAATCAGACTGTTTTCTGCAAAGTGCGATTTATCCCACGATTATATCCAATTGATTAAACGATACTCATTTAAAACTCCACAATTTCTTGCTCAATAATTTAAAATTTCATTTCAGATCAATTTGACAGTCAGTTAAAATCTGTTCTACTAGCGTGAAATAATTAAAACCAGAAAAAATACTGTATAAGTTTTATTGTTAACAATCTTCTCCCATGTCACAAGTTGTAATGGTCTGATTCCAGTGAGTTCCTGGTGGGCAGTCAACTGCAAATCCGTCTTTCCAGGTGCATACGAAGAATTTGTTACAGTCAGTACTATCAGGAAAATATCCAAACTCCTCTGGGCAATCAAACTCAGATTCTATGTAAAGAAAAGGATATACACGTGTTTGTAATACATTTTGTTTCGTCACACTCGTTTCCATGATTAAAAATTACACATAGCTGTATCTTTTGTTTGTTTCGTTCCTCTTATATTTCTTGATTTTATATTACATTTATCTGTAACATTCAGCATTCTCATACTTCTGACAATTAACTGTCACCGATTGAAATAATTGTAGATGAAATCTAAGAAAACCCATTTCTTTTTAATATGCGTATATCGCAAGGATGATATTATAATTGTAACGAACAAGCTCTATATACGGATTGCTCATTGTTGAAGGCCGTAAGGTTCCTATTGTTTGTTTATATCATCGTCATATGGTCTTTGGTGGATACTTGTCTCTTTGACATTCACACAACAAGTCTTATATCGGTTCAATATCAAAGTTCATAAACAAATCGAAACGATTTATTTATCTAGGAAGTTAAAATAATTTTTTTCAGGTAAAACCTAAGAAATTGGATGAGGCATCAATTATTTATATGCTTGTTTGTATTCTGACATTGTTAAAGGCTTTAAAAGCTTCGTATAAGCAAACATGACCTACAACCCCGAAAACTTTCTTTCAATTTTTTATTTTTCTGAACATATATGAAATTATATAATAATGTTTAATTGTCACTATTTACATCTAATGGTATACCTCCACAACTTGCATGTTCTGTTTTATTTGTATAATTATTTAAACTGTTAAATTATGTAAAGTAGAAAACTTTATAAGTTGGTAAAATATATGTCTTGTTCTCTTTGGGCAAACAAAAGAGTTATAAACTAAAAAAGAACAGAAAAGACATTAGAGTAATGAAAGCCTTGAATCATACTTCCGTTTCCATCAAGTGGTGGTTGTTTCGTCTGTTTGTAATTCGTTGATGTAGTCATAGGGGGTGTTGTTGTCATATCATCATTTGTTTTGCCATCCATCGTTGTCTCAGTGAACATAGTTGTTGCTTCCTCACTGGTCATAAGCTTGGTAGTAATTTCTTGGGATAACATTTCCATTTTGCTTTGTGTGATTCTCTCATTAATAGCTATAATCAATGAATGATTTGATATGAATGAATGCATATTTTAATATTAAAGTGCAACCTGGATTATAACAAATAACTATATTCAAATATACAAGTGACTTTCAGCCAGACAAATAGGCTTACGATGCACTGTCATGATATGAAGTGTACGCATTATCTTATAAATCTATAAAAACAACATTTTAACCCATTTCCATTGATATGGCTGTAATTTTACCGTTTGACCTTTCACTTTCAACGTATTGCCCTAACTGTGCTGTTCCATCAAGACTTTTGTTTTATATGCTTTGTAATTTTTAAATTTCTTTTGATTTCCCAAATATTAGAATCATAGCTCTGAAGATGTAAACACCAGCCCATCTCTGTGGATGTCTTGTCCAGAGCTAAAGGTATATCTAGGGAGATAGTTTATTTTCCGTATCCCCCTTTTTTTAGTTACTTGTATACCATTTTTTCTATTTATCTTGAACACGTTGACCTACTCGTTACATAAGGCCATTTATTTATAAAAAAAATCCTAGAATCTCTTACCACTTTTGCGTTTTTTTGTGAAAAGTCTTAGCAAAATAAATGAAATTGCAGGAATTCAAAATATTTTTTATGGCTTTGAAATTTTTTTCCAACCATTTTATATATACTATGGTATATGAACACAACTTTGCATTTTCTGTTTCATTTGTATTAATTAAAAAGATTGAAACTGTTGAACTATATAAAGGAGAAGACTTTAAAGTGGTAGAAAATACATGTTTTGTCTCTTAGAGCAAATGAAAAAGTTATATCTTTAACGGGAAGATTAATACCAAAATTTATGATAAAAGAGATGATTTTTCATTTCCTATTGTTAATTATCCATTTTTAGGGTGTTTATATATCTCAACTTGTTCGATTCGCTCGTGTATGTAACAACGTATTTGATTTTAACGAAAGAAATCTCTGTATTACTGAAAAATTATTACACCATCAGGGTTTTCGATATCACAAACTTGTCAAAACATTTACTAAATTTTATCATCGGTACAAGGAAATCATTCGTAAATATAAATCAACATGCAGACATCTTATACGTTTAGGTATTTCACATCCAATCTTTTATGGTAATATTCTTTACAAAGCACAAAAATGTCGGCATTCACCTCAAAAGCTAACCAAACCTTTAAATAGACTTATTCGAAAGGGATATAGTTACGATACTGTTGTCAGGTCATTAAGGATTGCATATTTTGGTATTAATATTGATTCACTCATAGGGTCTTTGCATCGGAAATAAACACATTTATTCTAAAACCAGTTGTTGGCATGATACGGGTTATGTTCTTCTCATATATTTTATGATGGTATGATACTAAACCCCTAACGGGAGGGATTGTGCTTGATTTTCATATGATGAAGACATAATCTTTCAATCAGTTTAATTGAGGTCTGGAGCTGGCATGTCAGTAACTGCTAGTAGTCCTTTGTTAATTTATGTATCATTGTCATTTTGCTTAGTTTTTTTTGTTACCTATTCTGACATCGGACTCAGACTTCTTTTAAACTGAGTTTTACTGTGTGTATTGCTGTGTGTTTCTTTATTCTATATTGGCTAGAGGTATAGGGGAGGGTTGAGATCTCACAAAACATGTTTAACCCCGCCGCATTTTTGCGCCTGTCCCAAGTCAGGAGCCTCTGGTCTTTGTAAGTCTTGTATGTTTTTTAATTGTTGTTCATTTATATGTTTTGGGCATTAGTATGACGTCTATTTCACTGAACTAGTACACATTTTTATTTAGGGGCCAGCTCAGGACCACCTCCGGGTGCGGGATTTTCTCGCTGCGTTGAAGACCCATTAGTGGTCTTTGGCTGTTATCTGCTCTTTGGTCGGGTTGTTGTCTCTTTGACATATTCCCCATTTCCATTCTCAATTTTATAAGCTAAAAAATACAGAAAAAAAATTAGTATAATGAAAAATCATACCATCATTTCCTTCAAGTCGTGGTTGTGTCGTCTGTTTGGTATTTGCTGATGTAGTCATAGGGGATATTGTTGTCATATCATCATTTGTTTTGACATCCATCGTTGTCTCAGTGAACATAGTTGTTGCTTCCTCGCTAGTCTTTTCTTGGGATAAACCTTCTGTTGTGTTTTGTTTACTTCTCTCAACAATAGCTATACTCAATGAATGATTTAATATGTCTTAAAAGAACATAATTGACAGTTTCTGACTTTTATGCGACTGTCATACAAGTGAGAGGTATAGGTAGCTATAAAACCAGGTTTAATCCACCATTTTCTACGTACCAAGTCAGGAATATGACAATTGTTTTCCATTCGTTTGATGTGCTTAAGCTTTTGATTTTGCCATTTGATAAGGGACTTTCCATTTTGAATTTTCCTTGGAGTTTGGTATTTTTGTTATTTTGCTTCTTTCTTATATGTAGACAATATTGGACATTTTAGATATGAGCCAAGGCGAAAGGCTTACCCCCCCTCCCCCCCAAAAAAAACAAAAAAAACATGCTATTAACATTAACATCTTTTATATCTTGTAGCAAAATAGATTTTAAGGAAGGTCGTGGCTCTTGTTTAAAGGACAATTTCTCATAGTAAGGATTTTTTGTAGTTTTGCTGTTTTGCATTAAATGCAAAACGTGTGTAGCCCTTAAGTAAATATGTAAAAGAAGATTTTGAAAATATGAATACTAGTAGTGATATCTGGCGGACTAATATCTTATGAACATCTGAAGGATCTGTAATTATCGATTTCAAAGAGCCAAAAATGAACCCTTATCATACCTTCCTGTGGTCTAATGACAGAAGAATAACCCTACATTTGTATCTGTATGTCAGTTGTGTTCATTGTTGTTTGTATGGTTGGTTTTTCGGAGAAGTCAGGTGTTGATGTAGTCTGTTGTACTGTGAGGTATTTTTGGGCAATTCCTGCTTTCCCTTTTTATGTATCGTAATATGAAACCATGAAAGTTTTTAAATAAGTCACATTTATTGGAATACATTAATGCATATGCGACTGCAATTTCGTAAAAACGAAGTTTAATTTAGGAAAAATGTTGGCCTCTAAAGGAGAAAAACTGCGAATGAAAAATTCGGTTGACTAAACTGATCGTGTCCATTTTTTAAAGGTAAATTAGAATCAAAATACACTTAAACATTACGCGGGACGCATTGTTAGTCGAATCCGTGAATGGAAAAAAACTTAAAATGGGATGCATGTCAATCAAAATGATAAATGAATCAATAAAAACATTGACAAATGAATGAATAAATAAACATGAATTATTACATATTTAACGGTTAACATTAATTTTAATGTTAAAAGACTGTCTGATAAGTTGAAACACATGACAAGATACAACAAGAAAAAAATGGATGTAAAATCAATTGGGTCTGCATCAAATTAAGACAAAGCTCGACCCGATAATTCTTACCTGTAGAACAATTTTTATCACCAGTATGCATCCAACCAGGGCAACATGCCATTTCTGAAGAGTAGTATGGAGTATTTCTTGCACTCCGCCCACAACACCTATCAAACAATATAATGCTCTCATACAGTTCTTACTGAGCCAATAATCATGTTGTTAAAGAGTTATTGAGTGAATGTAAACTAGAATAAGAATGATATTAAAATTTCAAATGAAAATATCCATACCAAAATCTCTGTTAGATGATACGACTTTTCTTTCCCCATTGTTAATACTCCTTTCCCTGGTGGTGATGTGCCAGTGGCTCCTTCTTACGGAGTGTATATATTTTAGTTGGTTAGGTATGCGCGTGTTTGCAGTGAAGTCTCAGATTTTATTTTCCTTATTGAAATATTTTCACAGCTGGGTTAGATTGATTAATTGTTGATTGCTTTACGTCTGGTGACACCTTTTTTTTGGGGCATAACCAGAACGAGAATAAATTAACAATTTATGTTGATCATTGTCATTTTTCTTAGTTTCTTATGTCACCTATTATAGCATCGGATTTGGATTACGGATTTGTAAACTGAGTTTTACTGAGCGTATTTCTGTGTATTTTTTTATTCCACATCGGCTAGAGTAATAGAATCACAAATATACAGATGTGTTGCAGAAAGATGATTCCACTGGCAAGAATGGTTCAATCACTACATCTCATTCTTTGTGGGATAAACATCGATTCGCCTATTTTTAGAATGAAGGGATACAAAAAATAATGTTTGTTTTTGGCATTGTACAATGTTGCTATTTGGAGTATTAAGTTTTAATGGCAGATCTCTTGATCATTTCTGTCAAATTTATTCACAGCTGTTATAGACGCAGGACAATTTAGAGCTGAACATATTGTATAGACATTTTATGTTGCCCTCTATATGTCTTGTTTGCTTCCTTGGATTGCTGTCTCATTGCGTATTACCAACATCTCCTTTTATCTATATATACTCCTACACATTATGCTACCACAACCGTATCTTTTACTGGTAAATCTTTGAAATCAAGAATTCTTAAATTTTCCTTCGGAAATTAACCAAATAAATCTAAAATAAATAGCATAATTGTCCTATTTTTTAGATTTGGATATTTCAGTCTCACACTGGAAAATCTATACAAACTTTACGACACAAGACGATATTCGTTGTTCTCTATTTTTAATTGTTATCCTTATTTGGACGACGGTGTTTCTTAAATTTTTTATTGCAGTGTGTATATTTCCCAATTTGTTCCCTATGTCCGTGTCTTTACTAGTGACGTTTTAGATTTCAATGCACGAACTCTTTACAGAACTGGTAAGTTATTAAGTCGAGGATATCGTTACCACAAATAAGTTTTAACAAATTCTTTCAAAGTTACTAAGATTCGGTTTGGAAGTTTTGCTGTACCTGTAGAATTCTTATTACAAACGGGATTTCCTATCTGATTTTAACGGTGATGTTGTTTATAGACCCGAAAATTAAGGTTTTATCAACGTAAAATTATTCTTAAAGGTTGTCAGTTAAACACTGTAGTAATTTCATTGAATATTGTTTTTACTGTTATTAACATGTATATGTATATGGTCATAACTAAATATGCATTACTAAACAGTTATGACAACTTATTGTCCTACATACTGTCATAACCATACTATGTCCTTAAATTTTGGCATTGCACAAGGTCATCCTGTTTTCAGACTGTTTTGACGTCTTATATTAAGATATCTAAGATCGGCGTTTGTGTCATTTTTCTATATGTTACGGTTGTTTTTTATGTGATTCGTGTCAATCTGACGAGTTAAGCCATTTCCAACTGATATCTACAATTTTTTCGTATGTTGTGATGTTACGCCACTGTCAAATGTTAGACGGAAGGTTTAGCAGTTTCAAATATTTTACCGACACATTCTGTATGTGCCGTTCCTAAGTCAGAAACCTGTAACTTAGTGGTTGTCGTTGATTGCTGTCTGTCGTATTTGTTTTTCCTTAATTTTTTAATTATAAATCAGACCTCAGATTTTCTCGTTTCAATTGTGGTCGGGGCCAGTTTTATTGCTGACTATACGGTTTTGGTTTTGCGCATTATTGAAGGTTGTTCGGTGACCCACAGTTGCTTACATGTACATCAACGTCATTTAGACTCTGGTTTATAGTTGTCTCATTGACAATCATACGATATCTTATGTTTACATTGGAGACAGTAAAATACATTGTTAATTCTAGAAGTCTTCCAACAACACAACAATATGATTATAATAAACACTTTAAAAATCGTATTTGACAATGGAAATTTTTGGATCATAAAATACGCAATCAAATAGGACAGAATGACTAATACTAAACATGCTAAACGTGAACTCTGCTGATACTGAATTTTGTAAAAGTATGACCATATATTATGTAACGAACAAACACTTTACATTTGCAAAATAAACAAGATGGTAAATAATGAACATCTTTTGGATATGATTTCATAGTTTTAGTCCTCTATGAATTGCTTTCGTCGCTAAAATAGTCCAAAGAATGGCGGGAAGGCAGATAAGTGAGGTACTATAAAATGATGTTGCATAATTCATATTTAGATTCACCCATAGCCATTTGAATGAATTTAATTTGAAGGTATCAGTTGAAATATAAGTCCCGGAACAAACAGACAAACATATGAGAATAAATACTAGTAGTCGGATTCGCAATCAACCTCTGACAGCATGTAGCGAAACATAGTGCGTTGACGACGTTAGAATATCCTGATATGCATGTATCCTCCTCAAGCAAACTAAATGTTTAGAATCCGGTTACATATTCACAAACGACAAAATGCACATTTCAAAATTTTGAGACCGTATTTCCTCTTTTTAACACTTTTATGTATGTGAATTATAATGAAATTTATCCTTCATTGTTTTTCTGAAGGAGTTTTTTAATAAAAGTATGTCATTCGCAATCCTTAAGGTAAAACAACTGTTTTTGCATAGAAATGATTATTTAATACCCGAAGATATCTTTGGATAATAAAATGTTTGATCATACTGAGACCAGGATGAAAATATGGAGATGTGGTATGATTGCCAATGAGGTAACTATCCACCAGAGTTCAAATGAAGTGTATGTAAGCAATTATAGACCACCGTACGTCATCCAATATAGTGCTGTTCTACCACTGTCCCAGGTTAGGGTGTGGGCGCATGTTAACATATTTAACCCCGCCACAATATGTATGTGCCTGTCCCAATTAAGTCAGTAGCCTGTAATTCAGTGTCGTCAGTAGACGGTTAATACAACATGAATCAATCGAATGTCGGTTATAAGTAATGAATTTGACAACAATTTTGGTCGTTTGTTTCATCATTAAAACTAATATTATCATTCTTACCACCATAATCTTTTACAGCTGCAGTAATAGCTGGTTCTGTATTTTAATATCCTTCTTGCACATACATTGCTTAAACATAATTAACAAACATATTTATTCTGTGCAGATTTAAAGCATACACTGCTAATTTTTTAATTAATTACTAAACTATCTGATTGTGACTGATCTATTTTTTAGAATAAAAATATGTCAGCGAAAAAAGGGGAGAAATTAAACTTTTCAGTTTTTGACTTCTGATTTTTTTTATGCGTGTAATTGTAACTTTTCGTATACGAAGTTATCTTACCCTGACCAACTGTTTTCTCCATATGAATAGCAGAGGGAAATTATGACAATGAACAAAAAATACAGGAAATTCATCTTCCAGCCAGTTCAAAATACTTGGACAAGAATATTCAATAGCAGCTGTTGCTTCTGAAATGCTTGGTTAAAATAAAACGTAATAGACAATGTGGCAATATTGATTTGAGTTTTAAATTTGATACCCATTTGATATTTGAAATACAAGAATCGTTCTATAATATATGGAATTTAAAGTTTCAGGTGTAAGATTTTTTTCAAAACTGTACATTGACCAAGTTTAAAATAACCCAACAGTGAAATGTAACGTAAAAACTAAATTAATAGCTCTTTTTGATTAAAACATCAATTCTGAATAAAGGTTGTCAAGTTCTGCAAGAATAGTAGTTCTTATATTTTTGTACATTGAAATAAAATATGCTTTAAATTTCCATAGATCTATTTGAATTATTGCATGGATATTAAAACTATTTTTTAGTTTGGATATGTTTGCAAAATCTTTTATTCTGTGTTGCTTTTTTTTTTTTGACTATTGTCTTGTCCGTCATTCCGATTGACGCTTTCTATGTTTTTTTTTAAACTTCTTTTGCACTCTGATGTTTACACTGTCTACTCTAGCAATTCCTGAAAGAACACTTAAAGCAAAGAGAAGAAGGGACTAACCTGTTGTACACATATGATCTATAGATAGGACATGTTACCTAGTGGATAATTTTAGTCCATTGAAGTTTACAGATCATTGAACAAAATTAATTGAAATTTGGATATTCACTTTTTTTTAACATTGTGTTATACAATATTGCTTTTAATCCATACGATCTCTGATAATTGTTTTTTTATGCATTAAAAAAGTTCACCATTAACTATAATTGGTAATTGAATTTTAAGATGATTCCCTTTCTCCCATAGGATTAACAGTCAGACTCCGTTGAATTTCATAGCGAGCAACACCCGCAAAATATTTATTTAAACACTCAGCCTCGTTCCACTTACAACTGAGGTTGTAAGCTTAATTCAACTTATGACATCATCATCGCGTATATGTGCCCTTGTTTTTTTTAATTAGAACACGGCATAATTGTATACAAAGCGAAAGAAACACTTTGTATTTGAACCAGTTTGATATTTCTACCAGAAAGATTTCAAATAAAAAGTTCATCGGCAATAATGTACATATCCAATGTTCAAAAACCAAAAGAGCACCTGAAACTTCCCCCGATTTTTTGGAAGGGTTCGTTTTGCTCAGTCTTTAGTTTTCTTTGTTTTTTGTAGACTATTGTTTGTCTTTTCGTCGTTTTTGCTTGCCATGGAGTTGTCAGTTAATCTTCGACTAATAAGTTTGAATATTCTTTTAGAATCTTCTTTACAATATTTTATATTGAATTGTCAACCGCTGAAAAATGAGTATTGGTATTCATGTTGTTGAAAGGTACACAATCACACGATCGACATCATAAATCCTTGAGTTTTGATTTAGAGCATGTCATCAAGGTTTGGATAAGCATGTAAATCAAACACAGACTTAATTAAATACCAGTTATAGCTTGTTCTGTCATTAAATTACGAATAGTAGTAAAAAAGAACTATAAATTCAATATATAAACAGCACACACCAAATAAAATCGTGTTTTCTCCTTGACAGTATTGTACAATAACCGATAAACAAGTGGTGTAGTCCTTTTTTCTGGTACTTAATCAGTTTTACAAAATCAAATTAGAACCGATGTAGATGGCAAAACAATTTTCAGAATTTCCCAAGGCATGTATACGACTGAATTAATGCAATTGTTTCTGCCTTTTATTAGACTATAACATGGGATTGTCACACTGATATTACACTTGTTTTAATGGACTTAAGATAACCTGTTGACAGTCTAATATATCGAAGCCACTATTCCATCGAAATGTTTCATCGTTTTCAATGTTTTAAGGCAGTACCGACGTCTGCCGTGAGAAACTAACATACGAAATGACAAAATAAACTTGGTAATACGTGAATGTAGATGACATTTCACAGCATTTTGTAATTATAGATAAGCCGCAAGCTTTGAAACCTTTTTTTTTTGCTCAATGAAATGAATTTGACCGTAAAATGTATCAAGAGTGTAAAAACTTAACATGACAACACCGTTTTAATTAACACGGTAGATCACGTATTTAAAATTTTGCAACTTCCCCCATTTTTTGAGAATATATGGTACCGAAACACATAACAAATACAAATAATTACAAGTATACAAACCAAGTAAAACCAAGTAAAATAAAAATATATTGAAAACAACACTATTGAAACTGTCAAATATACCAATGTCAATAATGCAAAGTGTACCCGGGTCTCTTCTGAATGCGTTTATTATGATGTAAAGTACCACCATTCTAAAGATAAGTTGGCACAATATCAATTCTATTTCAGATTTTGCTTAAAAACTGAAATTCCCGCATTGCTTATAACTTTCATGGTTATGAAATTGATGATGTGAAATAAATTGAAAGGTAAAAACTAAAAGATTGGCATAATTGTAATAAAATCAATCACAAAGCATCACACAACTTCAAAACTAGTGATCATTATACTCTCCACATGACTGAATATAATTGTAACATGCATTGCAATAATCAGTCGATACATCTAGTTTGTAGAAACACTAAGCTTTCAACTCCTGTAGTCAAACCCAGATAATTTAGATCATTGAACAAAGTTTGTGTTTTCATAATTTTGAAATATTCCTCTTTTTGAACCTCGTCATGGTCCACACGGTCCGTTAGAAAAGTACTGTGCAATACCAGATCTCAAATATATTCGTGCAAAGAGAAGATTATTTTCATTTTTTCGTCAAATTGCGCTTAAAGGCGTCGCTCATAAAGCAAAAATTGTTTCCTTGTTGAAAGAACAATTTCTTGCGAACGAAAACTAGAAAAATGAGTTCGTGTTCAAGAATCATGCATACGTCGTTTGGAGTTGAGTAGCACTAGATATCTGCAAAAAAATTATTTATAAAACGTCTTGACACATTATAAATTAAAACTTAAGGATTTCATCAAATAAGAAAATGGGTATGATGACCAAATCAGACAACTCTCCAACCGAGACCAAATGCCATAGAAGTTAGCAACTATAGGCCACCGTACGGCCTTCAACAATTCAGCAAATCCCATACCGCATAACAAGCTATAAAAGGTCCCGAACTTACAAACGAGAAAACTAACAGCCTGCTTTATTTACCAAACAATAAACGAAAATTAAATATGATAACCAGCAAATAACGACATCCACTGAAATACAGGCTCCATAGAATGTGGCGGGTTAAACATGTTTACTGGCACCAAACCTTCCTCCTAATCTGGGACAGTGATGGAATAGCACAACATAAGAACACACTATAAAAATCATTTGAAAAAGGTTTAAATCATTCGATCAATACAAAGCAATAACAAGTAACAAAAACACAAAAGACACTAAGTATATATCTGAGAGTACTCGCAGAGAGTTGTATAAGCAAGCTCAAAACCAATAACAACTAAAAAAAATCATGTATCTAAGACTAACATATCAATCAGTGCACATCGAATGTCTAATGGATTTAGGGCAAAGACGTCATTAACAGTAAAAAAAAAAGAATTACCTTCTGCAATGCCAAAATATAGATATCAACAGAATTTAGGACCGTGAATGTACAAATATGTATAGCAGTAATATTTAGTTGGGTTTTATTTTTGTTTGTTAACAACATCAATATTTATACCAATAAAACAATATTCAAAGATCTAATTACAGTGTTAAATTGGTATCCTTTTGAAATAAGTGTATTAAAGGATCGACCAGTCTACCGGATCGTATCTACATTTACGGGCTCGGTAAACAACATCACCGTAAAAATTAGTAGGAGTTTTTCTACAGGTACATTTTGCACATCTTATACAGTTATTTAGTTAAATTACCTTCCGTAAACTAGTTTGTTCTTTGTGTATCCTACTTATATCTTCCTAATTAAAAACAAAATTTGTTTAGTACAATTATTGATTTTGGGTAATAATGTTAACATTTTGCATGATAGACACATGTGCAACCACTGAAACTTCAAACGCGACATTTTTTAGTCGCTTATACATAATGAAGTGTATAAATTTATTATTTCTTTCTATAAAAAAATAGATTCATTCAGTTTGGGCTTCTTTTTTTCATAGATTTTCACAGTCTTTGCTTCGAAAATTACATCTTTAAATTCACCTGAAAGTAATTCAAATTTGTAAGCAATTAGAAGCATTGCAAACTTAATAATTATTTCCCTTGGCTGCTCTGTGTCTGAGCAAAAGATTGATGGCAAGGGTTTTGTCATAGAGCGTCTCTTCCTTTTTTCTCAAAATGCTCATCGGAAAGTACCAAGTCCTAATAAATAAATATTCAAAGTATAATTCACAAATAATGCAAGATGGTCTCGAGTTATAGATTCTAGGTGCTAAAGTTGTGCATTTTTCTAATTACTTTTACAGTTTTTCCTTTTTTGTCTTTGTGCTATTATGTTCCTTTTGGTTGTATGACTCTTGACGTGACTCGGTATTTATGCATCCCGCTATCGGGATTTTAGGCAGTTGCGTTGTATCTTGTGGTGTATGTATAAACACAGTTTTTGGCTGCTGGGTCCCAGTTATTGTCACATTAACTTATTATGTCTGTTTGGGTTGTTCACCCAATTCTGTCAATATAATGGAACTATAAACAAGTGGGAGGTTTTGCTAGCTATAAAATTAGGTTTAACCCACCATTTTCTCCGGAGCTACCATTTGATTTTTATGGGGAGGGGGGGGCTAGGATGAAAAATTTCGTCCTGCATTTTTTTTTAGTTGTAATCCGTGTCCTGCCTTTTTACTTTTTACTTTATTCGGTCCTGCCTTTTTTTTACTCAAAACTCCTGTCCTGCCTTTTTTTCAAATTTCATCCTATCCTTATGTCTAGCATGCAGTATAACAAATTGAATTTGGTTGATTTATGGAGGAATTTGTGCACCTTGACCTCCAACATGGCGGAAAAGGGAATAACTTTAACTCAAATAACGTTAAAATAAAACTATCTGTAATTGATTAAACAGAGTTATCTCGCGTTTATTGGAATTACGTATATGGCTTCTATCACTTTGCT